AGGATGGCCACTGTCGGTCTGCACTGCTTCGTTCTCATGGTCACCATTGAGCACATGCTTCAGGATAGATACTAGCTTCTGTACGACATTCTTGGAGGCTTGATCTGCATATTCACTCTCCCAGATCAGCCGTGTGAGTGGAAGTGCTCCCATTCGAAGGTTGAGCAGCACTTGTGCTGGGACGAAGTAGTACGGACGCGATGGATCCGTATTCTTCATGTTGTTTGACTGTGCTGAGTCCATGATACATTTGGCGTCGGTAAAATCGTCCAGAATATCGAGACAAATCTTCAGACCAGTATTTGCAGAAAAGGTGGAGTGTTCAACCTTGCACGACTTCAGTTTATCGAAGAATTCTGTTCCGACCTTCGTCAGAGTCTGAACACCTCCAGCTTTACGGAATGCTTCCACAACGTAACCCTGACGAATGGCATGTGTTGTGATTGGCCCGGAGGAGGAACTACTGTCATCGTAGAAGCAGCGGCGGATATTGTCAAGAGTAACCACAAGATAGGTGAAGCGAGGTTCGGTGTTCTCGTGCCCTGCTTCCCCTGCCCCATTGGCACCAAGGAAGTAAGGCTGGAGTTGTGTCAGATATGCAGTCGCAAGGGCGTTCGCCACTATGGTTGTCTTCTGTTTCGCAAAGGTATCTGGGCGTCGGCGAGCTGCAATGATCCTACCAAGACGGCACAGGAACTCTGTAATGGCAGCCGGTGTCTCGATTAACAAGAACCGTAGAGTTTGGACATTCTTGAAATACGCCGTCTGTGTTTCCACACTCAGGTCGCTTGTATCCTGCTGTGAGGATGGTGCCACTTCTCCAGTTTGAGGCGTGGACTGGCCCGTAACCCGAGCACCGCTATCCCGAATGCTCAAAAGCTTGTCGACTTCGTCGTTACCTGTAGAGAAGTGGTCAGGTCGTGTGGCAGAGAGCCAACTTTCAGGAATCGATCGCTGAAGAGCGACGTCTTCACGACAACAGGCAGCGGAGATGGCGCCCATCATCCTGGCAATGTCCGCAAAGACATCCTCAAGATTTACCATGGTGAACAAAAGATTCTGCATGTGCCGCTGATTGTAGATAGGGATGTGGAAGACCTCGCTGAATACTTGAGCGAGACAGAAAACGGCCATCATGCTTCGGACAATGCGAGTCCCATTGAGCTCAACTTCGGAAAGCTCGGGGGCAGGGCTCTTGCCCGTTCCATCCGTCGTCGCCGAGGTTTTGATTAGGGGCTGGAAGTAGCACGACCAATCCATAGGCTGAGACTGAGAGAAATGCTTCAGCTCTGAACACGCGAAACGTGCACGATCGACTAGGGCTGGAAGGACAATCTGTGGCTTGCACTCTGCCATCATATGCACTGCGGAAGACAGCTCCTGATACAAGCCACCATTGCGGAACGGTTCGCTTGCAACAGGCATACTGGGCAACGTGATGAAGTCCAAAACAAGGTCACATCCACCGTGTTCAAGGAAGTTGGTGCAGTGAGCCTGATGCTCAAAAAATGTCATCAGGAATGCGATGGCAGGTCTCGCATAGTCGCTAGCCTTGAGGCCATTGTCATCCTTGTCACTGGGAGCGGCCTTTGGCATACTCGGTGGAAGCACTTCGTCCTCAAGCGTTAGACTGTGACTGTTGGGCAACTCAATTCGTCTCTGACGGGGAGGGCCGTCATCGTTGGTACGTAGCGGGGGGAGGATCTCTAAAGAAAGAGCCTCGCGCCCACCACAAGGTTCTGTCTCGAGGCCATCTTTGGAACCGAGAAATAATTTTGGTCCCGCACCGTAGTTGACAGAGAGTGACCTGCTGATGTGGCGGACCCGAGCAAGCATGACCATCACCGCGCTCAGAACCGAGCTCCGCAGGTTGGGATGGTGTCTGACTAGCTCATCAAACGTCGAACCAAGCAATGCCAAGATATTTCCGTCACTGAGCACGGTAACATGCGCAGGAGACTCAAAGATCTCGAAGAACTTCTCCAGCGCTCCAGATCCCTTGAACAACTCGAAGCCGGCGTTGGTGAGGCAGATGCCCCCAAAAACTTGAGAAACGTTGACAATCGCGTCGACAACTGGTGGTATGCCCTGGGGTTTGTGTTTGGGGGCTGAGGATATCGACTTTGAGCTCATCTCGGTCGGTGCCTCGGCAGAATCCTGTGGAGGATTGACGGTGTTCAAGATGCTCTGAATTATGCCTGCCTCGAAGATGACTGTGTAGCTGGTCGGCTCGTTATGCAAAAATCCGCAGATGGCCTTGATTACCTCACTCCAAGTGTGCGCGCCGAATGCTGATAGCTGATCCACAATGAGTCGGAACGCACGTAGCAGGGCCTGAGAGTCAACCAAGCTTCTCAAAACGCGATCTGCCTGTGCACCTTGATGGCCACTTATGTCATTGATCATATCGATAACGGACCGAATGATCTGCTGATGTAGGTACGGAATGTCATAGTCCGTAATACGTGTCTTTTGCCGTTCTGGGATGCCTTCGCCAGCTCTTAGGAGATCCCAGGCACTCGTTACGAGTGAGCCGACAAGATTGCTGAGAGCCTCAAATGCGTCAGCGGCCAGAAGGGCAGCCAACCCATCCTTGAAGTGGTGGAAGAAGGTCTTCATGAAGTCTAGGATCCTCAGGTGGACCTTCATTGCTTTACCGGTATAGACGCCTAATCCAGACAAGTATGACTTGATGAAGCTGTTGGCAACAGCCACCTCGCTTGAGCGGCCGTGATGTCCGGCAACCTCAATAAGAGTCCTCGGTATAGTAAAGGTGGCTTCCCTCCACTCGTCGCCAGCCAGATTGTCCGTAGCATCATTGTCATTGGCAATGTCCACCAGGCCTTTCTGGATCAGCTGTGAGAGAAGCCCCTGGCTTGACCCGGCGCCCAAAGCCGTGCTGATCTCCGAAGCGCAGAACTTTGAATGTGCCAGGAACGACATAGTCCACATAGCCAGGGTCTGAAGAGACGTTGGAACGGCGGTATGCCCTTTCTTAGTATCGTGCAAGAGTGTAACGAGCTGCTGGATGAACTCTTGAGGCTTCTCCACAGAGAACAACTTCTGGGAGAGGTCCGGTTCGCTGCATACATTTGCCAGGCAAGCGACGGCCAGCAACCGTATCTCCAGAAGCTGCTTCCGGGTTTTGCCCGACGCCGCCAGACCGTATGCAACACGAAGCTGGTGCAGCAGCTCGTATCGCACCTTGGGTGGCATGTCGTCAGGTTGATTGTCGCGCAATATCACTTCGATACTGCTGCTCGCCAGGTCGGAAGCTGAGAATTCAATGTGCTTCATACTGGGCTCTGCAGCGGGAGCTACGGACCGATGGCCGTTCTCATTGGGTGAGGCGGCGGTACTTGCTGGACTGGGTCCTGGTGCGTGCCGCGTCGGCGTAGGTGAGGATGGAGGTTCTGACGACTGGGAGGCTTCGGCAGGTGTAGGCTTCTGCTCCGAGACTGTTGACGACCATGACACCTTGACATGTGCCCAAGCAGACCAGTCTCGATCAGGTGCAGCTGTCGAGGATTTGGCCTGTGGAGCGTCTCTGCAGAGAGAGCGGAAGTCGTTCGGACTGACTGCAACCGAGCCGCGCCTGGCTTTGCCACCGGGCAGTGTTTTCTCTTTCGACTTAACCTTGACAGGAGAAGGTGGTCCACGCTTACCGGCAGCGGAGGACGCGGGTGGTTGGCCGAGAGGTAGAGCAAGTTTCTGCAGGCGTTCAAGATCGAGGTCGTAGAAGTTCCCGGCGTGGTGGGCTGGTGGCCGCATGCCTGCATATCGCTGAGCCAGAGCAAAAGCAATACGCAAAGTACTGTGCAGTAGGGAAAGAGAAGTGGTGTTCAACAAGTCGTTCAAGCGGTCGGTGCTGTTGTAGACTGCCCGATTGGCACATTTGTCCACCAGAAGCTTCGAAAAGGCCAGGATCGCCTCAACTAATTCTCTATCGCCCTCCGGGCTGAAGCCTCGCTCTTTCAGTCCCTTCTCATCTATACCGGGGCTGCCCTCAAGAAGCAGAGTAGAGCCGAACGGTACGGTCTGCGGGCCTTTGTCCAAGCCATATTTCGAGTTGAAGGACTGGAGGATGTCGTCGAACCGGTCAAGAGCTTCTATCCAGTTGTTGAGGTCCCCTCTGGGGAAGGGCCACGCCTGGGGCCATTTCGCCAGAACGGACGGTAGATCGGCATAGGGAACGGTGGTTAACTGGTTGACCACATCTGATACTGCGAGTGTCTGTGACAAGAAATCAGCCCAAGATGCAAGAACCGCAGTCAACGGGATTGAACAAACCAAAGACACCTTGTGTTTCTCCTGCGCCTTCCTCGTAACCTTCCCCATCTTCACTAAACCCCGGCCGACCGCAGCATAGGCTGCATCAGAGGGGGAAGGGTGTGTTCAGCCTCTTCGAAACGCACCCTTGGAGAGTTCGAGGAATTTCGTGAGGGTGTGTCAAGGGTTGGCGGGATATCGCCTTCTTGGAAACCTCTGAGGCGCAAGGAATAGACCGGAAGGCGACGAGGGAGGGGTGTGGTGAAGCTGGGCGCTGAATTATGAGCCGCCGTCACTGGTGGTGATAACTCCGTTCTGAGTGAGCGGAAATTGTGACGGGAAGTAGTGTACAGAAGAGGAAGATGAAAAGGTGAATACAAGAAATATGAGGTCGCAACGGCAGAGCAGGTTGCTGAGATTTCTTTGATGAACAGAGGAGCGAAAAGTCCTGAATTGTATCTCTTGAGATGTGGAGTTGTGCTTTTGTGCTGCAGTTTACTAAGTGAACTGGTTTCGCTTTACCTGACGCGACTGGGGGAGAGCCACCAAGCCTAATTCATGGCAATGACGTGCCCTGCTCCGTTAAGAGCCTCGCCGTCCACCAATCACTGAAACTATTACTTAAGCCAGGCTGCAGCCTCACCATGCCTTGTCACCAGCGAGTCACTCGTGTCGATGAAAATGCCACCAGCCGTATTCCTATCCATCCCTATCATCGCTTTCAACCTACTTCAAATGGCCTCCCAACTTACGATCATGGAAACCGGGTACATCGAGAATGTGCTTTCTTCCACATTGAGGTAGCTGGTCTCTTCACCCTCGCCCACGCGTCGGAGCCTACCTGTCGACCCAGCTGCGCGGTTCAGCTTCTTGAGATTACCCATGGCTCTGAGGGTGACTTCGACTGTGGTTGCTGCCAGCTTACCTTCCAGTGTGTCTCTGTCAATGTGAGAGCTGATTATCTTCGAGAGCACGCTGGTGTCCGACTGCTCTTTGAGTGCATCGAGCGGTGATTGCCCCTCACCTGCCGCGAGGACGTGATCAAGGACCTCAGCAAAGATTCGCGCCTGACTGACAAACATCAAGGCCGCTAGAGGCACAATTTGAGCAGATGCTATCTCTTCGGGAGACATCCCTTTCTGGGCCACTGCCTGTGTTGCTTGCAGACCATACCGTCGAAGGAGCCCCGCCGAGTCTAAGTGATGGCCATGGTGGTCCTTGACGGCACGGCTCGCCTGTTCTTGCACAAGACTCATAAACAGGTGCCTTGCTTTCACATCTGTGTTCATGAGCACAAACCGCTGGGCAGGTTGTCGTGCATTCGTATGGCCATGGATTGTGGACAGCAAAGCAATAAGATCGGGTGCACTGCGTTGTGGCAGGGGAAGCAGATCGCTAACAAACTTGGCGTGAGCGATATTGAAAACGTCCCGCACCACATCCACATATTGTCGGCCGGCAAGCTCGTAACATTCGCTCTGCAGCAGCTTAGTAATGATGTTGTTGTAAAATGCTCCTGCAGCTTCCGGTAACCCTTCATAGTCGAACAGGACAAGACCGAGATGAAGCCCTGGAGCATTGCCTTGTGCCGGAGAAGCGGGCACCTTCGTCACACCCTTGTGAACTTCAGTAGCATGTTGCAAAGTACCAGTGGGCACGTCGAAATTGTAGAGATCGGCCTTCTTCAGCTTAGCCAGAATGATCTTGTTTTCTTCTGGGACAACCAAAGGATAGTGCGCAAAGATGGAGTTCTTAGCATAGTTCTTGGGCAACGCAGTAAGCACCAACTTGTAGAACACGCAGCCATAGTTGATGTCCAAATCGTAGTTGGCTGCATTAAAGCCCCAGTTTGTCAAATTATTCGGCGAATAATCAACAGTATAGAATCGGTCGCCACGAACCAGTGCGACAGCATCAGAAAGAATTGCCCTTGAGGTCGTGAAATTGGTGCAGAGGCCGCTCCCGGGCAGCTTCGGCTCCTTGGCCGCCTCGACAACAACACCAGGATAGATCTCGACATTATCAGGATGACCGTAGAGGCGGCGGAGTTGCTGGGCAATCAGCGGGTCAGGATTGATATCTTCAAATTTCTTGTGAGGCTCTAGCTTGAAGTATTGTCGGAACTCATTCAGACTCGCCAAGTTCCACGACCGGCTTTGCATGATCCCCAGCACCTCGATGTTCTTGAGGACCTCTGGAACATGGTTTGCACCATAGCTACCTGCTACGTCGGTCACGGAAGCCGTCCATATACTGGCGAGGTCTTCGTCGCGAATGCTGCCATCAGGTAGCCGTTGCAAGCCGGCAAAGTCCCGTTTCATTGGGTCTGGACTTAAGCTGACGGCCCATTCGTTCAGAGCACGCAAGAATTTGTCCATTGAGAGCGGAGACTCGGTCCCCACCAGCCTTGTGTACGCATCCTTTGTCCATTGCTCATCTCTCTCGGAGACACAGGAGTGCCAGCGGTAGACAAGATTGAATTCGGCCGAGACAGAATTGCCAGTGGCTTCTGGTATCTCGTGGCCGAAAACCGCACTGCCTTCCTCGGATCTGGGATCGAGATTCCATAGAGTATCTGCTCGGTTCAAGTTGAGAATGGTTCTCACATAATCTTTGAGAATGATGTTAACGTAAAGACCGCCGGTGACCAATCTTGCGGTCTGGAAGAGCGCCTCGTCGTGAAGCTTTTCTGCATCAGCGGGCTTTGCTCTGTCTGGAGGGTGCAGGATGTTGGAGAAGCGGCCGCCTTCGTCGATGCGAGCAAGGTTTTCTGCTACGTGGTTATGGAAACGGCTGAACATGATGAGCAAAGCACCAACACCAGGCGGGAAACCCAAGATTCGGACATCCGAGAAACAGTCGGGCTTCAGCTTTCCTTCGCGCATTGTCCGGACGGCGTGTTGGTCCTCTATGGAACTACCATAGAGGGGTGCCAAATCCAGGTACGACGAAGTGTCGGATATACTGAAGTCGTCATGGTTGGTGCGAAAGATGTCATGGATGATGATCGACGCCACGTAGAACAAAACGCTGGAGATCTTGTTTGGGTGTGGCTTGAACTTCTTCCGAGTCAGGAGCACGTCGAAGATGAGCGCGGGATCAGGCCGTGCGACGGGTTGCATGAGTCGAGGGCGTACCGTTCTCGCATAGGGTTGTTTGGCGGCACCCAGGCCCGGCCAGAGGATGTTGTTGTTGCTCCCGTCGGCTTTGCGGTAGATGTAATCAGCTCCCAAATACGACTGCGGAGGATGCTTTAGATCCGTCCATAGCTGATTCAGGAATGCGTTTGTCAGGGTTGCGCTCGTTCTACTCGACATTGGCAAGTCTGCGGCCAGTTGGACGATACGTTCCATGAGGTAAGTCTTGTCGTCGATAGGCTCGCCATCGAGTTGCTGCAAAGCGACATCTTTGACAGTTTTGAAATGCTTTAGCTGGAACGTAGATTTTAAGACGTCCAACACGTAGTCGGACTTGTTGGTCTCACGACTCAATGCAGAGCTCCTCGTAGAGCCTGAGAGCGATTTTTCCACAAGAACCGGTCTTTTAGCAGGCTCGACCTCGGCTCCTGGCGGCTGCGATCTCGATTTTGCGTGATGCTCAGGGTGAAGCATGCCCCTCAGCTTCGAAGAGAGCGACGGCATATCGCATCACGCTGCGGGTCCGACGACAAGGCCGATGCCGCGATATATTAGTAAGAACAATAAGGTAACGAAGACTGGAAGCACGGTGGGTTCAAAATGAACGATAGACACTCAGACAATGTGCAATACCAGTACTCCGTGGGAAATGGAAGACGACTCATCTTTCGCTATGAGGCGGCAATTATGGCCAGTGCTGCCCACTTTCTACGTAAAGCCGTGCTGGCATCGGTGGAAGCGGAATCATAGCCAGCCTCTTCTCAGGCGCAGAGTCTTATCGGGCCTAGAGCAGGCGCCACGAAAGCCAAGGGTTCAGCTGGAAGTCGCGCATGCAGTGCTGTTTACTCCGTACGTACTTAGCAATTGAGAGATGTAGCTATTGAACCCCTGTTGAATGCGACAGAAAGCTTACAAGGCTTCTGAGAGCAATCGCAACAACGGTTAGATTACAGACGCTGGAATTCGGTCAAAATCGACAGCGCCGATAAGCTGTGTGGGTGCGCAGTACGCTGTACCCGACAAGGGCCTCATGTCGCCGAGAAGGAGCCGCACGACAAGGAAGTGATAGCAGTACGGAGTACGGAGTACGGAGTATTGATTATCACCTACGTACGGAGTCCGCAGTGAATGGTTGGAATGCTCGAATAACTGCGACGGACACGAGCGACGATATGGTGGTGGGCTTTCAGGACACATCGCTGATTACACGAAGTTGAGGTAGACTTTTACCCTCTACACAGTAATTATTCCGTAGGAGGGTGCACGACATAACAAAATGCCTGTATGGTGATAGGTGCCCTGGTAGCTGACAGTCCCAATGAGGATTACCTGTCGGCAATTGAAACGCCCTAGCGAAGGAAGCAAGCCGCATCTGTGGCTCCCAGCGAATAGCGCCCTGACTTACTACTGGTTTAAGTCAGCCCGAATGAAAACACTAATTGATACTTGATCAATTCTCAAATCCCCGAGTATTATTGTTAAGTCTGCCTTGCGGTCGCCCTACTACTTGCCTCTTTCCATAATTGCAGGTCAAAAGCTACACAGCACTCGGTACCAGCTCAGCCGCTGTTTCGAAGGCCGAGCGCCATGTTTCAGAATAAACGCCCTCTCGCCTCGGGGTGCCATGCTACCCTCAAGCCACCGCCATCACAGCAGTATTTCGCCTACAAAGTACCCCCGACAGCCTCACTCCTGCATACGGAGTACCAGGCCATTGTTCTGGTCGCTTCCCGGCTGGGGCGCTAGATCCTATTATGCATGTGGTCCAGTCAGTTTATTGGGGGTACTCAGCCTGCAGCATTATCTGTACGCAGCAGATAGGGGAATCCTATCCTCCTGCCTGCCAAATCGCATACAAGTTGAGTTTCTCTCCTCGTGCGATCCCCTGCCCCTCCATGCTCGTCTGCTCGCCCTCGGAGCAATGCTCGTCCTCTTCGTTGCGTGTGCGCTGCTGTTCAGCACCTACGCCTGCGCCGATGGCACTTTGATCCCCATAACGTTCTACACGAACTTTGGCTTCAGCGGCGGCTGCACCACGCCCAGCACTCTCGCAACAAATGTCTCTCTGGAAATTGGCGTGTGCGTCGTGACTCCCGGCCTGGGCTCCTTCCATCTAGGTCTGTTCCCATGCGCCAGCGGGTCGGTACAGCAATACGTCTTCACCGATACAGCATGCGGGCAACTTAGCAGCGACTACTATTCAGGCGTGGATGATTGCTACGTTGCGTACTATGGGGCTATGGCCGCAATTATGCTGAGTTGTAATCAGGAGTCCCCTGAACCACCGAGCGCTACGACGACTATTCCCGTTGCAGCGATTGCCACGGGTGCCTCATCATCTTCAACCTCTTCGACAACGTCGGCGTCCAGCAACGGAGGTGGGGACAACTCCTCCCCCAGCGGCACCTCCTCCTCGCCGTCCCCTTCTTCCTCCTCCTCTGCCTCTGGGTGGAGCTCCCTGGATCTAGGCACACGCATCGGCATCATCGTGTCCCTTGCCGTAGGGATCCCACCAATCATACTCGGCATCTACACGATCCTGCAGAGGAGAAAGCGGAAGGCAGACGACCAACTGGCCCAGGCTCAAGGAACACCCATGCAGCCCTATCCCCCATATGCCCATGGACATGGCGGGGGAGGCCTGCGTGGATATTTCCCGCTTGATCACGCTGGCAGGGAGCCGCGGCCGCCAGGGCCTACACCGCAGATGAGCCGCGCTTACTACAACATCGATCTGGGCACGCGCGGGGCTTGATTGACGCGCTTTTGCCAGGCTGGGGAGCAGCATTCGGACGTTGAATCATGACTTTGTCAGGGACTCGTGTGCGTGGACTTTGTCAGGCACTGCGCACCCACCGAGAGCCGCAAAGGGTTGGAAGCGGTCGTTCGGGCTGTTGCAACCCATTGTCCAGCTCCAGAACGAGCTGACGTATCAGGCAAACACCCGATGCACATGTACAGTAGCATAGCTTCACGCTTGATGGATCGCCATCACTTGACGTGTTGTTGAACTTTCAGAATTGCTTTCGGTACAAGACACCCGGGTTGAAATTACGATTGTGCTGAAAGAGTTGTTGGGGTCAACAGTCTCTCTTATTAAAACCTGTAGGAGCTGAGTCGTCCACAGTGTCTGTCCCGTGAGCCTTGACCTCGACGCCACATCGACTCGCGATCTGTCAAATCCGCACTCCTCTAGTTGGCCCTCACGACAAGTGGGACCCGTGACAATTAAAGTTACTTTGTACGGAGGCGAGGCGGCACCACCCTCGTCCCGCGCTGGGTGCCGCGACCGCGTCCGGGACGTCCACCTTGGCAGGCACACCGCAGCATTCGACTTCATCAACATACTCCGTGTTTTCTACACATTTTGTGTCAGTCACAGGCACAAGACAAAAAGCATGGCTTCTCCAAAACCCATCAACCTACAAGTGCGTCCTCGAGGTACGAACGTTGACAAGCCTATTACTAAGTAGCTGCTAACATCTGTGCAGGAAAGCCCATCAGGAGCCTGCCTGAAACTGTTGAAGTACACCCGAATGCGGCCACAACCGACCTGTATTCCGAACTCGCTCGAAGAGCCAAATATTCCGTTGACCAGCTCCGTGTGACGAAAGGATCCGATGGCAGCGTTGTCACCAACAGTAAAGACACTACGATACACTCCACAGGCCTGCGTGACCAGAGCACGGTCTATGTGAAAGATCTCGGGACACAAATCGCATGGCGCACGGTCTTCCTGGTCGAGTACTTGGGTCCTATATTGATTCATCCCCTGGTCTTGGCCTTGAGGCCTTACATCTACCCGTCAGCGGCCAAAGATGCGTCACAACTGCAAACACTGCTCTGCACGCTGATATGCTTGCACTTCGTCAAGCGGGAGTTTGAGACCTTGTTCGTGCATCGCTTCTCGGCGGCCACGATGCCAATCCGGAACATCTTCAAGAACTGTTTCCACTATTGGATCCTCTCTGGCGTCATGATCGCAGCTTTTATCTACTCACCATCCTCCGTGGCAGCACAAGAGCCAAATTCGCTCCTGTTGTTTCCAGGCTTGGTGGTCTTTGCTCTCGGGGAGCTGGGTAACCTGCAAGCACATCTCACTCTCAAAGGACTCAGGAGCGCCGGAGGCACGGAAAGGGGCATTCCTCAGGGCTTCTTGTTCGATCTCGTCACTTGCCCTAACTATATGACAGAGACCATCTCATGGCTTGGCATCTACCTCATAAGCGGTCTTAGCTGGGGTGTTCTCATCTTTCTCATAGTGTCTGTCCTTCAGATGGGTCAATGGGCAGTGAAGAAGGAGCGGAGGTATCGCAAGGAGTTTGGTGACAGGTACAAGAAGAAGCGTTTCACGATGCTTCCGGGCATCTGGTGAGCGATCTATTAGACAACTCGGGGCTTGAGGCGGAACTTGAGCAAGCTTGGCGACTTTGTGTATTTGGGTTGAGTGTAAGATAAAGATGGACACAGCGACCTCCAGGTGAAATGAGTCTTATGTTTACAGCAACGCACCTTGTTGTCAGTTCACTCTCACCGAGATTCACAGTTTCAACTGCCCGAGTGACATGACTTCACCCGTAACTGATGCTCTTTCGACTCAAGCAGACACCAGAAAGTCTCTCCACCTCGTCCGCATTTCTCTCGAGTCAACTGCGACAAAGCAGAAGCAGAACTCCTTTCCTCGTCCGCATCATTCTTCAAGTCAATTTTGCCAGAAGCCAATCTCAAGTCACGATGGTGCTCCTTCTCACCCCAATCGCCCATGTCTTGACGATTGTCGGGGCTATGCCCACCACAGACATCGTCATTCGCACGAGACGTCCGCACTCGCCAGCGATGTGCTGACCTTCAATATGGACCCAGACGTGCGTGAACGGTGCGGCTACACTGATCAGGTGAACATCAATGTCAAAGAACGGGGCGATGAAGCCAAGACAAGTGACTACTGCAACCTGCTTTACCTCTACATCACCAACACCGCATCCAACGGCAAGGCCTCAAAGGATGTTGACCTGGTCTATACCTGTCCTGGAACTCCTGAACCCATCGATCCCGAAGGATATGTGAGTCTGCCTCTCGCTCAGAAACACATCTGGTCTAGTTGAATTAGCCTTGGTATGCTAACCACGTTTCTTAGGGTTACCGTGACATCAAGTTCATCCTCAATGCGCCAGCCACTGACGCCTTCCCCCGCGACCAGACCCGCACACCAGCGACTCTGCACCTTCTCAATCTGCACGATGGAGCCGATTTCACGGTGCCGGTGGAGGTGGGCTACCATATTTCCTCCAACTCGGAGATGATCTGGCAATATATTTATTGTCCATGATCCAGCGACATGGCAGCATCCGGTACATACCATTCAGGTCGATGAGGCAAACCTTCACTTACAGGGCCTAGGTGAAAAGCTCGTACTCGCATGGGATATGGTGCAGACAGCATGGGAGGGAAGTGTCAGTGACGATGAGCTGTGAGACGAAAGTCATGATGCTGGGAGCTGAGACATTCTAGCAATTGTCTTGACTGTAGAAGTATGTTCTTGCGGAACTTTCCCCGGCATAAACAAACAGGTTTCAGGCAGGTAGTAACGTAGAGCAGGGTCTAGCGAATATCACGCCAAGAAGGTGCTTCAATGGTCAAGGTCCCCGAAGCCTTTACTGTGGTATTGACTGCAATCGGTCAAGCAAATATGGACAATTATCTGGCGATTGTCCAAGTTCCCTCAGGGTCCGAGTAGCGGCTTAAAGGACAGCGTAATGTGTGTGTCCAGTACTCCGTACCTCGTAGTGCCTGTGTGCCTGTGTGCCTGTGATAACAGCTGCCAATCGGAGCGCACAAGGCTGGTCTACGTGAAAGCGGAGAAGACAGACTCCTGGACATTGCAACAGTACGTTCCTAGTTGCACGCTGGACGCCATGTAGTACTTCCCGGTCAGCAGATGAGCCATGGTATTTCTCCCTCTGGACCCGTGATCTCCTCCTTAGCTCTCCTTGAGACTCCCCCAAGATGCATTTCGCTTTGCCACCGCGCAAGACCTCACAGCCACCGCCGTATGTCCGCAACAGCAACCTGACTGCGGCAGCCCAGAGGCGGCGCAAGCAGATACAACTTCTTGCCTATGGGGTTCTTGGGGTCCTGACCCTCTATCTTTTTTTCAAGGCCTTTCGTTCCTTTCGTGTGGCAGACGCCCATGAAGATGGGGGGAGTTCCATTGACGGGCCTCAAAACATTGTTCTTGTCACCGTATTTGACCATGCGACCATGAGCAAGGACTACATGGCAATTGTAACAGCGAACAGGGACGATTATGCAGCAAGGCATGGTAAACGTGCAATCGATCTCCGTGTCGCAACATGCCCGCTGACATAGGCTTAGGATACAAGAACTTCTACACTAACACAACCACCTACCTCAATCTCGTTGACCCTTCCCCTTCGTCCTGGTCGATGATACCAGCCCTACGACATGCCTTGACAGAAATGAGCTCAAGCACATTCTTCTGGCATTTGTCCGCCGACGCCCTTATCACAAATCCTTCACTCTCCCTCGAATCCCACATCCTCCAGCCACTCGAGATGTTGATGCTCAAGGATATTCCAGTGGTGCCGCCTGACTCGGTCATTCATACATTCTCACACCTCAAGCCGGCCCGTACACATCTAATCCTGTCCCAGGATATTGACAACCTTGCCCACACTTCATTTATCCTCCGCAACACTCCTTTCAGCGCTCAGACCCCGGACAATTGGGCACATTACTTCCTCGATGCTTGGTTTGATCCATTATATCGGGCATATGCATTCCAGAAGGCGGAGAACCATGCACTGGAGCATCTGGTGCAATGGCATCCCACAGTCCTGGCGAAGCTGGTCTTGATTGATCAACGCAGGTTCAATTCCTACAATTATGCGACACCGCCCTCGAAAGACCCCTTGACTGGGAACACCAGGACGCATGACAGCATGTGGCAGGAAGGCGATCTAGTGGTCAATCTCAAAGGCTGTAGGGACGGCGCAAAGCGCGACTGCGAGGAAGAGATGAGGTATTACTTTGCGAAATGGATGAAAGAGGTGGACAGGCTAGATGGCAAGAAGCCTGATCACGATCTCCGCCCCCTAAAGACGAAACCTGTAAGGCAAGACTGAGTCTCCCTCTCAGTGGGGTAACAGGTCGTGTTTGCTTTCACCTGGCCACCAATTGCTCGATCTAATCTTCTGGTGACAGGGCGACAACAAGGTCAGACGGTTATGGTCTCATTTTCGGATTGCATGATTACAGGAAGGACTCCAAAGGGTTAAGAGCATAGCGTTGCGGAGTTCTCTTGTTGTAGTTTCAAGACTGGCTAACAGAACCAAATAGAAGGATACTTTTTCGCAAGCATGACATCAGATTGCACGGGGATCAGTCCTCAGGCAAAATCCCCTCTCTCAGCGCGCCGCTGGTCATATCTGAGTACGGCCCCAAGCAATACCTGGACGCCAACGGCACTGTGTTCCCGTCAGTGAGGGCCATGCTTGCAAGGGAGAGGCACTTACCAGTCCTCCGGACTACAGTACTCCTGCGGATTATGGCTCACGCCGTCTTTGGTGACGGAGAAGATCATGCTTGTCGGACAACGACGATTGGTATAGCAGCTGTCATGACCAGCTCCGCTGATCATATGTTTCCACAACTGTCCATCCTCAGCGGTCATTGGCAAGCCCTCACAAACGTCCTTCGCACTTTCCTCGACGACAGCAATACAATCCGGGTGGAAGTTCACGGCTGGGCTGTCGACCAATTCCTTCCATTCCACTTTACAACCCTTCTCGCTCTCTTTCTCTGCAATCCTGGCAAACTCTGAGCGACATGCTTGCTCAATCTCAGAGAGCTTTGCATCTTCCACGTGGCGGATATCCAGAGTAAAAGTGACGGTATGGGCCATGGTGTTGATAGATCCAGGTTGCTGGTTCAGAATCCCTGTTGTTGCAAGCCCTCCAAGCTTCTTCGCGATTGCATTCGACTCAACAATGAGCTTCGCGGCGCAGAGCATTGAGTCCATCCGAGCGGAGAACGGTGTGGTGCCTGCATGGGTGTCTCGTCCTCTGACTGTGACCTCAAACCATTTAAAAGCTTGCACACCTTTCACAACTCCGACCCTTCTTTTCTCGGCCTCGAGTATGGGACCCTGCTCGATATGGAGTTCGAAGTGTGCGGCGATCGGGAAAGCTTTGTAAGATGCCGGTTGCGAACCGAGGTACCCGATCCTCTCGAGCTCCTGCTTCATCGTCTTTCGTTGGCCGTCTTCACCAGCCGACACCTCTGGCAGATTCCAAGCTGTTTCCAACGGAACAGCTTCAGCCCACACCCCCGAGGAGACCGCCATCATCGGAAAGCGGGCTCCCTCTTCGTTTGTCCAGTTGACAACTCCAATACTACCTTCCGTCTCAACATTGTTCTCGTGCAAGACCTTGAGCACTTCGAGCCCAGCATTGACTCCCAAGATCCCATCATATCTCCCGCCAGTTGGCTGAGTGTCGAGATGTGAGCCGATCATGATTGGCGGCTGTGTTGCATTCTTGCCAGGTCTGACAGCGAACTGGTTACCCATCTGGTCAACGGTTGTTGAACAGCCCAGCGACTCAGCCGTCTTGGTGAACCAGTCCCGTACTTGTTTATCGGCGTCGTTCAGACTCAACCTTGCCATACCCGTCTCGGTTGGATCGCTGTCGTGGGATCAGTTGTGCGCTCTTGTTCTCTGGACACCATCACTTACTCTCCATATCTGTGCGCGGCGCCGAATTTGCAACCCGTGTGAATGGCGTCCAGCAACCGCGACTGACTGACTTTCAAAGCAGCTATGTCGTGTTTCGACCGCGTGCCATTGACACCATTGATGCCATTAATTCCGTCCGTAGCCATTTTTGCTATCCTCGATTGCCTCGGCTGGCTTAAACTACTGGCACTCAATGAAGCCCAGGATCTAGAAGCAGTGGTGGATGCCTTGCAGGATTTTGAAATCAGACCAGCAAAAACCGTGGCGGACATGGGCGAGGGATGAGAGAGCACAAACGCACTTCAACAAAGAGCTTTGGATCAAGCACTATTGGCCCTAATATATCCCGTGCCCCTTCTACGAGTGATAGGAGACGGCAGCCAGTGTTTGAGGAGTTGTCCGCAACCGGCGCTCATGCCGTCTGAGCGGACATTTGGAGATCCCCGAATGTATCCTTCGTGATCCTGGTTGATTCGAAGCCAACTCGCCACTACATCATTGCATTACCCGACAAGGCGAGCACCTGACTCCCATCTGCATCTCTCTTGAGATAGAAAGTGTCGTCCATACCTACCTTGTAGACAAGATGATCACTTGCGACCAAATGCTGTCGACTCGCAGTGGGACACCTGAATCCGCAGCAAACGCTCCGGAAAGAACAGGCAAGAACCCGCCATTCGCACAATCTGGTTGAATTTTATTTCTCCTTCACATAAACCATGGAAAACTCTACTTGATTTCGTGAGGGCCACTTCACATTCCTCTCGTCTCTCATTAAAAGCTGTGTCCTGGTGACACGGTGTGCTCTGGGTCTTTTCAGTTATATTTCTAGCCGCTCCGTGTTTTCTGTTGTCTTTCTCATTCGGGCTTCAGTTGTGGGCCTTCTAGCAGCATCGAGCATAAGAAACACAATTGTCGCACCAATTCGGCGTCATGGAGCCAGACGAGTCGATTCTAGATCAAGATGTTGTCAAAGCCACCGTTAAAAGCACGACGCCTCCATTGCAGATGAGCGAGCCGCATGCTGCTCCTGCAAAAGACGTTTTTGACAAGCATCGCCGTCTGGTTCAATGGATACTCGATAATGATGGGTACCTGGATCCCAACGCCCAAATAGCTTTCAGCCCAAGTAAGGGCTATCATGTCGTTGTGGCCGACGGCGCCACCATGGCCAATGGAACCCGTATCGCGAGCTGCCCGATGCCAGCCACGATGTCCGTGCTTAATGCCTTGGACATCGACCCATTCTCCAACCATGGAACTGAGTTCCCGAAGCCCTTCCTACGTGCACAATGTAGGAAATCGCCTGAGTGTTTGCAAGCTTTCTATTTGATGGACCAATTGATCCTAGGACCTACGTCGTGCTGGGCTCCTTACATTGCCACATTGCCGACGGTGGACGAAGTCACGGCGATGCAGTTTGAGGAGGAGGCGGACGTGGCCTGGCTGAATGGTACCAATCTCAGGGCAGGCTTATCTACACGAGCGGCAAAATGGAAGGAAATGTACCTGCAAGCCTCGAGTGAGCTGAGGCAACTGGGGTGGGCGAATGCCCTCAACGGTTCCTATACATGGTACGTAGGAAGCAACCAATCTACAGGGCCCCTACTTACGCAAGAAGGCCGCGATTTCGTTGGGCTGCTTGGAATTTTGGCAGTCGGTCGTTCACTTCCCAGGTCCTTGACGCCACTCTGCCAGCGGATCTTGCGCAGCTGAAGCGCACACCCAAAGGCTACGAGTCATACGACCTGGTCAAACTCTTTTCTGATCGCTTTGGCGTACTTCTCCCCTTGCTAGACTTGCTCAATCACAGGCCCGGGGCTCAGGTGGAGTGGCAAGCCCGGTACAACTTCGTGGGTCTACAGATCCTAGAATCGTATGAATCGGGGCAGGAGCTCTGCAACAACTATGGGCCACGAGATAACGAAGGTCTTCTCTTGGCCTATGGCTTCACTGTCCAGAACAACCCATTCGACCATCTGGTCATTAGCATCAAAGCGCCACCCGCCTCGCCGCTCGATGTGGCTCGGAAGGTTTGGAAACAAGATCTCCGGTCTGATCCAGAAAGGAGATGCTTCATCTTTGACTACAAGCACCCTGCGTCCACGTCAGCAATAGCTTTGGAGTTATCGCTGTTCTCATTCGACTTGCTAGACAGCATTTCTATTCTGTGCGCCAACGAACGCGAGATGCAGAGCATGAATACAAGGCGGCAGTCACTGATGAGCTTCTGCCTCCACAACAAATCGGCTAGATTCGAGGATGGCCGCATCATTCTAGCAACGTTGAGCCAGCTCTTAAGAGAGTGCTCTGTCCGTGCGGAGCGCCTCAGGGTCACCGACCCGGCTCGGACCGTCCTTGGCCTGAAGCCCGCGAATGCCAAACAGCAGAATGCCAAGATCTATCGAGACAGTCAGCTGGAGATCGTGGAGACAGCAGTGGCTTTGTGCACGTTCATACTGAAATGTGCCATTAGTGGGCCGTCCAGCGACGAGCAACTGTTGGTCGGTCTGCAGAACGAGGTTCCGGCGGCTGCATTGGCGAACCTAAGGACGCTCGTAGGACGGTATAGTCGACTTACTCGCCCTTCGGAGCTTCTCAATTGCAACGCCGTTGTCGAGATGGTCCCCAATTCAGATCTGCTCCGGAAGTGCCTATCTGAGCTGGAACAACATCTCCTCACAGCAGGCGCTTTTCCCGGTTCCAAAAGCCGGCTAGCAGTCGCACTCTCTGCCTTGTATAGTGAGTATTCCCACGGCGTCAAATTACCTCATAGAGTCACGGAGTGGATAAAGCAACTGTTGGCCTGGTACCCTGTGGATCCAACATCATGGGCCTATGTTCCTTCGCCTGGTCCGTGGGAGCCAGGAGAGGAGCCGCCAACGGAGCTCATGAGCCTCCTGACTGCACGGGCACAGCTGTCACCCAAGATGCCTGCGGAGTCCGCTGTGAAGCGGTGGCTCAAACCAGAGAGACTATGCTGGGGATGGAACGTGACAGAGGAGGAGAAGGTCCCAGTTCCATCGAGGATTGCAGAGCCCGAAATAGCCGGCGGCCACCAAGACGGTAACTCGACATTAATCTACTGGCAACGGTACTAGAGAATAACGTGTCGAGGATGGAACGCGCTTTGGACCCGTTGTAATGGGATTTGGATGTGAGCTGGGGACTCTCCTTGGATGTGTTGCAAAGGCACCTGGTAGAGGAACTCTGGGTCATGTTGTATTTCGTTAGCAAGAAGATTATGCAGCTCATGAATATGTCGCAAGGAAAGATAATACACAGGCATAGTCTACCGGTCTCCTCATATATCGGCACATTAGCCGAGGTATTGCCGGGCCTCAAAGCAAGCTTCCAGCCAATCAGAAAAGCTCAATATCGAAGACGACATGCAAAGGACATTGGCTTTTGTCGCCGCCGCCTCTCCTCGTCACCGGCACCTCTTCCTTCCTCCATCCCACCTCCCACTCCAGTTGAGCAGACCGCTCATTCTCAGCTCATCCACGATGATCGTTCGGTCGTCGGCTCCTAGAACTGTGGTCCGCGCGGCCTCGACAGCAGCTTCACGATCGTCGGCTTCGATCACCGCCACCGGCTCCTCTACCCTTCGAAACAGACGCTCTTACGCCACCGTACAGGAAGGGCAGCCCCAGAAACGAAGATATGGCGATCTGAAAGATCAGGATAGGATATTTCAGAACCTATACGGCCACCATGGCACCGATCTGAAGAGCGCCATGAAGTATGGCGATTGGTACAAGACGAAGGAGATCATATTGAAAGGCCACGACTGGTTGATCAACGAGATTAAAGCTTCAGGATTGAGAGGGAGAGGCGGTGCTGGCTTCCCATCAGGTCTGAAATTCGTATGTCATGCTTTCCGTAGGTGAGGAAGGCTGTAGGCTGATCAGCGAACACAGTCATTTATGAACTTCAAAGGCTGGGAGAATGACAAAAAGCCCCGATATTTGGTCGTCAACGCAGACGAAGGCGAACCTGGCACTTGCAAAGACCGAGAAATTATGCGCAAGGATCCGCATAAGCTGGTCGAAGGGTGTCTCGTGGTCGGTCGCGCGATGAACGCCACCGCGGCCTACATCTACATCCGCGGTGAATTCTACCACGAGGCCACTGTCTTGCAACGAGCTATCCAAGAAGCATACAAGGAGGGGCTGATTGGCAAGAACGCCTGTGGTTCGGGCTATGACTTCGACATCTACCTGCACCGCGGCATGGGTGCCTATATTTGTGGAGAAGAGACCTCCCTGATCGAATCTCTCGAAGGCAAAGCTGGAAAGCCTCGTCTGAAGCCGCCCTTCCCGGCTGCAGTTGGTCTCTTCGGCTGCCCGTCAACCGTCACCAATGTTGAGACTGTTGCGGTCTGTCCGACCATCGCGAGGCGGGGAGGGAAATGGTTCGCTAGCTTCGGTCGCGAGCGCAACCAAGGCACGAAACTGTACGCTATCTCTGGCCACGTCAACAACCCCTGCGTAGTCGAAGAGGAGATGTCCATCCCTCTCCGCGAACTGATCGAGAAGCACTGCGGCGGCGTCCGTGGAGGATGGGACAACCTTCAAGCCGTCATCCCTGGTGGTTCGTCAACGCCCATCCTTCCCAAGCATATCTGCGACGATCAACTCATGGACTTCGACGCCTTGAAAGATAGTCAGTCTGGCCTGGGCACGGCCGCCGTGATTGTCATGGACAAGTCCACGGATGTTGTCCGGATGATTGCCCGGCTGAGCCAATTTTACAAACACGAAAGTTGCGGCCAGTGCACCCCCTGTCGGGAGGGAAGCGCATGGACTGCGAAGATTATGGACCGGTTCGAGAAGGGTCAGGCGAAGGCAAGGGAGATTGACATGATGCAGGAGCTTACGAAGCAGGTTGAGGGACACAGTATTTGCGGTAAGCATGTTCACGCGTTCTCTTTCCCACGAATGTCCATTGACTTTTCCTGTCCAGCATTGGGAGAAGCATTCGCATGGCCTATTCAAGGCCTGATTCGGCATTTCCGACCACAGCTCGAGGCTCGCATCAAGGACTACGCCCAGAAGGCGGGTGCTGAGCCCTTCGCCGGTGGATGGGAGCCTGGTGCGGATAAGAAGGGCTTGCTTATCGCACCTGGGCAATGAGCTTGTGAGCGTGGGACACGCTTCGGTGAAATTAGGTGTGAGGAGAGCGAGATTGTTGAGGGACGATTGTCATGGTTTGTAACTGATGAACATCGGTGCGGCATGAGCTGATGTGATTGATTCAGTGAGCGCCACATTTGTCTCGTTCGTCTACAAGTTTCTCAGCCATGCAGGCATTGTAGATATCCTCTGGGGCATGTCCTCTTAAGCCAGAATGTTCTGTTCCACCTGAAGACCGGTGCTGTTCGTCTGAGTTTTCTTTCACTTACCTGTCACTCAGCGTGTTTCCGTTAACTGTTAATGACATCATTGTGATTTTCCATGGCGCGGTAAAACTTTGGTGAAGGCTGAAAGAGTTCGCGAGCCCTCGGACATTCTTTATGTGTCAAAGACGATGCTCATAATTCCTCCATTTACTTGGGAATGAACCCAGGTGATCTTCCTCTTGACGGTAGGTACCTCTAGCTCAAAGGCTCATGCGTGTTGTCCATTCCGACGTACTCCGGGCATCTCTTCCGGCTTGGTTTGATCATCACACGTCAGGCTCGACCATTGGATGTAGAGACATTTCACAACTTGACCACTTTTGACTTCATTGCTATTACGGTGTAGATGCCACATCTCAAACCCCACTGGAAGGACCGTCTAGCTACCAGCTTACATTCAATCCTTCCCAGCAACACGACCAGGAACAAGCCAGATATGGGGGCGTCGGACGGCAGCATAGAGGACGCGGCCATTCGGATAGTCGACATTGGTGTCGGCCAGGTAAGCGCTGTCAATTCACCTCATTTGATACTCGTCCTGATAGGCTGCGGACAGTCGCAAGGACCTCGCGACCACCAGGAAGACCGATTTAAAATCATCAGGCCTGGCGAGCACTTTGGGAGAAACATCGCGCTATTCGCCGTCTATGATGGCCATGGAGGAGACAGTGTCTCCAACTTCGCCGAGAACCATCTGCACGAGATCCTATCACACGAACTCCAACATCAACACGGGCGAGACGCATTCGACAAGGCGATCACAAAGTCATTCCAGGAGGTCGATCGACGGCTACGGGAGCGTGGGATTAGTGGGACCACCGGCTCAACCGTCACGCTTGCTCTTGTGGACGTGGGAAAGGGAACGATGGTAACAGCCGACTTGGGCGATTCGTATGCCTTCCTTGGCGTGCAGAGAGAGGATCGCCCGTTGGACGTCCTGAAGTTGTCGCAGTCGCAGAAGCCGGGTGAGAAATCAGAAAGGGAGCGCATAGAAAAGGCTGGAGGTCAAGTTTATGACGATTTTGGCGGTGCTCGAATTGGTGAGTTGAGAAACCCCGGCTGTTCGGGCAGCAGTTCAATTGACATTTGGGGATAGGCGGCGTCAACATGTCCCGCGCCCTTGGTGACCTCGACTACAAGAAACCCGGCCCTGGCGAAAAGGTTGCAGACCTCAAAGACCCGTCCCATCCACTCTCAAACATCATGAAGACCGACCTCGCTAAGGCCACAGGCCTCGCCGACGCCAACGACCACGACATGCTGGCAGATTGGATCTCCAACATCCCGCACACGAATTACCAGTCACTCACCGGAGCGCGCAGGTACATATTGTTACTGGCGAGTGATGGATTGGGCGAGGAAAAGGACGGCGCTAGTTCACTTTCGTGGGCGGCGAATCAATGGGACAAGGGCGTTGAAGCCACACATATTGCAAGGGAGTTGGCAGAGAAGTCGAGTCGAAGGACGAGTGATAATTCAACAGTTTTGATTGCGGTCCTTGAATGAGATCAGTTGGCATCGGCATTCAAGGAAGGCAGCATCGAACGTGCCTCTAGCCCACGAGGCTGAGAAAGGATGCAAATCTGAGCTGGAACATGCTGTTGCGACGAGCGACAACGCGGAATCTCAACCTCCTTTCTGAAGTCATGTCCACCCATCAGCCCACGGTCGCTGTGAGTTTCCCGGTCCCCATGCTGATCCCCAGGACAGGACTATTCCGCATGGCTGTTAGCATGTACGGTGAAGCATGCATCGGTTTACGGAGAGTGAGACCTGGCCGGGCCGACATAGAGCCGAGCTCATCGGCAAAGACTTTTCGTGCACATCAATCAACCAAACTTCGACCCGGCGGCTAAAACTTCCATCATTGACCATGGGCGGTCCGTCTCCAGAATCGATGTCAATCAACCGTTCACGGCAGCGTAGGAGAGTTCGCTTTTCCATTGTTCCTATCATCACATAGATGGCTACATACATATGATAGGGCCTGAATCTTCGAGGTAGGTCCAGCTTCGGCACTGTAGGTTTTCTGACCGGGGTTATCCTTTAGTCTTCATCACCATTGTTTTAAGTAAAGCAGTGAATCATTCGCATTGATCTGACCATTCCTATCTTTTCCGGACTACGTTGAACGCAGCATCTCACACCACTGATTGAAAGAATGCGCCCTCGATTCATCCCCACTATTGCCTCCCAATCGCTGGGACGAGCATGGTATCACAGGCTCGAGGACAAACTCGAACTCTGCTCCAAGTACGGGTTCGAGGCGATCGAGCTCTTTTCCGAGGATCTCGAGGCCGTCGCAAATTCATTGCCCGCATCACATCCGCCGCCAGCAGCGGGTACCTCGTTTGTCGGTTCAACAGAGAGGCACGAAAGTCAACTCGCCGCTGCCGACTATATCCATGGACTCTGCGTCCATTATGACCTGGAAATCCTATGCCTTCAACCGTTCATGCATTACGAGGGTCGCGTCGACCCGGCATCCCACGAGGCCGCGATCCAAGAACTGAATTCTTGGATCAAGCTCGCTCAAAGACTCGGCACAGATCTGATCCAGATACCCTCCAGCTTTCTTCCCGCTTCAGAATGCACGGGCGATCGCGGCAGAATCGTCACGGATTTAAGGCAGGTCGCTGACATGGGTCTGCACGCCGATCCACCCATCCGGTTCGCATACGAAGCACTAGCTTGGGGGACGCACGTGGATAGATGGGACACAGCGTGGTCGATAGTCCAGGAAGTGGACAGACCAAACTTTGGCACGTGTATCGACACGTTCAACCTCGCTGGACGGATATTCGCCGACCCAGCTTCTCCGTCAGGGCTTGCTACAGATGCACACGACAATATCCGGGGCTCGATCGCAAAGCTGAGGGCGGAGCTCCCTCTCGCGCTTGCCAAGGTCTTCTACGTGGAGGTTTGTGACGGGGAAAGACTGGCCGAACCATTGATACCCGGCCATGAGTGGCACGACCCAGACCAGCCAGCGAGGATGTCGTGGTCGAGAAATGCACGCTTATTCCCCTTTGAGGCCTCAGGCTACCTCCCTGTAGTGGAGATTCTGGAGGCTGTGTGTGACGCTGGGTATACTGGTCACATCTCGTTTGAGTTGTTCTCGAGGACGGCGAACCGGCCGGAGAAGCATGTACCGGAGCGCCATGCCCAACGTGGTGCCATGGCTTGGAGGAAGCTGGTGGAACATATGTGCTGGGACCAGCAGACGAGTCGACACAGCTCGGACCTGCTGCGTAATCGTCGGTAGGTGATGTCTCCGTTCTAGGTCGCGCATGCAGACGAGATCTAACTCATCTACAGGTTCAGCCTCTCCCACTCGAGCGAATCCGCGCCTTCTCTCACATCCGAATCGTCGAGTCCCCGCCTTTGATGGACCGCTGTCCAGCTGGAATGAGGAAGACAGATATGCAGGTTGCACAATGAGACGAGACTATCCGGCGTGTGAGCATGCATAGGCGTCCAGACGATCGCTCGGATATAGTCAAGTAGGCTACTTTCATCTCATCGGGATTTCGGCACACGGCGCAAACTCCATCCGCTTGATACTGTACATGACTTATTTTCTCGCACAAGCCTGGTGTATCATACCTAATTGACACACCATTTACGTACTTGTACAGTGGCCATGACTGTCACCCTCCAGGCCGATCATAATCCAGCGTCCTCACTCTCCGCCACACCTCCCTCACACATCTCTCCTGCCCCTGCCTCGCCGTTTCGCCACTCTCACAATCGCTCGCCGGTCTAATAGCAAGATATAGTCGGCCGCCCAATTTGGCGTCCTCGACCCTTCCCTTCTCCCAGTCCTCAGGCGGATTCGCCGTCGTGACCAACCCACCGGCCTCATGCACGAGACATATCCCCGCCGCGACATCCCACTCCCAACACCCACCTTCCCACCAGATATCAAAGCTCCCCATGGCCACGTACGCCAGATCCAGCGCCGCACTTCCCAGACTGCGCATCCCGTGCACCATGCCACCCTTGCCGCCCGGCCCATCAACTTCGCTCGCCATGGTCACGAAACTGTCCACTTTGCGACGCATGTTCCCTGTGGGCCCCTCCCGCCTGTCCTTCCCCCACTCGCACGAGAAAATACACCTGCGAGGCGCGTCCGAGGGTATAGGTCCCACACCCGCACTGCCCAGCAAAGGTAATCGCGTCGCCTCGTTCAAAAAGGCGCCCTGCCCCTTGCACGCGGAGAACAGCTGGCCCAAAAGGGGCGCGTAGATGACTCCGACCACCGGGACCTGGTTGACAACGAGCGCAATGCTCACGCAGAACATGGGGAAGCCGTGCGTGAAGTTGACGGTCCCGTCCAAGGGGTCGACGATCCACGTGGGCTTGTGGGTGACGCGATATTCCTTGGAGGTGCCCGAGGTGGCACCAGAGTGAGAGGCAGAGTACATCTCCTCGCCGATAAAGTCGTGGGTAGGGTACCGCGCGGAGATGGCGGCGTGGATGAACGCCTCGACTTGGAGGTCCGTCTGCGTGACGATGTCGACGGCGTTGAGTTTTTCGCGCGTCGTGAGTTCTTGGGGAGTTACATCCTCGTTGGAAGGGTTGGAGGGGGTCCTGCCGTCCTGTCCGTCCCGTCGTCGCGCGTAAAGACTGTCCAGGAGCATCTTGCCGGCGTCTTTGGCTAGCTGGATCGCGAACGTGTAGATGGTGCGTAGTTCGTCGTCATCGGGGATGTCGTGGTCATGTTGGATGGGCGATGCCATGGCTAGGTAAGGCTACACGTGCTTGTCTGGGGACGAATGTGCTGTGCTGTGCTGTGCTTCAGTACTGATCACGCGCTACGTCCATGGTACTCCGTGCTGGTTGTGACTGCGAATCGTTTCCACGGAGACTTCGTGAGTGCCTCAGGCCTCAGTGCGGCCGGAAAGTTCAGACCAAAGGGAATCAAATGCCGATGCGTGGTCTCAATATCCGGTCCGCTTCTCTCCCTACACTACGGAGTGTTTGTCTCCTGCGAGTCGGTTGGCATCGGGCCCCGGGGACCGTCTTCCGTGTCTGCAGCTCAGCTCCCGGCGTCGGACAAATGCTCTGCCGACAGCCGTCCTGGGGTTGAAGTCTCTCGACAATCCTTTCCCAGAGATACAGAGGGGTTACAGGTCAGTGATGATTCTTGCCAACAATTCCGCTCCGTGCAAGATCACGCATGACACGCCCTTCCGGCCTATGTGGCACGGACTCTGCCGACCATCGGCAAGAGGGCACAGTCGGGACAGCATATGTAAGTAAGGCTTGAATTTGCAGTCGATAATTAAATGACTTCGTGCCACACGTAGGTACGGTGTACGCCGTACTGCTCGATGATAGTCCATGCGACGGAAAGTATCATTACTGGTGGTGACCACGTCTGGAATTGACTTGGTGCGTTGAATCAAGTGGGCAATTCCCATCACTGTTGATCAACCACTCTTCACTCTTCACACGGCCTGGCTTGCAGCATTGCCCTTCCCCAGCATCGCCATATACAGTGCATACTCAGACAACAATCGGACGTCTAGGACGAGGTTTCGCACCTCGCTATACGACCTCCTAGAGATTGTCCGCATCCGGAACCGACTCACACTCTCCATCACCCAATACCACCGGAGCGCGCAAACCAAGACTCAGGGCCAAACACTGTGCAGAACCAGACTAGAACCGAGACCTGATTTTGGTCATGATCCAGCATCAACACTGATCTGATCTGACTACGCAGCTCCCACCCAGATTCAGACGCTCAGACCCAAAATGTCCACTCCCACCCCTCCTTCTGTCTCTCCCAGCAGGAAAATCCTCCTGATCAACGGCCCCAACCTCAACCTCCTCGGCACCCGCGAACCCACAATCTACGGCTCAGCCACCCTCCCGGACGTCGTGGCGTCGACCATCTCACTGGGCAAGACGCACAACATCGAAGTCCACGACTTCCAATCCAACCATGAAGGTGAAATCGTCGACTTTTTGCACTCGCATTTCGTGAGGCCGCGGGTGAGTGCGGGCGCGGGCGCGAGCGCGGGTGAGTCACCGAAAGCACACGATCGCACCGCTGTCATCATCAACCCCGCGGCATTCACGCACACGAGCGTGGCGATCCGGGACGCGCTTCTGGCCACGGGGTTCCCCTTTGTGGAGGTACATGTCTCGAATGTGCATGCGCGGGAGGAATTTCGGAGGCATAGTTACTTCTCCGATAAGGCTGTCGGGGTGGTTGCTGGGTTGGGGGTGTATGGGTATCGGGCTGCTTTGGAGTTCTGGGGGGCGAAGTGGGATGAGGAGGATGGGAAGGATAGGGGACGAAGATGAGAAGAAAAGGGAGGGCGAAGGAGGAACTTGAAGTAAGTCAGAGGAGAGGTGGTTACGGAGGCAGGTGGCCTCGAATTAGGCGGGGGAAGATACACCCGTATTGAACTCGGATGGGAAAGTGAAGGTGGGAATGGAATTGGATTGGAATTGGACTGTACTGGGAGTCGGACTGGGCATTGGAAGTTGGAAGGGGAATGCTCTTGGATGTATTCTCCGCTGAATGAAGCGTGTGCTATGTGAATTGCTGGGCGGTATCAATTTAGTGAGGGTTTGGTGTTGATATGCTGTGATGTGTCTGATATCACGGAGTATGATATCGTTGCAAGCACGACCCCTAAACGGCCTGTCTACGGGTCAACGCTGGCAGAAATGCATAGAGGCATACATAGTAGAGGCAAGTCAGCGATTCGACTCGACTCGTCACTTCGCTTCATTAGTTGGTATGGATGGCATCGACACCCATACATCAGATACGGGGAGCAAAGGAACAAACTCAAGCTCAAGAGATGACCAGACTGAAAGTCACGGTAGATGGCGTAACAAGGTCCATTCCATACCTACCCTATTCTACCTCGTACGGCATATCTGGTCAAACATTCGCACAGTCCAATCGTTACGTCCTAAGACCAGCCTGTCAAGTCCCTTGCACGTGGCGATCGGCAGAAAGGGACATTGTCCAAAGCTTCTTACACCTTCCCCACAGCGATTTCCCGTTCCTCCACATCCTCCTTCTCGCCACTGATGCTTTGACGCCGGAAATCTTGCTCCTCCAGCCTGAGGTGATTGAGGACCGTCCTGTGAGCGTGCCGCGCGGGGACTTCTCTGCTGAACAGCCGGTCCATGGCCTCCAGAGGGATGCCTTTGGTCTCGGGGATCAGGAAGAAGACGTAGACGGCGGCGCAGAGCATCAGGGATGCAAAGAACATGTAGACGCCGTAGGACATTGAGGCGAACATTTGCGGAGTGAATCTGAAGCGTTATTAGCCCTGTGGCACTTGAAATAAAGAAAATGGGGCACACGCACCTCGCAATGATGAAATTCCAAAACCAATTGTTCGCCGCCGCAAACGCCTGCGCCAGCGTGCGCACGTTCTGGCTGAACATCTCGGAGTTCAGGACCCAGGGGACGCCGTTCCACGAGGGTGTGTATGAGATAGTCCATAGGTAGAAGAAGGCCATGGCACTAATACCTCCTGAAGATAACTTGCCGCTGGGGTTGCCGGCCGGGTTGGCCACCGCGATGTATCCGCCGATATACCACATGCAAAGCGAGCCCGCGATGGCGCCGTACATGAGCAGCGCGCGCCGACCGAGCTTGTCAATCAGGAAGAAGAGCCAGAAGAGGGTGACCACGGTTTTGAGGACCCCAAAGATCCCCGTCGTCAGGAGCGACGTGTTTGTGCCAGTAATCCCGATGGACTTGAACACGGTGGGCGAGTAGTAGTTGATGGCGTTGATGCCCGTGGCGTTCTGCCACAGGAAGAGAGAACCACCGAGGAGGAAGCGGTAGGTGACTTTGCGGTCGTTGACGACTGCCCGGAATGGTTGCCAGAAGCCCAACCCGACTGTGGTGCGTTGGTCCTCGATCGCGTTGTCGATGGCGAAGATCTCCTCTTGCATGTAGATGTGGTCGGGCGGGAGCATGCGGAGCCAGCACAGGTTCTTGATTCCTTCCTCACGTCGTCCTCGGGAGAAAAGCCAGCGCGGGGACTCGCGGATGACAAGGGCACCGACGAACAAAAGTCCCGCGGGGATGAGTTGGACGGCGAAGGGAATGATCCATTGTCTGTGTGAGGGGCTCATGGTCTCGGACACGCCGTAGTTGATCCAGAAACCCACGAGCCCACCAATCTGCCATGCCATCTCGTACAGCCCGACCAGGCGGCCACGGATGGCTGGTGGTGCGACCTCGGAGCAGTAGATCGGAGAAAGGTTGGACGCACCGCCCACTCCCATGCCGGCGAGGACGCGACCTCCGTAGATCAAACCGAGACCACGAGCTCCGCTGGCGCCCAGCATCAATCCCGCTCCCAGGGTGAAAATCGCGGCGAAGATGGTCAGGCCGATCTTGCGTCCGAGGTAGTGGCCGGCAGGGTACGCGAAGAAGGCGCCGAAAAATGCTCCTGCTTGATAGCAAGAGACGATGTTCGCCGACGTAAGGTCGACGGCCGACTTGGAGAGGCGGTCGAAGTGGAATTCGTCTTTGAACGACGTCAAGGCCAGAGTGCCGCCGATGAATGCAGAGTCGTAGCCGATCATCATCGCTGCCGACGCTGCGACGGCCGCTGAGAAGTAGACCCGCCAGTTGTAGACAACCTTGGGGGTAGGGCGGTCTTCGACCAAGTTAAGGAGACCCATCTTGCTTGCTAGTTGAAGGGAAAGGGCAACGGATCTGGAGTGAGGCTGCTCTCTGTAGAAATCTGGGGAAACGTGGCCACGAGCGGAATATAAGTAATTATTCAGGACAACGCAGAAGGAGGATCGACAGCAATCTGACGGAAGCTCATCGGACACGACCGTGCGCAGAAGACTTTTCCCCCAGAGTTGATCCACGGGGTTCAGAGGATCGGCTATCCAACCCACATCCGCGGTCCTCGACTCCCTTAGGTCTCTGTCGTCTGTGGTTGCCAGTTCTGATCCGCATTCCGAGGGTGCGGAGAGGAGACCGGGGTAGCTCCCAGCCAGTAGGCAATCAGAGAGTGTTCTTTTCCGGTCACGACGCGGCGGGTTTGTGTTTATCCACCTCGCTGTTGCTCCGATTCCAGCCTCTAGAGACGCATGGATGACGCAGGCTTAGGGGCCGATCCTGAACGCAATTTTCACCGTCGGTAACCGGAGTCTCGCTTCCTTCGCATCGGAAGCATGAACGGTGCACGTCGGGCGAACTTCCGCTCGTGTCTTCAGTCATGAATGTGCCCACCGAAGGCTTGTCAATGGCAATAGAATATCCCATGTGCGGTGGTCACTCAGTGTATGTCAGCTCTCCTTACACAAGTCCATGCGGTTGGCGATTGAAAGAAGGCTGCATCCTGGTCTTTGGAAACCTGGTTTTCCCGCCCATTCGTGACAGCAACTGCTGGAGATTCAAAGCATTGTCGTCGCGTGTCAACAGCGCTCTCTGAACCTGACTGAGCAATGGCACAATTCACCGCTCCAGATACCTCGTCGCTAGACCGCGTCGCTTACCTCGTTGGCTATCCGATAGCTCACTCCAAATCACCTTCACTGCATCGCGCGATATACTCAGCTCTAGGGAAACAATGGGCTCAATTGCTCTGCGAGACAACGGACCTTGAGGCTTTTTTAAGGCATATGAAGAGTGATCCGAAATGCATGGGGAGCGGCGTCACCATGCCATTCAAAGTTGCCGTAATCCCGCATCTTGACGAATTGACAGATGAAGGGAGGACCATCGGTGCAGTCAACACAATTGTGTTCAAGACAGGCCAGAACGGATCGAGGAAATACTGTGGCACGAATACCGATTGTTTGGGTATCCGTGATGCGTTCTTCAACAATGTCGCAGGCTCCTCTTACCGAGGGAAACCAGGCCTCGTCGTGGGCGGAGGAGGCACTTGCAGAGCAGCCATCTATGCCTTGCAGGAATTCATGGGCTGTTCACCGATATATATCATCAACCGGGATGCCAGCGAAGTCGAGGCTGTGCTTCAAGAATGCCACGCCCGAGGGCTCGGGGAGAATCTGATGTGTGTTTCCACGACTGAACAGGCCAAAAGTCTGACACCTCCTGGAGCTGTCGTCAGTGCTGTTCCGGATTTCACTCCCAGAACGGAGGACGAGAAGACGGTGCGGGAGATTTTATCCTTTTTCCTGAACGCGGAAGAGAAGGGCCCATTGTTGGAAATGTGCTATCACCCCACTCCTGACACTGAGATATCTAGACTTGCACTCGCCTCCGGGTGGCAGGTGATTGGTGGGATAGAAGCAATGATCGGACAAGGACTCGCACAGGCGAGTCTCTGGACTGGTATCGAGATTGATGACAGGCTGCGAGATATCGCTCGCTCGGCAGTCCGGGGACAAATGGCCGGCCCATGACTCTGGGAGCAAGAGGATGTACTCGTAACCGAAAGTGTTTTCGTCTAGCGTATGTTCCCACGATCCTGGCAAAGTTCGCCATTGACATTTCAAGTAAAGAACTGCTCGCCGTCGACGTAGTATGTTGAGTTGTTGCGGAGGCATGCACGCGCCGCGTCCACCATACAGCCTTTTGGTGCCTTTCTCCCAGTCATGGATTCGAATTGACCCACGGCTTGCTCAATGAGCGCCTCAATGCCATCAACCAAGACCCATGGTCTCCGTGTAGCCTCGCGATATTGTTTGATCTGCTTGATTAACGGTGTCTCCTTCGTCATATAGGCCATCTCAACGACAACACCGCCACTAGGTGATTGCAGCCATGACTCGGGCATCTCGAAATCTGCGCCTGGGTTGCCGTCCAGTAACTCGTGTGTGACACAGGAGACCACAATGGTTGGGAGAGCGAAATCTGTCGGCCAGGCATCGGTTGTACGTTCAATGACCCTCACATAGTCCTGTTGAGGTTTTAGTGCGCTGCTGTTCCCTTCAGCCCGAACCAACTCGTTAAAGTGTCGAGCCAGGGCCAAAGTGTTTGCGGTGGTCCTGTTGTAGACAAATACATGCTTGCAACCTATCTGCAGCATCGCATACACCGCAGCCCTTGCCATGCCCCCGGCACCAATGACCAGACTCGTTGTTCTGGGCTGAATTGCATTGCGTGGGGATAGGCTTCGCTTCACGCAGTTCAGGATACCAATGAAATCGGTATTATCCCCAAACCATCCGATGATACGCCCTGCATGATTGCGGGAAAGAGCTTGAGCTTCCAGAGCAGACGAAGCCCCAGCAGTCGTCTCGCGCAGAGGTAGCAGGGTGTTAAGGGCGCCGATGGCTTTGGCGTGCCCACTAAGCGCATGCGTGCGACCAACAAGTTTGACCTTGTAGGGTTGCACGATGCTCAATCCGCCCATAGCATCATCTTTCGCAAGTTCTTCGATGTCCTCCCACGTCGTGATGTTCCTAGTGCTGTACTTGTGTTTCAGGCCGACAAGTTGATAGGCGGCATTATGCATCGCAGGAGATAACGACCCAGAGACATTGGCGCCGACTATATAGAAGTGCAGAGGGTCAAAAATGTAGCTGCCGGATAGGCCACTGATGATGCTCTCGGAGGACAATAGCGGTCGGAGAGTATGCTCCATGTCAAATTGAACGCCTGTGATGCTGGGGTGAGTGACCGAGGTCAGGATCGAATTCATCATTTGCGATGTTCGCCCAAGAGGACCGGTATTGTAGGCTATGCAGGGAAGTTGAGGACCCTTGAGTCCTTTCAATCGTTCCTTGAACCATATCGCACTGTCATTCTCCTGACGAGACATGGGGACATTGAGAAGACGTATTAGCTCAAGTTTAAGGTATACCGCTCGCTTGTACATGTCCACCAATACCGGGTTTTTCCAGCCTTGGCCATCCACGTTTGGATGGAGGTACGTTCCCACAAGCTTCGTGTGTCCTTGCACTGCCTTGAGCTGGCGGATCTGAGCATCTTCCAGGTCAAGATCCAGAGACATGTACTGTACGCCAAGCCGCAATCCTTGCAATAAGATCGTCATGTAATTGTCGGTCAGAGCGGCCTCGCTGAGCTTGCGGCTAGCCGACAGTAGGATGGGTACTCCGAGTACCCTTCTGACCACGGCCACCATCCTGGCCATTGCCGATACTGTACATGACTGAAATTGATCGACATAAATCTCTAGGACATCTCCGGCGGCCTCCAAGACCCCAAAGTCAACACGGTCTTGAAGGAAATCTGACAGAGTGACAAAGAGCGTATGAGTGAATGCTCGGGACTCAACAGGGCGTTCTAGAGAGAAAGGGGACAGAAACATCGAATCAGCTGTGTGCTTTCCTGTGATGAACCGAACGAAGGAAGAGAAATCGGCCTGAGCTTTTCTCAGCTTGAAAGAATAGGTTGGTGAGGCTCGGTCTGTGGAATCAGAATCTGCGAGCTCATTCGATGAATCGTCCTCCTGGTTGTAAAACTCGTAGTTGGAACATTTTCGATGTGTTGAGTTGCCGCTCTCAAGCAGCTTCGCAGCTCGTACGTCCAGGTTCAGCAGCTGCTTGATTCGAGCCATATCTCTGACCACGAAAACGACGGGATTCGTCTGGCTGTATCGCTTGAGGTAGTCCTGAAGACCACTCGTGAGGCTCCCAAGACCACAGTCGATGACGCATTGGTACTTGTTCTCTTCGAGCATTCGCTTGGAAGTCTCGATGTCCTGTCTGTGGAATTGCTCGCTGCCGTAGACTTTGAGGTAGTCCTGCCTGGAGAGGCCATTGACAGTCTGAAAGTAGTAGTCTTCGGTCACGAAACGCCATCCCAGTGCCGTGGCAGCTATTAGACCCAAGGACCGCTTTCCGGATGCTCTTATTCCCACCAAGACAACAGAAGCATCCGGATGAAACCGACGTCCAGAAGTTGATGTGTCTGGAAGCGGTGTTTGGAAAGGACGCTTGGAGGTCTCTGGCTCTGTCGAGGCATTTCGGACACTATGAAGCGATTGCTGCTCGGATGGTGTCTGGGCGCCAGACTGATGCGACGAGGTTGCGCCAGAGACAGGAGGCCGTACTCGACTGTGTCGTAAGAGCGCATCGAAACCGGTGTCATCGAGCTGAACTACCCCAATCTGATCTGCCATGATAGGTGATCATCTTCGACCAAGAGCGCGGGTCGACTGTTTGCTGGAGATGTCCTCTTACTCCTAGAGTGTCAATTATTTAGTCTAAGGCGGCCTTAATTAGGGGCGCCCAAGCTTCCATCCGAAGAAGGGACGTCCAGCCGAGGACAAAGTGATAGGCGCTGTTACTTAAAGGACCTCTCCTGGAGATCTTAGGTGGCATTAATTCTCAGTCCCGAGCTTCCCCCACACTTGAAACTGACCCCCTAAAACAGCCTGGAAGGGCTTTCGCAGGCTTATCGCTAGCCGACTCCCAGTAATACGTACAGGTAGGTACTCACCAAAGTTTACGTAGCAGCCGGGAAGAACTCTGGACGATAGTTTCCCACCAACCTACCAGCGCCTCTACAGACGAAACATCAGCGTTCACCTTGTCGGTACAGCGTAGTCCACAATTCCTCCTCGTGTTCTCACAGCCTAGGCTCAAGTCCCGGGAGCAAGAACTGTCATTTCGAACATGGCCTGCATGCTCTTCCCCTCTTGTGATGGCCTCACATAGCACGGGCGTGGATGCGAGACCCCCCCGGAACAGCGACGATGAGGAAGCCGCAAGGAGATCTCGAGCCCGCGTCTCGCGCGCCTGTACACGATGTCGGACTCGAAAAGATAAATGCGACGGCCTCCAGCCAGAGTGTTCAAACTGCGCCAATGCCAACGTACCTTGCATATATATCGCAGCAACCAAGAAACGAGGACTCCCAGAGGGATATGTTCGTGGAATGGAGAAGTTATGGGCTGTCATGCTACAAAAGGTTGATGGTCTTGACAAAGCTGTGCGCCGCGTGGTGGAAGAGCGCGAGGACGAATTGCTGCATATATGGAACCACCAGAAGTTCGGTGACGAGCTCCACACATTCTGGAAGGACTCCAGCGTACTCACGGACTTGGAAAAGCTGTTGTCGCGCATAGATCATGGCCCTCAGCAGGACTTGAAGAGGAAACGCGACAGAGAGGACAGCGGGATGTTACCAGCCTCGACCAGCAATCCCGAAAAGGCCCTTGCATTGACCTCCGATTTCAAAGTGACCGAGTTATCGACAGTTACGCAGTCGACCGCACCAGCTCACGTCGGCTTGACTGACCAATTGCTTTGGCAACGGCCGCAGACAGGACCCAATCATACCAACTTGGAGTTGCCAGCACCCATCGACGTGTACGTGGGAAGGCCAGAGATTCCACCTTTGGTGTCAAGAGACCTTGCCCCAGAGAAGGTACCACTGCCTCCAACCGCTTCAATGCTCCTTGACCAGTATTTTACCTATACTCACTGTTGCTTCCCCATTCTGGACAGACCGTACGTACTACGGAAGTTCTACGAGCACACCAGACCACGAAACCCGGTTCATTTGGACAACGGCGACCTTGCTTGCCTCTGGGCTATCTGTGCCTACTCGCAACAGCAAACAAAGCACTTGGGCCTACAGCCCAGCATTGGACCTGGTGCTTCTGTTGCCAACATGCGTGCCCGTGCCAGGGATCTGATACCACCAGAGAGTGGACCTTTCGCAATAAACCATGTGCAAGCGCTTTTGCTGCTTGCCCTGCTCGACGTGGGACTTGGTGACTGGACGTCTGCCTGGATGCTAACCGGATATGCAGTCCGCGCTTTTCTCGATACGCAAGACGCTCATTTCCCCCAACAGCATGGTAGAGCGCTTACAAGCGCTGCTTCTTTTCTCGCCGGGCAGGGAAACGACCCAGGCTCACATCGAAATCCAACAGACGTTAGGCAGCAAAGGTGGCAGGCGGTACTGCAAGGTTGTTTCATCTTGGAGACGGTGGTTTCCCTCCGGCTGAGAAGAACTCCACATCTTCGACGTAGCCAATTCAATCTGAACTCTGTGCAACTTATCGACGAGGACGGACACGAAGAATGGGAGCCTTGGCTCGTTAACGGCGGGGCTAGGCCACCATCTCACGAGCCCGCTTTCGCCATCAGCTGCTTCAATAGGTTGACAGAGCTATGTGCAATTGCTAATGAAGCCGCAGACATTATTTTCTATGGAGTTGATCCTGGAGCATCATCGACGCAACCGGTCTGGCATCAATTGCATGCGCTTTCCGAACGATACTGCTTCACAGTAGCAGAGGTAGAGCGACGTCCACCACATCAGATGCTCTTGCAAGCATGTCATTTCATAGTCGAATCAGCTCTACTCCGGACGACCCATGATATTCCGCAAAACCCAGCACCACGATGTCGTGAAATCCTCGAGCTCTTTGAGCAGTCCTGGAATCTGCCTGAGAAGTGTGGTATTCCATCGATCTTAGTAGCATTTTGCCATCTGCTCGGCCCTTCCGCGATCTGGGGCAATTTCGCTGAGACGCGGTCAAGATTGTCGATCTCGTGGCCTGGGTTCAGCTCTTCCGATGCTGGTGGGATCGATTCGATGTCAGCTGGGGCTCCGAGTCTCTCGGCCCACAATTCGGCCTCTGTTAACAGCCCTCTGCTTCCAATCTCTCCCTTCGGTTTCCAACCGCATCCTACCCTTCTTGGTTCGACCACACGCCATGCCGAGCGGCCGGTATCAGTTGGCTATCAGGGAGGAATGAGCTATAACAACGCGCTTCAACTACAACAACAACCCGAGCCCCCAGCAAGCGACTATGGAGGTATGAGCATCGACATACCAGGTCAAGACCAGATGGATGTCGGCTTGGAGAAACAGATGGCTGTGGGGTTGGGTACATCACCCAGCTTTGATGGCGATGAGATTGACGCCTTGTTCCATGAGATGGCTCAGCTTGATACAACCCAGTGGACTGTGAACCGGACGCAAGGGTTGAAAGACTTTGGGTTTGCCGACGATTCTACTTTCCAAGCTTTCTGTAATGATCCGGATCGCCTGATGTTGTCAGAAGGGTACATGGGCCCAGCGTTCAATGGTGGTAGTCTGGCTTCTGGAGGCCAGGCTGTGGCCGCGAGGGGCGATGATGCTCAACTTGGGAGAATGTCGTTTGAGGACATTTTCAGGTAGATAACAGTCCAGTCATCTAGGTCGTCCAGGCTTTTAGCGTCAATTACACGGTACTACTTCGTACTACGTGTCACATGGCCAATAGCTCAGCCTTGTCTGTGAGTCGTGTTGCAGCCTTGGCAAATAACCGAGGTTATACCGGACACAAAATGCGCGTTGAACCTGCCAGGATGGAGGACCAAGCACATTTTCTCGAACAAGCTGTGAGACTCAACTCCTCGACAACCTCGAGCTACAAAGCAACTGATCAGGGTGTACGTGTGTCCTTCCTAAGCCTCTTCCGGAATCGCCCTCAGGCTCTCAATCATTGTAGAACGACTGCGTTCACCTATCCGCAAAAATCGAGCTGCGTTCAACTAGGGTCACCCATCCATATCCCCTCAGCTCCTGCCGCCTTGCTCGACACTGCTATACGTTGCAAGATGCCGCCTCGGGGTGCCTCCACGGCTATAAATCCAGTGCGCTTACAAACCGTGTCGCGCTTAAAAATCAGGCATCCCGACAAGCAGGAGCCGAATCCCTGTCTGGGACCCATGACCGCTATGTTGAGTACGTTCTACCCGCGGGCCGCTATCGAAGATAAACAAAGGTGGAAGACCTGGGGAGATAGCAGAAACCTTGTGGCAACCTTGACGCTATCAAGAAGAGGAGTTGGGATAATGAAGCATGAACATGGCTGCATGTCGATTTGAAGAGCTGGAGGGCACGCTAGGGATCCTGCACATCATACTGACATACTCCTTGAATAGACTGCTGGGCCGCCGGTGCCGCTTCAGGAGGGTGTGGACACCTCGAAAAAGTCCTGCGCGAATGCATGGATGCACCTGTACGTTACGACTATTCCATGCACCACTTGCATCCACGTTCCGATTGGGTTGGATCATTTGCTGACTATGTGCGCGGATAGAAACCCCCTGCGAAGGCCAAATCCACGATAAACCACCATCTGGGACGACTGTACCCGTTGATTTCGGGGCCGAAGAAGAAGACCTGAGATGATAGTACGTACTTATCGCGTCATTACGAGTGCGGCTTCATGACGCTCGACGCCTACAAACCTACTTCACTCTGGCTGGGAACTTCGGGGGATGATGACAATATATGTGCAGACTTCCCTGGGCAACTTCACGCAGCATGGACTGGAACGTTGTAGGAAACGTTCCAAAAATTTGAGCATGTACCATAGCAGGATGGAAATAAAGCAGGGCCGTCGTGGCCGACCTCGGGAAATTTCTGCTTGCGATTACTGTGATCTGCTTCGGGCAGCTGCATGGTGCGGAGGCCGAGAGGTACATTGATCTTGATCTGGAAGGGGCGTACCGGCAGGAAGGCGACTATGTTGATGTGATGTTGGTCGAGGCGACTGTTGAAGGATGCTATGGTGCTGTACCACTGCAAGGCCACATATATAATCCTTTCGCAGCGTATGTGTGTTTGTGATGCTGTTTTGCCCATGCACCGTACATATTGAGGACAAGCACTTAAGTGTGCAATAGTTAGGCATGCGGCTGTCTGTTTCCTCAGAAGCTGCTTGGCCGAGCCTCGTCTGTGGGAACTTTGGGTTCAGATCGCAAACTCGTGCTCTTGCCTCTCCAACCACGATCTTCGTCAAGCTCGCTCTTTCTTCAGTGGATGCTCATGTACGTCTCAACCACCGTTTTACTCGTTTGGACCCTGGCACGGGAACGGTGGCTACTTTACGGTCCGTGACGCCAGGATCGAACTCCGCATCTGGCAGGATACACCAATGGCCATTTCAAGAGCTTGGATCCCGCTGTCCTTCTGCGCGAGCATAGCCGCCAGATGGCTGGATACTTTTCACCACGACAAAAGTTCCCTGATCAACCACTCAAACACGGCGGGGCTCAATAGCCGCTGCGCCTCGATGCCTGTTTGCAAGCCATGACCTTGGCCACTCATGAAATCCTTTAAGAGTCCACAGTCGAGGACAGAAGAATACAGTCACCACTTCGATCCATATGTCAGTCATGCTGAATACAGCCAACACTCCTCGATTCATAGTCCGATAATGCTGGATAGAGGCAGAGACAAGGATGTGCTCAATTTCAGCTGATGTACTCCGTCACCTCCCCCAGAAGCTGTGCGACGACTGCGCTTCACTGGATCTCGAGGCTCCTTTTTCGTCGACGGACTTACTCTTTGGGAAGGACCAAAGGGCAATCGTCTTGAAGTATATCAGGCAAGACGAGCTTGAACCCTCCTGTCGTCTTTGCGTACTCTTGGCCCACACAAAGAAAGGCAACATGAAAGACTTTGTAGATAGTCTGATTGTTTCCCCATATCATAGAGGTGACCTCTGGGGCAATTTCAAGCCACATATCATAATTGGCTCGTATCCACCGGATCTGTACACTTCGCGCAGCAAGTCGGGCGTCGCATTGCTCGAAAGGGATCGACTAGAAGAAGCTGCGATCTTCCACTTCAACGAGGATTCCGGTCTCATATTACCTCTTTATCCGCCAGACAATTCCCAATGCTCACAAGGTCGGCGGATCCAGACCCAGGGTATCGACTTCGGTCTTGTGCGAAATTGGATCGAACAGTGTCGAAGGGAACATCCGAGTTGCTGTAGCTCACGGCCAAGTCGGGAGACTCGTCCACACTACTTGCTGGACTGCAACACCAGGACTATCGTGCAAGACAGGGGCGACATGGACTATGTAGCGTTAAGCTATCTATGGGGATCATCTTCGGCTACTTTCAACACGCGTGTGAAGCATCACGTCGGCGAATCGCTTGGCCCTTTACCACAGACCATCGAAGACGCCATCATTGTCACAAAGCACGTCAACATGCGTTATCTCTGGGTGGATCGTCTCTGCTTGCCGCAGGATGAAACGACAGACTTCTACAATGATCTCAGGTCAATGGCTGTGCTGTATGAATCCGCCGAGCTGGTCATTATTGCTGCGGCTGGCGATGGAGCTGACTACGGTCTCCCTGGCGTGCAAGCCCGACATCGGCTGGAACAGTGTTGTATCCAAATCGGCGGCCATGACTATATCGTCTTTGACACGCCACTGAGATTGGCTCTGGAGGAGTCCAGATATATAACACGAGGATGGACATATCAAGAGGAGGTATCGTCAGCCCGGCGGCTGTACTTTACTGATCACCAAGTATATTTTGAGTGTCGGGCCTCTCAATCGTGCGAATTCGTGGTCAATGCAGACACCCTGCCGCGTTTCATGAAGGGACGCAGAAATGACAACCCAAAAGCCGACCCAACAGATATCGATACGATGAACACCGCCTGGCGCCACATAAAAGCCGTCTCTGAAAGGGCTCTGACGTATGAATCAGACGCCCTGAATGCTGTCTTGGGTCTTCTTGAGAGACCAGAAGCTCCGGACACCACCCCAAGAGTCCGGCACTTGTACGGCATTCCATTGCCGCAAGATCACGTCACGGAGCGTTTCACGGAACAGCTTTCCTGGAGAGTTCTGGGCAGCAGGCGCCGTCTACATGACTTCCCCAGTTGGTCCTGGGCGGGTTGGGCCGGCCGCGGATATATGTTCGAGCCTAGCGTGTCACCTCCCGCTACAGGCCCGACTACCTCGGAGGTTATGCTTGAAGACCAAACAGGCCGCTTGACTCCGTTGATTGATGTGTCTCTGATGCGCGGAAACGACTTGCTTAGCGTCATGCCCCAAATCCTCCACATCACAGCACAGGTATGCGAGTTCCAATGGAGTGGACTCCGGGCGGCATCGAAGCCAGACGGCGTCCTCGTGACCATGCCAGGCAAAGATGGTGAATCTCATGCATCCATTGTAATGAGCACGAATTATGACTTGGACGAGCTCGAGCACATTCTCCAGCCACCGTGCAAGCTGCTCGGCTTGTTACCTCGCGCGTGGTCCTACTCCTTGTACTGGGAATGTAGGATGCTTGTTGTAGCGGCAGTCCGCGGCGGAGAAAACCCCGTGGAGCGAGTCGGTACAATATTTCCTAGAGACATTATCATGGCCGACATAGAAAACCCCAAGCTGTGGGGTTGGAAAAGAAGGACGGTGCGGATACGATGACGGAGTTTTCACTAGGCTCGACCAGACTCGACAGGACGCGGATGGGATTATCCAGCACACGGGATGAAGACCTCAGACCTCAGACCTCAGACCTCAGACCTCAGATCAGCTTTTGTTGCCATGAGGATATGACCTTGGCGAAGATTGTCAATGCGAGGGATACATACATAGGCGCATGCACAGAAAGACAGCGAAATGCGGTGTAGAGGAGAGGAAGGGACGAACTGAGCTCAGCGCAACGCCAATGTGAGATCCATCCCCATCGCCACTCCCAGTTCATTAATGTATCGAGTCCAGCCAACGGAGGGGTAGAGGTAGGCACATGTAGAGAGATGTACCCAGGTAGATTGTTACAGGTTCATTCATTCACGTACATTGCATCCAACATACCTCCCCAATACTCTTTCGTCGGCGGTTGACACCTTATCGACATCAGCGCGCGAGCACCCCGGCTTTTCCCTACATACCGAGCCCCTCCGTGACTGGACTTGACCTCGCGGTATGATATGTATCTCTTCGACTCGACAACAACAAAGTCAAATCGCAATAAAATTAAACTCACCGAGCGGTCAATTAGATTAGTTCCCTTACACAGTCAATCACAGTCACGATCAAAGTCACAGTAACTGTCGTTTGAATCATTTCCTCGACAAAAGGAATACCAGGAAATGAAAGGGGATCCCCAACCCTCCGTATGATGATTTGAGATCACAGTAACGGGCAATTATGTTGGGTGCTCAAACAAGCATCACCAGGAAGTGACGCCCTGAAACGAAATCCCAAAAACCCCATTTTGATAGGTAGGTATTTTGAAACCACAGTAATCGTCAACCAATATACTTGATTCAACGAAGATTACCAGGAAGTGAAACCGAATCCCAAAAAGCTCATTTGATTTTTTGAACGCCCCAAGCCGACAAGGAAATTCGTTTCCCGGTCATGTCATGTCTGCGTTTCAGTTGTTGTACAGTCCCAGTCCCAGTCCCAGTCCCAGAGAACCCGAAGAAGACGCCGCAGGGGTTGGAACCCATCCTGCCCCAAAACTATTTTAGTCCAAAGCAAGACCTGACTGAGCATACCAGACCAGACCAAAGCAATCCCGCAACGCTAATTCGATGAGCGAATGCATGAACAAACAATTCCAATCAAACATGACGCTCCCAACGATTGCGATTACGACCTCTTGAACATGAAATACCCGTACATGCCACCCACGTCCTGCTCTACGACGGGCACCTTCCTCATGCCCCACCACCGCGCACCCATTTTCCAGGGCCGCCAGCCGTCGTCGACAGGTCCTTGAAGGGCAGGCTGGCGGACGTACCACCCGCGCCGACCGAGTTCCTTGACGACCCACTCTGGCTTGGCTTTGCTGCTGGTGCTGCGGATGTTGCCCTGTCGGCGCTTCACCTCGGCGAGCACGTCGGAGCCGAGTTCGATGACCTCGAGTGGCAATGTAGATTTGTCGAGAAGCGAGCTGGGATTGTAGGACAGGGAGAGCTGGGTGACTGAGGGGATGAGGCTGAGGTCGAGGTAGCGTAGCGTGCTGCGGGAAGAAGAACTTGGGTTGTTGTTATTATTATTGTTCTCCTCTTCGCCACGTGGTTCGTCATCAGAGGAAGTGGCTGCAGATTGTCTGAACAGACGGACGATATCGCTTCCGAGGCTGAGGTTTGCGCCCCGGAGCCCCAGTTCCTCGAGGTGGGTGCCTAGCTTTTGAAGACCAGGGATGTGTGAGGGGTTAATTTTGGCGCCGTTGAGGTTCAGCGATCGGAGGGTGGATGGGAGAGAGGCCACCAGGGCTGTGACGTCGTCTTCGCGGAGGAGTCTGTGCCGTGAGGCATCTGCCGCGAGATTGAGGTAGATGATGTTCTCGCGGACGGCGGGGTGTGTGGTAAGGAACCTGACGACGCCGGCGCCGGTGAGATGGGTGCAACGCTCGAGGTTGAGGTGTGTGATGCGAGCACTAGGTGGGATCGAGAACAGAGCCTTGTCGTTGATCAACGTGTGGGCCACGTCGAGGTGTGTCAGGTTGGTGAGCAGTGGAAGGAGTGCCTCGAAGACTGGTTCTTGCAGGGTGGCGCACTCGTGCAGGGATAGTCGTTTGAGGCTTGTGAGCGGGGAAGACAGACTGGTCGTGACGCTGGTGAAGGCCTCGACGAAAGGCCGTGAGGAGCAGGCACAGAAGTCGAGGGCCTGCATGAGCGGCATATTGAAGAGTGTTGAGATGATGTTGCTGTCGAGTTCTTCATCTACGTGCTCGTGTACGAGGAAGGCTTGCAGATTCGGCATCAAATCGAGGCACGCTTTGAGGGTCTCTGGCTTGAGGAATGGAGTCTGGTTCCGTGTGCTGCGAGCGCTGCCGAAACCCATGTTCGAGTAGTGAGAGAAGTCCAGCCATTGGACCAGCTCGCCCAGTTGTGGCACCGTCCTGAGGGTCCGCATCAACTTGGCAAAGGCTCTGGACTGCGGCATTGAGACATGTCGGTACAGCACCTTCACGGCCGCTTGGTGAATGGTTTTGGATACCAACGCGCAAGACGCCAGATCGACGTGTGGTCGTGCATAGGGGTCTGCCGTGTGATCGACCGTCACGTATGAGAGGATGAGTTCCAGGACTTCCTCTGGCATGGACTCGAGCCATGAGAACGGGACTTCACGCGAGACCTGCGAGAGGGTCTCATCCGTGTCGTCTGCGATTGCTGTGCCTTCCAGCGTCCCATCGAACCCCTCGCCGAGCCGGACTGAGTCTCGTACCCGCTCCCTCCATACCTCAAGGCTGAAACTGGCTGGATGCGGATGGAATTGGGTGATTTCCTTGGCGAACGGGAGGTTGAACAATTTCTGTGCGGCGCGGCGCTTCTCTAGTTCGTCGAGGATCTTCTCCAGCTTTCGAGGGTTGTTGCGAGCATAGCCTTCCAGTCGGGTCCGCACGTGATCTTCGTGCGAGCCAGCAAAATGGTAGGAACAAAGACCCTTTGTCCTGCACCATTGACTGCATGGCCATGCGATCCATTCGACCTCTTCTAGGTCTTGGGATGAAAGCGACGACTCGAATGACTGTGGCAAGCCATCACCTGAACGGGATCGATGGTCAGTATGTTGTGGTACTCTCGAATCGAAGAGTGAACTCCTGACTTACCGGCTTCTTCTTTGACTGAGGCGTATGAGAACTTCCTAGAAGCACTGCTCATATCTTCTGGAGGCGAAATAATACACTTGTGGTAGTTCCTGGTTACAAACGAGTCTCCAGGTGGTTCGTGCTGATGAGTAGTCACAGTCTTGTTGCGAGATCTGAATGGCAGCATTGTCAGACGGAAGGAGGGTGGTCTTATGAAGCCTCGAGGTATCAAACGACCAAGAATGGAAAAAACTCCAGCCAAACTCCACCGACCCCAGGAAAATGATGCAGGGAAAATGCACGGTGAAAAGATGCAATGTTAGGAAAATATTAGGAAAGATGGGGGTAAGAGAAACAAAACGAGAGGACAAGGGCGGTATATTCTGTGTCATTGTTTTCAGGTCCGACGGCAGGAGGCGTGGTATGTGCACCCAACACGTACCACGGCCGTCTCCCAGAGCCTTGTCGACTAAGCAGTTAACGGCAGGCTGTGAATCATCGCCGGCCCGGCTTGGCTTGAGTTTTCGCCTTGGTTCTGGAATGACAGCGGCATGGCTCGAGCAACGATTAGCTGAGCGAGGATATCCGCGGGCACCGCCAGCGGGAGGATTTCCTTGCCGGGTCAGGTGCCTAGCGATCGTGACAGAACGTGACCAGATGATGCAAAAGGCGGAGTCGGGAGGCAAGGGCCCGGACATTGTTGCAGCCGCGAGCCACGAGGTGAAAAGTCTGGATGGCAATCGAAGGTCCAAGTGAACAAAGAGTAAAAGTGGTGTCAAGAATTCCTGGCCATTACGTAGCAATATCCGGGGTAGGCTTGGCGCCAGGTCATCCCGTCATTCAAGGTTTTCCCGCTCAGGTTTAGTCACGGTGTGCAGACAATCACTTGTGCCTGACACGAAGAGATTTCCTCTGGTGCCTCCAGGTCAAAATTTGCAGAGCGGCGTCCATAACAGGCTTCGAGAATCCTATGACAAAGATGTACAACCTCAGGCCGTCAAGCGTGCAGTGCTCACCGTGGCTTCCCCGCCACCATCCCATATACATACAACGAATGCTTCTAGCATCTCCTCGGGTATTCCAGACTCGCGCGTCGCAACATTTCATCGAGGGGAACTTTGAACACAAACAGACTAGGACACCGCCATATTCAACTCACCCGACCACCTCATGCATCGATCCATCCACCTTGAGTCACATCGAACTTCTTTAGGACATCCCCAGTATTCTGCCTCGACGGGGCGGGCGACTTCAGGCTCAACGCATCAAATTGCACCCTGTCAATTTCCGGGGTTTTAGCTCTTCCCCGCAAACTCTCTCCCATCCTGACGCGCTCGCATAGACTTTTGAGGACACCACCCAACCACTCGAAGTCCTTGAGCTCCAGATAGATTTGACCCGAGATCCGCGTCCAGAGCTTTCCATCGTACTCATAAATCGCAACAAATGTGTTGAACTCGTCCACCAGCGTTTTCTCCATCCACGCCCTATGAATCGGCACATCGGCTTCTTGAATGATGATCGGACCCGACGAGTGTAGGCTCGGAGAATTGAGCGGGGAGGTCGACCGTCTGGGCTCGCCCAAGAGGTTCCCTGAGCTGGCGGAAGGTGATCGCATCTGCGATAGAGTATTCGCACTGGGGAAACCGTAAGAAGACTGCCGCAGTGCCGGAGACAGACCGCCAGCACTCCCGGCCCCACCAGGTCCCATGCTAATGCTCCCACGAGAGTATGCGCCGACGATGGTGATGGGCAGCAAGATGTTCGCCATGGCACAGTCTCTTAGACCACCAGCCCAGCCAATGCGACCACCCTCCCGTTTGTCACTGGCTTCGTAGCTTCCCATGGTCCGCAGTCCGTATCCGGCATCCATGTCGTCCATTACTTCGGTTCCCAGTAGCATGGCGAGGAGATCTGCTCCTCTTTGCGCAATATCTCGTATGTAGTTGTAGATGGCCTCCTCTCCCCCGCACAGATTCTGTCGGAAGTTGAGAGCGGCCGGCACACAATAGTAAGGCGCATTATCGGCCGTAGCGACAAACTGGAAAAGGTTTACAAAGGCTGATTTCTCGGTGGGTGGAAGAGGGTTGCGAATGGACGAGCTCGACTGCGGCACGAATCCGTGCGAGGTAGGAAAAGTAGTCCGGATGAGATGCTGATTACGCTTGGGCACGTGGAAAACAGCACAGCCTCGTGGGGTATATAACCACCTGTGCTACGTCAGATACCACAACACCCTCGAACATATTGTGAGCGGCGTCTAGAATTGCGTTTCAACTTACTTGTGGCAGTTGCTGACGAAGAAGTCAGCATCAAGCTGAGATAGGTTTAAAGGAATTTGTCCGACGCCGTGGGCTCCGTCAATCAAGCTCAGGATACCATATTCCTTGCACATCTTGGTGATTCTTTCGAACGGAAACCGAACTCCTGGCAGAGACACGATCGTTTCGAAGACACAGACCTTCGGATTCAGCCCGTCGTACAAGACCCGTGATATCGTTTGCGACAGGGCGTTTAGGATTTCAGAGTGGGTGCAAGGAAGTGAGTAGGCAAAGTCTTGCCCGTGTCCCACCTTACGAAGTTGCAGCTGAGGGTTGGTCTCAACGATAGAAGCCAGCGTCTTCTCGATGGCTCCATAGATGGTGTCGAAATATATGATACAGTCCTTCTCCTTGTACTGCAAGTTGCGCAAGACGGTATTGACGCCTGGAAGATTAGCAAAAAGCACCTGAAGGCAGAACAAGGCTCGCTCACCGGACGTCGCGTTCTGCACGAAAACGCACTCATCCGGCGGGACGTTGAGGAGTCTCGCAATCCTTTCTCTGGACTTGTCTAGAAGGTCGACATATTGGTAGCGCAAGAATTTATCCGGTGCCGCCTCTGCCAATTTCTGATAACCACGGAGCGCATTGCGGACAGGGAGTGAATAGCTGCCGAACGAGCCTACACAAATTGGCGGTCAGGTTACCCGTGATCAGACTGATATGCTGTAGTCAGACAGATATGCTGTAATGTGGTCATGGATGCCGGGCCATATCGATAGGGAGTATTGCTTTCGGAGGCTTGGCATTATGAGATAGGAGCCTGAATCGAGAACACTTACCGTGGTTCAGATTGGTGTATTTCGGATCAAACAAGAACTGCGACTTGAAGCCATGACCGAACTCGGTGACTTCTCCGAATGAGCCCATGTTGGTGGTCCTCGAATCAAGAAAGCAATATCAAACCAAGTACAAGGCGCATGAGGGTCAGTCGCTCAGTTTTTGTTGCTCGTGACCGCTTCTATTGCTTGAGATTTCCAGAATGCCACACCCCGTTTCTGGGTCGACAAGGTGTATATGCGAGCAAACTGGGCGAGAGTCGCAGTAGACAAGGCCTGCCACCGCAGATATGGGAATACGACAGCGTGACTCGGTCTGATCAAGCTGAAACTCGAGTTTTGGCGTTTACGAGTTTGCACGGCGGGGCTGAAAGGCTCGTCTGGGGGCGGGAACAGAAATCAAGCCGCAGTCTAAAGCTGCCAAGAAGTGTAACTGTGCCCTGTGACCAGGGATGGAGAAAAGCTATTCACTCCCGCACCTGCTGGCCACTGAAGAAACATGCCTGGGACGTTTCAAAGCACAAGAGCGATCCGGCCGGATGTCGTAAGAGAGTTGGACCCCGTCTCACCCCTTTCAACCGTGGCTTAGATGCCTGCGACTAACCGCCCGGGGGTTTCCATTGGGCTGCTAAGGTGCGACTGACCCATCATGGGAGCCTCCTGGATTTAGGCCTCGCTCCAATCCTTCCTGATGGAGCTGCTAAGTTGGTCGTGACGAGAACAACAATTTGTACTGCGTAGAAGCCATCTTCTTCAGCTGTCCTCTCTAGGCGTGCTTTGTCACACGACATTCAGGAGCAGAATAGATGTAGATGCAGTGGGGTAGGAGGATGTGGTTGACCATGGACAAGAGTGCAAAGATCACGGAGTATGGATTGTGCAGATTTGTTGTTCACAAACTGCGGGTGGTGGAAGAAGCCGCTGAATCTTTCTGCCAGCTGCACGGGACAATGATATTCCTATTCCGTGATGAGCACCCCTCACACCCGCACAACGTCGGATTTTGCACGGCGATGATGTGAGTACTCCGTACTGGACCTCGGTCTAAATCGACAATGACGAAGAGCTACTCAGCACAATCCAGCCTCCAATAGAGGGGGTAGGGTCCCTGCTCCGGCTTATGTTACTTGACCTCGACAATCCAAGTCGCGAGGCTCGCACCTATTTAAGTAGCAGAATAACGGTTTCGTTGTCCGCGAAATATCGCCGAGACTGAGTTTCTAAGCTGATTGATGACCGGTGCAGCGAAGGGTCCTGCTTAAAAGACAGCGGCCCTCTTGATCCACTAAACGGGTCTGAAATTTGACTATTTTATTTCTCTAGCAAGATGCCAAAAGCAGTTTCGATATCAAAGGTCGATGGCAAGCCGGGACAGGTGTACTACCCTCTGTCCCTGGACGAGGTGCCGAAGCCTTCGCCAAAAGCAAAGGAGGTGGTAATCAAGATCCATGCCGCTGCATTGAACCACCGCGACCTATTCATCCGACAGCATCTCTATCCAGGTACGGCTTTTGGCGTCCCCCTTCTGGCCGATGGCTGCGGGACCGTCATCGCTATGGGCAGTGATGTCGATCCCAAATGGAAGGGCAAGAGAGTCGTCGTGAACCCTGGCACGGGGTGGAAAGATAGCCTGGAAGGTCCAGAGGATAAGGGTGGTTACAAGATCCTGGGAGGAACGAAGACCAACCCGAACGGCACGCTTCAGGAGTACATGTGCGTTGACGAGGGGGAACTCGAAGAAGCACCTGAGCACCTTTCTTCCATCGAAGCTGCCGCATTTGTCCTCACCGGCCTTACAGCATGGCGGGCGGTGATGGTTAAGTGCGGCGAACGCAATCTCGGGCCGGGCAAGAACATTCTGGTCACCGGGATTGGTGGTGGTGTGGCTCTGTTCGCCCTGGAGTTTGCCAAAGCGACGGGCGCCAATGTTTTCGTCACAAGCGGAAGCGCGGAGAAGATCGAAAAGGCCATCGCACTGGGTGCAAAGGGCGGAGTCAACTACAAGGAGGAAGGTTGGGACAAGAAACTACTGTCCAGCTTGCCGGCGGAGAACAAGCAACTCGATGCCATTGTCGATGGTGCTGGCGGCGACGTAGTCTCAGTCGGCGCCAAGCTGCTCAAGGTATGTGACATCAAGTTTTTCTGCCTTTCGGAAAGTACTAACACCCTCTCCAGCCAGGTGGCATAATCTCGATCTACGGCATGACCATATCACCCAAAATGCCCTTCTTGATGCAGGCTGTGTTGAAGAACATCGAGGTCAAGGGCTCAACAATGGGCTCACGGAAGGAGTTCAGAGACATGGTAAACTTCATCAAGACCAAGCAGGTCAAGCCAGTGGTATCGCGTGTCGTCCAAGGTTTCGACCTGGATGCTATCAACAGTTTGTTCGAAGACATGAAGAAAGGCAGCCAGTTTGGCAAGCTAGTGGTTGAGGTCTCGAAAGAAGGCGCTGAAAGCAAGCTGTGATATATTATTAGAAGGAGGCTGGTAAATGAGAATCCAGCAATAGGTCAGAAACATTGCTGCGTTGTGATCACAGGCTAGTCGTTGCTATAGTCTGGAAACACTTTGATCGCCATCTTCATTTCTGTGTTAGGCCTTTCGAGTTGAACGGTGCCCTGTACATTTCTATTTTTGCCCTGTGCGGTCAACAATTCCCAAGGTATCATGGCGACCTGAAGAAATACACAGTAGAAGCGTCGTGGTTGGTTCTGGCGCAGCGACGAACAAGGTACAGTATTCTCCACATCCGCTGAAGCACAATGCACGTCCTACAGGTCCCGTCCGACCTGAAAGATCGACCCACGCACAAGGGCCCAAAGTGCCAACGATCCGACCAGGTGGTCCAGGTGATCCAGGTGATCTTGCACAACACACAGAGAAGCGGTCAGGGTAGTGAACCGAATAGAGATAACAACGGCAGGCACCATCGTCCTATTCAGGACACAATCTTCGTCATTCCGGCCAGATGAAAACCTCTGTGCAGCCTCTGGATGCGTCTTGGCGTCACGAGTGGTTCGGAGCTCACCAAGAAGATTCTGCGCCCGGTATTTGGCAGTTGACAGTTCGGAGCTGCAGAACTTGACAACACATCATTGCTGGATGGCCGGCAAAAATAGACAGAACCCATCATGAACAGCCGGCAGTTGTATGATCATGCCCGAGAGCCTAGCGGCGTTGGCAAGCCCTCGAGAATATCATTCACCGAAACGTGGTCATTGGATGTGGTTTCCAAATACGGAGTACGCATGCACACTTCAAATCTTCGTCGATCTGATCGACGGACCCTGCACTTTCAACGATGCAGGTACACGAGCATTCTCCACCAAATATACGGGGTGGCAAGGTGTTCAGGGTCTGAAGTGTTTGTGATGCTGAACTAGGTGAGCGCTGCAGTGCAGTGACAGGGTGTTGCTTCCTGCACGGATGTGATTTCCTTTCGGCCCTGCGACTTATGTATCCAATTATATCTGTACCTGGATCCAGACGAGACTCGATCCTTGGCTTCGATCTGCAAGTACGGGGCAATTGCACGAATGCGTCGCGATATGTTGTTCACAAGTACTGTGGCAACCGGGGTACCGAGAGGATCACCGTGACGGTGCAAGTTGCAAGAGCATGGGCCGAGATTAAGCGAACCAGTTGGGAGGCCAGGGCAAAAATAGAACCAGCAGATCCCGTGCATTCCTGGAAAATGCCGGATAAGCATTCGCACAGCCTCAAAAATTTCCCATCGTTCCTACCTCGCGCCTAAACAGTACTTGCTGATTGTCATCGATGCGTCTCGATGCACGCGCTCCGGACGATCTTCAATTCGCCTTTCCAATAGCATACGAGGAACTCCATTGAAGGGGATGATGGTTTGTCAGGACGTGGTCCGCCAGCGCAGCACCAGCCAACGAGTGTTCTGCGTGGGAGGTACGTAGAAAGCGCATTGTTTGGCTTTCTGCCAGACAACCAACGGGCAGGGCAAATCGGACCCGACGTTTCATCGCGGGACCCATTGACGTGTTGATAAGCTCTTCTGCGGAAGGCCGACCGCGCCGGTGAGGGCGGTGGTACGTTGGTGAAGTGGTCGGAAGGTGACGAGTAATTCATAATTCATTGTACTGTGGTAGCGTGATGAAGCCTCTGGTGCAGTCTAGCTAGGACAGGCATGGCCCCTAATCGAGACCCACACAGGCCCGAAGTACGTGCTGTACTCGTAGGAACAAGCGTGAGGAGCACGTTAGGCATCTTTGAAGGCTGCAGGAACAGTGGTAGATCTGCATCAAGACGAGACTCGACGTGACCGGCAACATTGCCTACGGGAAACAATCAACGACGAGTACGGAGTACTGTGTACCTTGTACACAGCATGCAAAACAATGTGCACTCGCGCCGGATTTAGCCCATGCCATACTCACCTGCATGTGGGGGTTGAGCTTTGAGATAGCGCCCAGCGGTGAACGACCTAATTAAGTGCTCCGAGTTCGGTCTCGTACGGGTCGAGCTGGCCGGTTAGTGGAGGAAGTTGTGTTCAACCTCGCTTAAGCTGCAGTCGAGGTTCAAAGACAGCCAACGAGCGACCAAGACGTGCAACTGTGAAAGGAGAATCTGGAGCACAGCAATGCGGTCGTGATGGTTTTTGGTTGCATATCGGGGCCAAGCGATCATGCACATACCACTATGGCAGGCGCATGAGCTGGACATCTTTTCGGCAGTGATCAGCCGGAAGCACCCTTGGAAACAGGGACACAACGTGATCCTAAGGCGAGAAACCACAGCAAGGATAATTTACTCGCTTTGTGAAATGCCCACGGAAAGTGATTGTGGCAGTGACCTGAGGAGAGTGGCAAACCACCAACGGCTACAGTGTACTCCGTACTCGTACTGTGTACGGAAGATGGATTTCACCGAGGGCGCAACTTCCGAGGATTTCTCTGTCCGGCAGCTCGGAAGTACTCGTAAGGGATGAACTTCCTACTCAAACAGCCACCGACACAAACACGATCGAGGCTATCACAACACGATGCATGTTCTCGCGTTCAGAGCGTGTGCCGCAACTTTGAAACGCTGAACCAGTATCCCAGAGTAGAAGCGATATCTGCTATACTGGAAGAGCACAGGCGCTGGCCGTTGTTTGATGTTGGAGACGTCTCCGCAAACTGCCCAATCGAGGGCACAGGCCGGGAAAAGGCGGGTCACCAGGCAAGCGTGTCGCTGGAGGCAGATGCACTAACGGCAAAAGAGGGTAAGAGTGCTCGGTTGGGCGGTTGATGCGCTATCTTTAGAAAGCCAGGCCCACGTGCAGGGATCAGTCCAGGAGACACAGACCAGGGGCGTGGCCATAGCCAGTCAAGTCGAAAGCTGCAAAGGCCTTAGGGGAAGATGGCAAGTGGCCACGGTCAGGCTAGGGCTAGGGGAGCGAACCTCCACGCAGGCCAGTGGTATCATACTAGTCCCTTCTAACGCTTCCGGGCTTAACGCGTCCAACAGGACGTGACGGGACAGTTGACGGCCGACGGTGACCTCATCTTCCGGGCACCTCACGATCGCTGCCAGCGCTGCAGGCTTCAGGGAGAGAAATCCACAGAAAAGCCAGGAGAGCCAGGAGACATGGAACCCTTGAGGCCTTCCCTTTCTTACCCAGTGCTTGACCCTCTATTTCCTTTTCGGCACTGGCACGCTTCTTTCTCTTACCATCAACTGCGGCTGTGCAAGCCTCAGAATGCCCTCCCAGCAATGCTTGTTCTTTGGCTGCCACGCTCTGCTTAACAACAAGCCCTCGACTCGAGATGGACATGTGGATCTCCCTACAAAGCCGGCCTTTGGACAATCATGATCCCTGGTCGAGCTGTCATCGCGTGGACTTGTGCGCGCACACAAGCAACAAAACACACATACTGTGGTAAACGCTAGTTATGGGTAAGGTGAAAATGATAATGCCCACTGTGCCGCCAGGAGCCGGTCACAGTTGCTCTCGTACGCGCTTGTGCCTGCCTTTTGCTGACTGCTGTCAACCTCAATCTTGTAGGATCTTTGAGGCAGTGAGCGCTGTAGCCGCTCAGGTAGATGTAGGAGTACCACAGTAGTTGCTTGGAGTCGATGCATACCTCGTACGGTAACAACGTCGAAATCGATGCGAGTGGCGATTCCAGGTGGTGTTCGGTCGCTCACTCACCTCTCACTGACGATCTGACCACGGCACATCGCTCATCGAAGACTCCCCTGTATCAGCCACTCATGACCGAGCAAGTCCGGTCGGCTGGTCTCCGCTTTTGCTGCTAAGCCTGTCTTTTCCCCTCGCGTCCTTTTGGGCCTTTCCCGAGTCTCCTGCTCCTACGCCTATCATCCTCTCCCTAACCACCCCGGCACGCCCCTCATCCACTCCCTGCGTCGCCCTGCCCACCTCTGACCTCTTCCTTTTGCCCTCAGCCCGCTAGCCGTTCACTGCCACTAAGCCTGCCTCGACTCGCAGACAGTCTTCCGTTCACTCGCCGAGCAGTCCTGCGTGACCTGATTGATCCGCCAAAGCCCTTCTTTTTTGCCATCCTCGCCTTTCGCGGCTTCACACCTCTGGGCTCTCTGGCTGCGTTCGAGGCCGATATAGCCTTTTGATCCCCTCCTGGTCCGCGGCTCCTCTTCTTCCATTTCCGCTCCACCTGGACCAACACCCTTCAACTCACCTTCGCTGGTCATCTTTTCTGGCTCTGTTCGCAGACCATACTTTCGTTTACACCAACACACACTCGCTTTTGACGGCTTCGGATACCACTCGTTGGACGCCAATCGCTCGAGTCCTTCGCTTTTCGAACTTGTTCGCTGAAAGCCACGCCAGAAGTACCATCAAATTCTTCAAATATCCTTCCGCCCTATCAAGCAGCAAGTTGCCGCAACACTTTGGCCAGGATCTCGAACAATATACCTCTATCTATTCACGTCTATCCTATCTATCGGCGGTGTATCCGGCACTTGGAAAAGTCCTGTTCGAGTCCACGGTTGAAATAGAGTCGGAGCTGCGCAACCACCCGTGTGGTGACCGTCTGTGTGGGAAACCTCAGCGGATCGACCCGTGAGGACGAGGAAGGAAAGATCAGTCTGAGGTTCTAACCTCTGGGCCACGTTAAAATTCTATCTGCTGGGTGAGTTAACCTTCGATATTCCAGCATCATCTGTTACCTAGTTTGGTCATTTGTCGGACCTCAAAAGCCTGCAACCTGCAACACTCCTTGCTTGCACGTCTTGTCCTTGCCTGAGTTGAGATTATCCATCATTCCTATGCCTTGGAATTTGCGCAGAAATATTCTGAATGTCTCACTGACGCCCTTCAACAGCTTGTTTCACTCGTGCCAGAGCGCCCTTCACTCCTCGCTGACCCTCCATTTGAAATATTCACAACTATTTGCCACAACCTCTTTCAATCTTCTCCAGCAGATGTAAGAATCCCTTGCAAAAGGCACCCTGGTCCTGCATTTCAATTCTGCCTGAGGACAGTTCGGCTGATCAGTGTTGATAGTTCGTTCCACCACGTTGGAATTCTTTGTTCTCGAGATTAAGTCTGCCTCAGCTTCCCGATTTCAACCCTCTTCGGGCACAACGGACTCTTGGTCTCATCTCAAATCTCTTGAAGTTGGCGACGTCGACCTGAGTCGTATCTCATCCTTTCGGTGCTTTCAGCCAGCCGCTGACTCCCGCTACCTTGGGGTCTGCCCATCTCACGGTATTATCCCTGAGATTCGAATGTACACCTGGAGAACCACGACATCGACAGTTCAGACATTCCGATCACGATAATACTTCGCAACATTCGTTCGCTTTGATCCGAGGCAAGATTTAGCCTCACCACACTCGCTTAGTACCCAGTCGCTCGCTTAGTGCTTTTCTGTTTTATCGATTTTCCCCACAACACCGTCAATCTGGCGTCCATAACTTGCAACCGCTTCCAGGTAAGTCCAATCTTGCATATCCCGGACATGTTTTAGCCTCCGTCGTCACGGTGTCGAGCCAGACTCTCCAAAGTGATTCAAATACTGACCTGTCCTCAGTCTTTTCCAGACTCCCACACCCCGTTCATAGTCGACGACACATTCGATCCCGCAGATTTTACTGGAGAACCTTTTGCAAGTCAGTTCCAGGACGGCCTTGAGGCCAAACCTGGTCAGCTCTTCTCCATGTCTGGCTATGACGGGGCAGGCCAACCTGGGTTCACAAGTATGTTGCCACAGAGTTGAACGTCACAGTACGTGGCTAACCGAAGCCCAGAATATCAACCTCCGGTCATGGATAATTCTATGTTCTACGGTAGTTATCCACCTACACCATACGATCATCACCCTCTTCTCCAACCTGGAAACGTACAAGATGCCGACTTTCCATATCTTACCGGCAGTGACTACTCCTCTGAGAAGAGCTTCGTGCAAGGCAGCGCGCCTTCTGTCGAGTCCTGCAACGGGAATGAGGCAAATCTGAAAGCCTTTCCCGCCCGTTATCACGCTGTTGCGTCAACCCAACATATTCCGGCCCTCTCCCGCAAGCGCAAGGCTTCGGTGGAGGAAGATTATGACCTGCCCGCTCAGAAAAAAGCGGTCCTGGCTCAAGTCCACATTCAAGACCCCAATGGCGACTACTACGACCTCAGCGGCCAAACTTCCCCTTATTCTCCCTTTGTACCAACACCGACTGGCAGCACTGGTCTCCCTGTATATGCGAGCCACGGCGCCTCGCCAAGACCATCTGGTCACCAGTACTCGACGTCGACTGCCTCGCAATGCTCGTTGGCTGCGCCTTCTCCACATACTCCTGCCTTCAGCCCTTCGTTCACCACCGTGAAGAGCGAGCAGAGCCCCAGAGCGCCGATGACTCCTATCCCAAGGCCCACAACAGGCTCTCCCCTCAAGTCAATTCCACGACTAGTGCGCACGTCCACTATGCAGCAATCACCGCCGGGAGTATTTTCAAGCATGGCTGTCGGGCAAACTCAAACCTTCAACCCATATGCCATGCAAGCTCTCAAGGCGAATCTCAAGCTCAAGGGCGATCTCGACAGCATGAAAGACGACTGGACTGCGGAAGAGAAGGAGACACGCCGTCGTCTTGTCGTGTTCGAGCGTGAGCAAACCGGCAGCACCATTTGTGGGAGCTTCAAGGCAGTCTCTCCTGACCAACGGCAGGCCAGTAGCATCTGCATCAGCTGCATCTGGTGGAAGGAGAAGAACGAGTTTTACGTCACATCCGTGGATACTATCTACCTGCTTGAGTCCTTGGTCGGGGTCCGATTCACTGTCGAGGAGAAGAATCGCATCCGGCGCAATCTTGAAGGTTTCCGACCCATGACTGTCTCCAAGGCTCGGGCCGACAGCGAAGAGTTCTTCAAGGTCATCATGGGTTTCCCTCACCCCAAGCCGCGCAACATTGAGAAGGACGTCAAGGTCTTCCCATGGAAGATACTTGGAACCGCGCTGAAGAAAATCATCTCCAAGTACTCCGCCAGCTATTCTTCTACCGCGGCTCCTCTGCTTGCCCCAGCCTCTTCGGTCTACCATTCGGAGCCAGTGTCCGAATACCCATACCCCCCAACGCCCCACCCTGAGTACCTGGCGGCTTCGGGATATCAAGTCAACCATGACATGGGGTATCTCCCTCAACACCCAATGCACATGCGAGGTCCAGGACCTGTTGTAACAGCCCCACCCGAGTTGCAATTGCAGATGCCTCAACCTCAGTACGCGCCTGCTTACGAAGTCAACAACGCATATATTTACCAGAACGGGGTCCCCGTCACGCAAGCTTCGATGTCGGCGCAGTCTCATCCAATGACGGCACCTGTCACCCGGATGCCGTCTTGGGAGTATGCAAATTTCATCAGCGACAGCCCTGTGACGATGGCGCCCCAGAGCGCACCGCCTACTGCGTACCCTCGAGGACCGGTGGGGCTGGTGGAGTTCATGCCCACGATGCACTATCATTGAAGAGTGCAACTGATGCCCATTTCCTTTCTTGACTGTCCTTAGCATTACTTTTTTCACACTCGAGCACCGACAACAAGCATGCGCACATTGGGACGAACGACATTTTCTGATTTACCGGCGTACTGGAAAACGGGAACAGCTATCGGCAAGGGTGGCGGAATGATTTCATGTACACACGCAGCAACCATGTACACCAGGATGAGCATGCCGTGATGCATAGCGATTTGACACTCTTGGACGGCTGGAATGGTTTGAGGATATTGCTAGTAAAAGTCTTGGGTCAGGACAGTCGTTGCTGTCGGCTTTGATGGTAATATCGGGGAGAGAGTGGAAAGGTTTGGCAGGATACAGTCCAAGTTTTGTCACGTTTCATGTGTATATGAAAGCATAGACTTGCTACGGCATACACCCCACTACGCACTGCAACACGCAGAGAATACACGAATAATAGTTTATTGCAAGAAGAGAGAGATTCAGCTGGCCTTTGAACGCAGTACCAGAAGCCAGTGGTGGAGGAGCAAGCGCGCTGCGTGGCACTAACCAATTCTGTTCCGAATAAACATCACGCGAGCTTTGTGTGCGGTTGAACTCAGTTCCGTCTCACGACTGTTTGAAAGCTCCCACCTGCCTGCCTCCGGCTGGCTCTGCTTGAACAGCATCGATCCTCGGATCCTACCGTTGACTTTAAAGATACATTCATAGTATATGTTACGGTTTGAGGAGCTCCGTCTGCTCTATCATTATGGCATCGGCGCTCGCCGTTACCACCCCGCCACGACAACAGCCTCCACTGCTGGACCACGTCCTCTCGACTTCTCCCACCGCTAGCCAGAAGACTTCACCCCAAGCATCACGTTGCTTTGCCATCCCTTCCGATCAATTGCCAGGCGAAGGTGGAGAAAATGCCGTCACGAAAGCCTCCAAGCATTGTGGCCTCAGCCCTCGACGCGTCCAGTCCTTACCTAGAGCGTGGGAACGGCGACCAGCAGTGCCTCATGCCCCTCGCAACGAGGCGCAGAAGATCTGGAAACGCGTGCCATTGGGAGTGGTTGGTGCGACCGAGGGCCAGAAATGGAGGAAAGAGACGATTAAGCTGAACTGCCGGCCGCTTAAGAGACTGCGGGTCATGCACCTTGCAGAAGACGAGGACAAGGAGAATGTTGACTACGTGGGATCGAAGTGGGACGAGGATGGGATGGCCACTCCCAGTCCGAGGCGGAAGGTATTGGAATGTGGGGAGCCTCCTGCGCGGACCATGGAAGAGGATCCAAACATGCAAATCTCCTTTGATGCGGACGAGCAACAAGACCAAGACCACAATTTTGACAAGACAGACCATGGCACAGCTTCACCAGAGCTCGGGACTTGTGAGGCATCCGAAACTTTGGCTGATGAGCCTTCTGTCGAAGGTGAAGAAACCGCTTTGCCCCTTGTCTTGGGCATGCTTCTTCCGTCTGTTAAAGATGCAGACGATGACAGTCCTACAGCTGCAGCCACCCCCTCTTCACCCAGTTCAGAACTCACCGTAGCAATGGCGACCCTGTCTAGGTCACCGAATCAAAAATTTACTGCACCAATCCTCCCGTCCCACGAGGACGAACAGGATTTGATCACCAGCGCCCACAGAAGCTTGGCCGTCATCGAGCCCTCGCTTGAAGATGAGAATGCGGCCTACTTGTGGGGTTTCCTTTCCCGAACACGTGCCCAGAAAGAGGCCAGGGGACAGACCGAACAGCTTCCCCCAGTACTGCCCGAGGAGGCAGTCAGCGCCGTCCATGAAGTGGTGGAGGAATCCAAGAGTGTCCAAAGTGCCAGATCACCCGAGCCCGATGATGTCCCGGTAGCACTACCCACAGCGAACGAGCCCAACATCATTCTCTCACCTCGGCGGAGCTCCCGACTTACGACGCGGCTACCTAGACCCCAGAACCCCGCGTCGACCCCGACAGCCACTATTTCTCTCAAACGACTCAAAGGTCCAGAGCTGGTGGTTAACAACCACGAAAACCAGTCTATTGCGGTGGCGACCAGGCAAAATACTAAGTGCAACAAGTTTGGAGCGATTTCCGTCAAGATCAGGCTGATTCAACTGGCCGCCGAAGCCAAAGTCAGGGAGTCGTCAGGGTTCGCTTCAGCGGGAAGTGACCACTTGAGTCGGGAATCAACAACCGCGAAGACGAAGCAGAAAAAGGTAGTCTGGGCTGAAACGCTGGCCACATATCAAGATGGCTCAGAGCCCCTGAAAGAGTTTGCTCTTCCAGACGAAGTGGTCGAGGCTGAGGAAGGACAACCTTGCCAGGAGGTTGGAGGGGAAGGCCTACAGGCTGAGCTGGGACCTCATCCCAGTGCCGACGCCGAGGGCCCCGAAGGAAACGTCACCGACCAGTCGATCCAGGGTCTATTTCAGATGCTGCGGGAACGGAACAAAAACCGAGGTGGCATGAAGAAAGTGCGTCGGCTGAGGAGATTGAACGGCGGCTCTGTGAATGGAACTCCAGCACCGAAGAGACTCACAAATACACAATTACCCGTGCCGGTCGGGTCTAAAGCAGCGACTTTTACTTCTTCACAGGATGCAGAAAAGATGAAGCCTCTCGATTTAGGCGGCGCGAAATTAAAAGCAGATGCTTCGGAAGGAGCGAAGACAGATGGAGGAGTGCAGACGCGGACGCGAAGTAGGAATCCTAAGAGTATTTGAATACGAGGCTTTCTGGCGTTGCTGTCAAAGTCTTGACGTGGCATGTGCGGTGCTGTTGGAGTTTGGGCCTTGGGAGAGCGAGCGAACTGGGCTCGGTCCCTGTCATTGTGACACGAACATATTTCATCTCGTTCAGCAAGCAAGCAAACGTGTACTGGAAAGCGGAGGCGTTTGGAGTGATTTGTACAGATTCAGAAGTCGTCTTCAAGGCTGGGTGTCGTTCAAGGCGTCTCCTTCGCCCTGGTTACTGTACCTGGGTGCACTCGTTACATCTGTCCTATAGCGGCAGCGTGGTTTAACCACGCCGAGAACGCAAGAGTCCCCAAACCCAGAGGTCGAGGAACCACTGTTGTAGATGATCTCTGTCTACCGCAATCCGTAGGCAGTACGGAGTATGTACCTCCTCGGTTCCATCCTGTAGGTATGTAATTGTGCCGCACCGCTTACACTCGACTTTGTAGGAGAATTCATGACCCCTGGTGTCTCGGGATCACTGCGACAGTACTGTAAGTAGAATCCTCTGGTTTTACCTTCAGGGCATAATTAGACATTGGGGAGAACCCATACGCCCATGTAATTATGTATCAGCCGATCCGATCCTGTTTACACAAGCAGCATGATTCGTCGACACCAGCCCCTCCGCCAGGCCGTTGGGGCCATCAATCCTCCCGACTCCCCGAGTCGGCATATCCGAGAGGATCCGAGCTACGTTACGTTACGCACAGTAGTTATGCCGTCTCGGGTCGGGGAGGCGCGTGAGGCCAAGACTGCTTGCGCCTGTGCGTACAGAGTCATCTAATTAAGGATCCTGGACTTGCGTTGCGTCGATTAGGTTGTTCCGTAACGTGTGATACGTGATGGTCATGATGCTCTGCATTATGCTAGACTAATTACTCCATACACATATCCAGTACCTGTACAGACAGGCAGAACACCGTGCGGAGGGCGCGGACGGAGATAATGACTGACTTTGGCAGTCTTTGCGGGTTCGATGAACGACAGAGTCGGAGGAATTATATCGAGGAGGATTGCGGATGTGTATTGGATATTGATATGGAAGGGTACAAGATAGGGAAGTATAAGAACCGCGAATGAGCCTACATTTCCAGGACATATGGGGAGCATTTCAGATCCATCGCATCACTCGAATCACTTGCATCACATCGTTTCATATCAATCTATACTCCTTTGACCACACCCAAGCCTACCGCGCATCCGCTTCACTACACTCTTCACCCCAATGACGACTCCCCTACCACCCACCCATCGCGCCCTTCGTCAGGATGTCTACGCTGAGCCACCTACAGTCCAAACGGTGGCGACACCACAACCCACCCCCGGCTCTGCTGTCCTGAAAGTCCTCCAGGCCGGTATCCTCAACTATACCAAGGACGTATACAACGGCGTGCGCAAGCACCCTTACCCCGTCCCTCTCACTCTGGGACAATCTGCAGTCGCGCGGGTCGTCGCCCTGGGTGAAGACGCCACCACCCTCAAAATCGGCAACCTGTGCCTCCTCGACATCACTATCCGAGGGAGAGACGACATTGACCGCTCTGCTGGCGCGACGTTCCTTAGCGCAATTGTTCAGGGCTTTACGCCTGCGTCTGCGCGGCTTATGGCTGATGCTTGGCGCGATGGGACTTATGCAGAGTACGTGCGCTGGCCTTTGGAGAATTGCTACGTTCTCGATGAGGACCGGCTGTTCAACAAGCTTGGCTATCAGATGGGTGATCTAATGTATATGACGAAGCTGATGGTTCCATATGGAGGGTTGGGATCCCTGTGTATGGACTTGAAGCCGGGCGAGACTGTGGTTGTGTATCCGGCAACAGGTGGGTTTGGGAGTGCGGCGGTGCATTTGTGTCTCGACTTAGGGGCTGGGAGGGTGATTTGTATGGGTAGGAATGTTGAGGCGTTGGAGGGACTGAAAAGTGCGGCAACGCCGGAAAAGAGGCCGAGGATCGAGACTGTGCCGTTGTCGGGGAGGTGGGAGGAGGACCTCAAGGTATTGAAGAGTCTCGGCGGGAATATTGATGTGTTTTTCGACATTTCTCCGCCGACCGCGGGAAAGGAAGTGTTGAAGGCCGGCATGGTGGCGTTGAGACATGGTGGGAGAATGTGCATTATGGGTGGTGGCGACCAGGATATCCCGCTGCCAAACGGGGTGTTCATGCACAAGGATCTCACTCTCAAGGGCAAGTGGATGTATGAGCCCATGGATGTGAAGAGGTTGATCAGTCTGGTTGAGGCCGGTATTGTGAAGCTGCACAGGCAGGGCGAAGCAGTGACACCGTATGGTGCCAGTGTCGTCGCGAAGTTCAGTTTGGAGGATTGGCAGAAGGCTTTTAATGAGGGGGAGAGGGTTGGAAGTGCTGGGATTGTCGTCTTCGAGCCATGAGCCTGCCAGGGATAAACGCTGGGGTGCCGCAGCTTCGTATCTGTGTTGTGGCCAAGGTTTGACAAAGTTCGAAAATTTGATATTGCCACGACTTCCGATGTCTGTGTGAGCGTGCAGCCAGTGCGGTGTGCTGAGTCAAACGATCGTGGTCAGCGAGATCCACGATGTCTTCTCGAAAATTTCTCCATCTCCTTGTTCCACCATATGCTGTATTCTTCCATCCAAGTGTCAAGGAAGAAGAATCTTTTCAGACTCTTGCAGGTCTGTTTCCAGTTTGCTGCTATGCGGTACTGTCGCAATAGTTGCTCGAATAGATCGCTCCGTTCGTCCTCGTGGAGGCCGATCCTCTCCACGCTATTCTCCATGGCAAGCATAGCCACTCCCCAAATGGCGAGGTCTGGACCCACGCCTTCCAGCGACATGAATGACTTTGATGTCTGTCGGATTCGGCGTCGCAAATTGATCAGGAATTGACCGTAAAACTTCTGGCTTTCGTTGCGATTCGGAGTCTCTCGTAACGTGAAAACAAAGGTAAAGAGGCATATGCTCCGTTCCAGTGACGAAATGCTGTCTCTCGTTATATATGTCATGAGGTCGATTGCTACATTATAGATTTGCTCCGTGGTGGCACGTTTGGTCATGGGAGTTTCTTGGGCCATTCGGGATATTCGACATAATAGCTCAATGATCTGCAGCGACAATCTCCCTTCTAAAGCGACGTCGCTAAGGCCAAGAGGAAGGACTGCGATATCTGTACAGAGTTCTGGCGAAAACGGATGCGATGGGTAGGTGAGTTCGGGTTCAGCCATGACTGGTGGTGACCCGGATTCTCTCAAGCGTTGCTCTGCAAATTGGCATATCGCATGGGTACTGCAGAGCGGATGTTGTCAGCAAACACCGTCCTCGCGAACTCAGTAGAGCAAATGCGTACCCTGCGAGGTTGTACTTTGTATATCGGTCGAAGTTGCCATTTTCAAGCCCGCCGCGAAGGGATACGAGGGTCTGCAGCCCTTTCAGGTGGATTGCTGCATGTTCATCATGGCCGGCAAAGAACTAAATCGTCATCAGTTTGTAATCAGCCTCGGACGAGAACTCAACCAACGTCGGTAGCTATCAGACAGATGACTGTATGAATGGTGGTATCCGAGGTGGAAATTTTCGTGTCCATCGAAAGCGTCCGGTGAAGCTTGCTCAAGACACTTGACCGCAGGTGGGCAAAGTGAGCGCCGCCAGGTATGAGAGCGTCTTTACTGGCCGGATGAGAATATCTGGCCATGGAGAGGATCAGTGCTTCGAAAAGCATGTCAGATTGCAGGGCCATTGGAAAAAGAGTCTTCAGCAGCCAATTGCCGGCGTCATCTGTATAGAGCGACGCATTCATCGCCGAAAAGCTCTGAGTGACTATTTTCGGGAAAGATTGTTAGTATTCGAACAGTCAGTTCAGATGGTAGCTTGCGTATGGCCACTCACAGAAGTCGAAGGCCCATTCGACTTGCTCCGTCTGGGGAATAGGAAGAGATGCGAACGGATCGGTGCGAAACCCTCCAGGGCCATGTTGAAGCGCAAGTCTTGGTAGCCGTCGTCTTTTCAGCAAGGCGAGGATGACCTCCTTGGAAATCCGGGGTTGTCGAATGTCGACGAGATCCGTTCCAGGCGTTGACAATTCCGACTCAATCTTCACCGGCAGTCGTGATTGCCATTGAACTGCTCGTGCTTGCTGTTGCGTGGTCTTGACCTTGTTCGCTCTGCGGCTCCGGTTGACAAATGCGTTGATCTGCGATCGCTTGCGCGCATCGCGCAAATCATCCAAATCATTGTAGATGATGAACATGGCAGGTACCTGCCTCTTTCCTGACTTCGCCGCATATAGATGCACTCGTCCTGGCCCCCAACAGCCCTATATGCAGGCCCGGGCGGAGAAGATATGGGATCTGATAAGCACGCCTGAACACGCGATGTCTCAGGATTTGAGGGACCAAGCCGGGGCTACTGAGTCGGCGGAACCGAGCATCGCCGGAGTCAACTCCCAAAGCAGTTTAGAATGAGTGTAGGTATTCTTGGGTGCATAAGTCCCTGCTCCTTGAGCGCCCATCCATACGTTACGACTTGCGTATATGGCATAGGACGTGCAGGCGTGCAGACATGTTAAGCTTGGAGAAGTGGCCGCCTAAATTTATCCGCCACTTTTACCATTCGAGTCGTTCGCCACACGAGGCACGAACGAGGTACACCGGCTAGCTCGAACATGATTAGAAATCGAGCGCAAGCAGGGTTAAACGCATTGAGATCTTGTCGTGACAGTACTAGACGCCACAGCCTCGTAGCATGAGCAGCAGAAAGAAGCATGATTAAATGATCCCTGGGCGCCATCAGAAAGCACTTGGGCTCAAGAAATGATCACATCGTCGCTAAGTTGGCTCCAGAGACACTCCTGTGGTTCTTCTGTGGGTACCATATATCGCTGCGATGAAGCAAGCATTGTCCTCCTGTCATAAGAAACATGGGTACTGCCGGTTGATGAAGGTCGTTGGAAAGGCAGACTCACGTAGAAACAGACGTGACTTTGTTTGACTCCGAGGGCTTGCTAATGCAGTCTTGCTGTGCGCGTATGTCGAAAAGCCCGAATGATGTTGCAATAAGGATTGCCAGCCACGAGATGCGTGTGTTTCTCTGCGGCTCGTCTCGCAGTAGGGCCTACCCTGGGCACCGGTATAGCTTGCCGTGGATGCCCAGCCGCGTTCGACTCCTTGAGCATCAGGGATGACCTGGATCAATGCCTACCCAGTCTTCAGCCGCAGCTCTAGCCGCGTCATTATCTGCTGGTCAGCACTTCCACCACTTGCACTTTTGTCAGTACGGACCATACTGAGACAAGGTCCTGTCTTTGGCTGAATCTTCACACCCTCTTTCAGACAAAGCATCTCGCAAAGAACAGTACCAAAGCAGTCCTTCAGTCCACGACAAACAGGTGGATCTCTCTCACACACACAATAATGACAAGATCATGCAAGCTGCCTCCGTCAAACGACCATGGGCACTGAGAGTACTGCACCAGTGTTCTGGCCTCTTCACTGAGCCCGAACGACCTTCTCGGGTGTTCATGAGGCTGCAGACACCATCACAACCAACAGCAAGACCAGGTAAGCAACGTTTTCTCCTCCTATTCAGGTCATCAGAGATGGACCACCTCATAGACTCAATAGAACGTCTCCATCGCGTCTGCCCTGAAACTTACTACGCCTTGATGAGGACGTGCCACATCTCTCACCTGCCTCTCCGCTCGCTTCTGAGTGGCAAACCATCACTTGAGATAACAGGATAACCAGACTCTATTGCTGAGGTCATATGGCTCGTCTGATCGAGTTCCGTCGCTTCGACATGCTCATTTGTCAGGGCGGAACCCCAGGGCAATCACAAGCCTTCTATGAAAACAAAGACAAGACCGTCCAAACATTCCTCATAGTCGTCGAGCAGAGCACAACGAGCAGAACAAGCAGGACATCTAGCGTAGCGCTGTCAAGATCCCGGCAGCCACCCGACTCACCAGCAACCTGTCCATGACCTCAGAGACGGGATCTTTGAGACCAAACCTCTTAGACCGGAATATAGGCCTAGAAATCGGTTCTCCAGCTTTCCTCACACATGTATGAGCTACCGAAAGCAAATGAACACGGCAGTAAGTGAAGCTCGGGGACCTTTTTCGGGCTGCGAGTGAGGCAAATCAGGAGCTCGACAGGCCCCGAGGAAGACCAGCTCAATCCTGGCAACCTGGTATAGTCCGTTTGACTTGCTGGTGACGCGTCAATAGTAGCATCTTCAGGCCCGGGTCATCGACAAGACCTTTCAAAGGCAAACGAAGTCCGACAGCGACAGCTACCCTCAGCCCGACATGTAGAACAACAAGGCAAAACAGATCAAGGATGAAATGTCCAGTGTTGATGTGTGTTTCGGCACGCCTTCCTTCAGCTTCCCGGCAATAAGGTGGAGAGCGGCATCCCCGCCCCTTTTCTGGCGCAGCTGGACATGCTGGAGAGCTAGAGTTGTCCCCAAGACCAGCTGCAGGACTGACCGATTCGCGGTGTCTCCCGATACAGCGAGGCATTCATCTGTTGGCCATGTAGGCACGAAGAGGACCACTACAGCGACGCTGCAGCAACTCATGGATCTTTGCAAGCCATTAGCTCTGTTTCGCGTCCTTGATTACCAGCAGGCATGGCTGTGGTTACCATTAGGTCTCCGTCCTGGCTACTCTAGAAGTCTCGGCCAGAGCTGTCGCTGTGAAGTCAATTCTGCGAACACCTGGGCGAGCGCTGACCGATACACCCGGCCAGAGCCTTGAGTGTCAAATCTGTGCCGGGGTTGGTTGCAGCTCTCGAATATATCAAGCAGATGCGGATGCTGGAAGCGGCGCGTGTGCCTAGCCACCTAGTGGTCCTCAAACGTTGCAAGCAGATGTGGATGCTGCAGGAGCCGCGTTCTGGTTATATCCAACGCAACAGCACGGACAGATCACCATCCCTGAGTTCCAAAATGACCAGCAAAGGCCAACAAAGCGAAACTGCGCGTCAAACTCAAATAGTTTCCTCTGCCGCCAGGTGCTTATCTTTGGCCTCGCTCTTCTTGACTGTAAGGGTCCGTGGCTTCCGTGCCGCGTCAGGGACAGAAGGTCTCAGCCTAGGTGGGCCAGAGCTGTCGGTGTGATCGGAATACAGGAAGGAGATTTACGCCATGGCGCGTTTGTTGCTCGTTGGTGATGACCTCCTTGGCATTTGCTCGGTGAACGGATCCTTGTAGGCGCGGTGAGGCGGGACGATCTCGCAAGCTGCGGGACCATGGCCGCGGTGTGTGCTGAGAGCCGAGAGACCATGAAGTATGGGGGTGTCAAGAGACATTGCGACACAAGGCAGCTCGGATCGTCGGCTTGATGAATCAGTGTCATTTCGCCCATGAGTTAACGGCTGGAATGGGAGGTGACACGCCGTTGAGATGCACGATCAGTGGCATATAATGTCGAGCCTTGAGGCGCTCGAGCAATGAGCAGGACCTGAAGTGGTTCTTGTCGGGTGGTGTTTGATAATGTGCTCCACCGAGTCGAGGTCGGACTCAGGTTGGTGTATGCATTGAGAAGGTTGACGTGCAATCGTTAGCTTGAGAAGAGCTGATGGGAACAAGTTGGAAATTCACGAGTCGTCGGAGCAGGTGCAGAGTGGTACAGTAGAAGATAATTACGAACTGCGTCGAGAATGACCCTCAACACTTTCTTCAACTCCAGATCACGTCGCTTTCGCATGAGGCTGCGCATTTGCACATGTCAATCCAACGACTCTGCACTTTCTTACGGCGTCTTGCTAGAACAAATATCAGGAGACGTCGTATACAGAATAGGCGTCCATCCGGCCACCTAAGAGATTGCCTTACACGAACCATCTCTAGTATTCAACCCTAGACATCTTCTATCGCATCTTCTGCACAATCTCTGTGACAGCACTAATGGGGTACAGCTTCCTGTTTCAAAGTCAGACAAATCAACTCTATTCTGTACTCCTATTACATCAACGCGACATCTGACAACTCTACTGTAGACTCATCCGGCCCATCCATCCTTCGGTGGACTTGATTAGATCCCGAACGCGTATCGTACCCGTCTGTGCCCGCCGTTTGACGCTGCTGTAATGACTGCAATACTTGCGATCGGTCGGGCAGGTTTATCGCACCGAACATGAGAGTCGAATGACTTGACTGTCACCCCAAGCTTCCAGCCAATCGAGATATACTTGGATTTCCGACTTTCCCAGCGCAGCCTGAGAAAACGCATAGTGGCTGGAATCATCAGTCTCTGGCTAGAGCGTCCGGGAGAGCGGCACGCCCTTTGGTTGAGATGAGGTCGATGGACAGGTACCGTAGAGATGCTGGGGATTGCTTCCTTGGAAGGTGATTCCCACCATCGAATGGCTTCCAGATCGCCCTTTGCAGAGAGGTGTTTAGTTCGTAAGTTAGGTAAGCAGGTAGTTAGTTAGCTTGAATATTCTGCAATAGCTTGAGCCGAAACGCCCATCTAGCATGCGTGTCAGGGGTACCGCATCCCTGTGCCCTCACATTTCCAGAGGCAATCATATCTGAAGCCAGATCGATCCCCAATCGGCGCCTTTGGATTTCCCTCGTATGTGTAACATAATTTAATATCGGCTACAGCGCCGCATATCCAGACTCGACGAAGCCCGATCTAATTACGACACCGGATTGTTGAACAAATAACTGACGCTCTCCCCGTTATGCGTGCGCCTCACGGCCTCGGCCAACACGGGCGCAATGTCAATGAACTCCAGCCGACAACCCTTCTGGCCCTCCGGCACCTTCAGGCCTTCAATCTTATCCGCACTCACAGGCACGGTGTTTGTGATGACGAGCCTCGAAAGCGAGCTCGTCTGCAACGTCTCGACGGCCTTGCCGCTGAGGATGCCGTGCGTGACCAGCGCGACCACGTCCTTGGCCCCATGCTTAATGAGGGTATCCGCGGCTTTGGCCAACGTGCCGCACGTGTCCGCCATGTCGTCGACCAAGACCGCGACTTTGTCCTTGACCGTGCCGACGAGGGTCATGCGCGAGACCTCGTTCGGACGGGACCGTTCCTTGTGGATCAGCGCGAAGGGCAGGTCCAGCTTATCCGCCATGGATGTTGCTCTCTTTGCGCCCCCGGCGTCGGGCGAGACGATGACGCACTCGTCCCTCACGCCGTTGACCTCGGCGCCGGATTCGGTGGCGTGCATGAGGTTCTCGCGGATCCATTTCACGCTGTTGGGTTCGGCGTACAGGTTGTCGACGGGGACGTTGAAGAAGCCCTGGATCTGCGACGCGTGCAGGTCCATGGTGATGATGTGGTTGCAGCCGGCCGTCTGGAGCATGTTGGCCATGAGTTTTGCCGTGATGGGCGCCCGCGATTTGTCCTTCTTGTCCTGGCGCGCGTAGGGGAAGTTGGGCAGGATGGCGGTCACGCGCCGCGCCGACGCCGTCTTGCATGCGTTGCAGATGATCAGGAGCTCCATGAGGCCGTCGTTGATGTCGTTGGGCCGGGTCGATTGGAGGATGAAGACTGTAGGGAGCCGCTTTTGTTAGGCAGGGCTCTGCCAGAGAAGCTCATGGGAAGGAAGGGACGCGGGATGTGGGATGTGGAGTGGTTACTGTACCATCTTCGTCACGCACTGATTCACCGATCGTCACGCTGGTCTCTTGATTCGAGTACTGTAGGACCATAATTTTGACGAGCTCGATGCCTAGCCTGTGTGTGCAGGACGGGTGGTCCCCGTTAGTCCAAGGTGTGTTCCCACGAGGCGTCAGGCTGTGGCATACCTTTTGGCAACAGCCTGAGCGAGCTCAGGGTGACTGTTGCCAGTCAGGAGCTTGATGCTGTTCGAAGCCATGCCGTCAGCGGAACTCAAGGGCGACGCTGCTACCGTCGAAGCATTTTGAAAGGCAGACGAAAGGGCAGGAGGTAGAGTTGACTCGGTCATTAAGTGAGCCAGGAAAAAAAATAGTCGCGGGTAAAGTTCCCCGCGTCGCTGGCGCTTCGACGTAACGGTGGTTGGAGCCGCAACAGCCACACCGCGGGGATGGGCTCGGCTGTCTCTTTGCTTGGCTATAACGCCTCGACACAAGCGATGTCTGCGATGCTGCACGGGAATATTCTGCTAATGGAGGCGGCGATGGGCGCTAGACACGAGAAATGAGAAGATCAGGCATGATGGAGAGGCGCAGGGAAATAAAACAGCAGCTGTGATGATTCCTGGTTCTTTCCTTTTGGCGAGTTCGACCAGTCAACTGGACTAGTAGATCTAAATTGTCCCACAACCCTTGCGGTGGACAGGACTGAACTGGCCGTCTCCGTCAGTCGCACCGTGACACTGCACAACAGTCCATTGTCCATGGCCCCATCTCCAAGCCAGTCATTTCAGCACATGCTGCCGGTTGCTTAGTGGCACTTGTGCATTGGATGCACACTCATGTGACCATAGTCCTGGCTGCAGTGTGTCCACTAGCGCCTTGTAGGCGCGTCATTCGACCGGGGTCCATCAATATGGCATCTCGTCGCAGTGGCCACACGTCTACTTCCTCATGGAAGAGGCACGTCTCTTCCTCAGCTCGGTTCTCTTCTCACGTTCCTCATGCACACGCTTGGCCAGCAACTGAGCATAGTCGTTCGCAGCATCTTTGGCGGCCTCAGCCCGTCTTCTCTTCAAGGCAATGCGATGTCTCTTGTGTTGCATGCGTTGAGGGGTGACAAGTCTCTGGATCTTGGGAGCCTTGGTGTACGGCTTGGCGCCTTCCTTCTTGGGGACGACTTCGCGGCGGATGACGAACTTGCTGCAAAGTATATATTAGCACGCGCATAATGTAGAGAAGTCCGTGGGACAAAGCCATACCGAACATCGTCGTTCTTGCTTAGACCGAAGAATCGTCGGATCTTGGTGGCACGCTTGGGACCGAGGCGCTTGGGATTGACCACATCCGTAAGACCCGGTATATCACCGTCTCCCTGTTTGACGATGGAGAGAGCGAGGACGGAGAGATCTTGCCCGACAATGCAGCCACGGACGGACTTGCGCTTGCGTTCACCAGTCCGTCGGGGTCGGTAGCAGGAGTGGCCTTCGGAGAGGAGGAGCTTGACACGAGTAGGGAGCATCTGAATGAATCAAGTCTCAGCGAATTTGGTTCTTCGACATTTCGCTGGCGCTTTCACCAAGCTAGGGGATGGTAGTACGTACGACACCCTGCTTCATGGGAAAGCCTTGCTTGTCATTACCGCCGGTGATGCGGACGATCTGTTTCAGGCGGGCACGTCAGCATTCCCTTATACAACGTTTCCAGGTGGGTGGAAATCGTACGTAGCCCTTCCATTCATCACCCAAGCTGTCAGCTGGCACTTCGTTGCCCATGCGCTTCTCCATGAAGACGCGCAGCTTGCGCTCATCTTCGATCTCGATCAATTTTTGCGACCCATTGGCCGGGTAGGAAACGTTCAACTTCATCTTGCCGGCGGGTGCTGAGAGGAGCTGTCAAGACTGTCGAAAAGTCTTGACAGGTATCAGCGGTTGAGGATGTCGAGATGGTGTTGGAGATGTTGTCGGTGAAAGCGCAGCAGCAATCTCAAATCCGAAAAGTTCTGTGGGTGGTGCTTTCTTGGCGCTTGAGCTAGTCAGTGTAGAGTTAGTACAAGTGGGTGTTTGTCCATTCCTGAAATGGATAATCAGCCTTGTCTGACTTGCGAGACTCATTCTTGAACCTTTCGTCAGACGGAGTACTCTTACGATCATGACCAGCGCGGCTCCAACCGAAATCACTGCAAAGAATTGCTCGAGTATCCAGAACTGGTGCTTGGAAGCGTTGCCGATTCTATCTAGAAACGCCGTTGACATACCCAGCCGTCTTCTTTCCGTCCTTAAGTTGTTCTAGCTGCAGGTATTTCTCTTCTGCCTGTTCAATAGTCCGGATGTTTGCGCGCATCTTGTTCATAGTCTCTATCCACTCGTCCTCCTCGACGCTGTCAAAGACTATCCCACCACCAGCTTGCAGATAGGCCACGCCATCTTTCACTACCATAGTTCGCAGCGCAATGCACGTATCCATGGCGCCCTCATTCTCAATCTTTGAGCCGTCGGTCGAGACGTGTGAAAAGCCAAAGTAGCCAACAGCGCCAGCATAGACGCCTCGTTTCTCTTGCTCTAGTTCGGCGATGAGTTCCATTGCTTTCACCTTGGGTGCGCCGGAGACAGTTCCGGCTGGAAAAATGCTTCGAAACGCTGTGAACCTGTTTTCGCCCTCTCTTAACACACCCGATACCTGGCTGACTAGGTGCTGAACGTGGCTGAATCCTTCTACAACCATCAATCTGTCGACCCGCGTGGACAGTGGATCGCATACACGGTTGATATCGTTGCGAGCGAGGTCTACCAGCATTACATGCTCGGCACGGTCTTTTATGCTGTTACGCAGTTCATCGGCCAACCTCTCATCTTCTTCCAGGGTGTGACCCCGTCTGATAGTACCAGCAATGGGATGGGTAATGATCCGACCAGCTTCCTCTTTGACGAGCAACTCTGGAGAAGCACCCACAATGCTGAAATCTTCGCAGTCTATGTAAAAGTGGTAAGGTGATGGGTTGACTGTCCGCAAGTGCCGATAAATGTTGAAAGGATGTAGGGTGGTCGGTCGTGCTATCCGATGCGAGGGCACGGCTTGGATAATATCGCCTTTGTTAACATGCTTCTTGAGCCGGGTAACGTGCGCTTCATAGCCTGTTTGACCGATATTCGACATGAACGGCTGATTTTGCACTATAGGTGGTTGGTGGGGAAGGGGCAGGTGTTCAGCTTGTAGTGTCGAAATGGTCCTGTTCAGTCGCTCTGTCGCCTTTGCGTAAGCTGCTTTTAGGTCGGTCGTGGACTCTGTTTGCGGTACGTAGAGGTAAGTAATGACTTTGCAGACATTTAAGAAGTGATCGAAGGCGACTATCGTGTCGTAGAGCATGAAAAAGCTCTCGGGCAGTTGGAGGACGTCTTTCATGGGCCGAGCAGTCTTGGGCTCGAAGTACCGCACACAATCATAGCCGACATAGCCAATCGCGCCTCCGGTCAAAGGTGGCAGCCGTAGTGATGGTACACTCGCAACACGGTATTGTGCCAACTCCTTCTCCAGCCGCGGAAGGGGGTCCTCTTCGGGGCCATGGCCTGGGCCGGACTTGATGGCCTTGAGAGGGTTTGCTCCGACAAAACTATATCGTCCAATAGTCCCTGATGTCGCAGCGCTTTCGTATAGAAACGATAGTTCGGCACCCTCAGACACTTTCAGATATGCTTGTGTCGGTGTGAAGAGGTCGGCGGGGATTTGTGCACACAATGGAACAAGATTGGGAGGATGTGCGGAGGATTTGGACTTGGAGAGGATAGAGGAGACATCCTCCAAGGATGGTAGTATTTGTGCCTGGAGAAGGTGAGCCATGAACAAAGCGAGCGCATTCACGAGTACGAAATACCATGGAGGGACAGATGCCAGAGCCGGTGAGACGGTTGCGAATTTATACGCAGCTCAAGGCAGAGCAGGTCGAAACAGTTTGGTCCTCGGGCATCTCATGAGTAGTGACTTATGGGGCTCCACATATGGGTGTGTATCACTGTACGTTGCACTGTAGAGGAGGCTTTGCGGTCAGCACGAGTTGAGTCATGTCACCGCTTTCTGATTTTGAAGTGCTTCGCGAATGTTTTCGGAACATCCCCGGCCCCACCAGCCCCAGGGCCTTCTCAGGCCTTGTGTGGTATTCCCCACCAACTGAGTTAAGCTAATCATACTCAGGCACCAGCCACCTGGAATACCAGCCACAACTTGCCTTTCGCTCCTCCAGGCCACCGCCTGCGCTACCAGTTCGCATTCCGTTCATGGTTGCTCGCAGGCTGCTCTGGTCACCCACTTCAATTGACACGACACAAGAATATATTCCAAACCGCAGTATTATTGCCCCTCGCTCGCATGTCACCTTAGGCAAGGAACTCTCAGCTCCCCGCATCAGCCAACATGTCGCTCGCTGACGGCCTGGTCGACGTTCATCGCTGCACTTCACCAACGAGGCCGAGTTCTTCGTGGACAACCGACTCTCTGTTTGCGGACTCGGCAATCAGCGTACAGACGCCTGCACTCCAGAAAGAGACATATCCGTTTGGGTCAGGTGATGCGCCTCGGGAGTGCGCCATTGCAGATCGTCTCAGCGGCTTGGTCTCTGAAATCTGGGCCTGCGAGCAGGACGGCGGGATTCGAGGCGAAAAACAAAGGAAAATCACAAGGGCCGTAGAAGCGATCGAGGCGGCATTGGAGCGTGACTCGCTGTCGGAGGAAGGTAGCGAAGCAGAAACGACCCTTCCCACTCAACCCCCAATCACACCGGAGCCTCCCACGACCCCCATCACAGTGAGCGATCTGGAATCGATCCGGACTTGCTTGGCCGCTACCGTTGAGTCCATGCGCATGCGACAACAAGAGCAGCGCCACCTGCATCATTTGACAACCGAAAAGTTAGAAGCAGTCGCACAAAAGTGTATCCAACAGGAAACCCGCCTGCGCGAGTTTAGCGGAGAGATCGCAAGCCTCAAGGAAGACAATCAGTTCTTGAGTCAGGAAAACCAGGTGCTCCATGTCCAACTGAGCAATGCTCAGTCTGAGTGTGCCAGGAAGGAGATCGCCATCAAGGCGATGTCGAGCGCCGTGTCAGGGCTGGAGGGATATGTTAATGGCTCGCCCGTTCCAAAGAGGCCGGCTGATTCTCCGAGGATAGTCTACCGAGGAAAGGGCAGGTTTCGTGGTCGCTATTACGCGGACGAGGCCGTAAAAGAGCCGATGGGTGATGACCTTGATGTACCTGCCGATCCGAAGGCTCTACACGAGGGTGTTACGGCGTGGCTTCGAGGTTTTCGGGACGTGGAAGAAGAGTTGAGATCGGCTCAGGGCTCTGCTAAAGGTGCTCGTGCAAAACAGCCGCAGATCAAACCGAGGATCTTTCAGGATGACTGGGGCGAATTTGAGACGGCCACTAGTACATGATTAACAAAGCGAGGAGTACTCTGGGAGGTCGATAACCGTACAGCCTCAACTAGTTTCAGATTTCTCATTTCAACCAACATTTTCTCGTTGTTGCTGGTTACGAGACGAAGATGGCCGTTCGGCGTGTTGGGAGTCGGCAATCGTAGATTGGGCGTGACCGTTAGTGCTCTGGTCCTCCAGATCAGTGCTGAGGCAAACGTGTACCACACGGCAGTAAGTCCTTGATCGCAGTGTCGCAAGGAGTAGACAACCGTACATTTTGGTGATATTCAGCGTTGGAAGTTGATGATAGCGACCTATGTATGTTAGTCTGGCAGCCTTGGAATAACTGCTATCCCCCAGGGGCTTACCTGTGAACCTAATCCGAACGCAAGCTTCTTACTGTCAATGTCCCATGTCAATGTATGGTCAGCAGTGACTGGATGGGTATCGCCGTTGACGCTGGATCTGCCTCCCGTGCTCATCATGTCATCATCTTTCAATTTCGAGCCATCCCACAGATTCTGTTCATCCTTCCATGTGGCCATGAGGTTGTGATCATGCTCACTATTCCAGATACGGATAATATCATAGCTGGCTCCTGCAAGACAGAAGCCATCCGGCGAATAGGACAACGCCATGATCGGCGAACCGTGGCCGACAATGAGCTTACAGATCGAAGTGATAGAGTTGCTGTCGTCGTCGTAGCGCCAGACCTTGATGGTTCCATCCATTGACGAGGTAGCAAATTCTGGTTTCGAGGGAGTATCCAAGAGGCTCACTAGCCGTGGTCGAAGTTCTAGGCCGGTGATATGCGCCTCGTGTGCGCCTCTCTTGAACAAATCTTGTGCTGGTACCCACAGCGTCCCAGTCTCAGCTGACGCAGCCACCAGAAACGGGTTCCTGCCCCATCGTAGAGTGCATCTGACAAAGGTCCACTGGTCGTTTCCGGTAGGATCGGACGTCCACTTCTGCTCTATACCAAGGGCCGGAGCGATTCGGAAAGAGTAGACCGAGTTCTGCCCTGCCGCGCAGACAATACTAGTCTCGTCAAGAAATGCACCGTCCATGTCTATCAAAGTTTCTGGAACACGGACTGTCGACAATTCTACCTCAGCAGGCAAGTTCCTGTGGTGCCACTGGATGATTGATGAACCAGCAGCTTTGGCCGTGCCCATGTCATCAGAATCGTAGGGGGCAAGGCCGAATAGACTGGAGCCTTGAGCCTGCCAAACCATGCTTGTCACTGCTCTTTGTGATGCGGTTAGATCCTCAACCATACAAAGTTCTTGTCCGTCGAACACAAAGATGTGGCCGGACAGATTGGTGTACGTCGCGATCGCTATCATATCACCGTGCGGCTCCCAGGCAACCGCACTTATCAGCTTCTGTCCGGTTGAATCCACAAGTTCTTGGAAGCGAGAGGTGGAAGAAGTCGGAGACCCCGGGGTGATGTCCCAGATTCCACAGAAGTCATCGCCCATTGCAGTCAGTGCATTACCGGTGCTGGGGTGCCAAGTAACCCGTGTCAGAGATCTCGGGACATCGCCAACTGTAGGTGGTGGCAGATTGAAAATTGTGCTCGACTGAGCGAGGTTTGCAACTTTGGCAGGGGTGACCTGGATCCCCTTGCTTTCTCCGATGAACAAAGTGTGAGCCGGAGGTGGTACCGCTTCGATCTGCGGCTCGTTGTTTTGGTGATCTGCGACCAGCGAGTCCTCATCGACATCCATCCGCTCGTCGGCCTTAATCCCATTCATGAAAGGCCCTGCATCGTCGGGCCCGACTTCCGTTGCAGTCGGCGATCTAGCATCAGAGATCGGCACAATATGACCATTCACCATGTCAACATCCATCGTGGAGGCATTGGCAGCACGACTGGCAGAGGCCGACGGTTTGCGGGTAGCGCTTCCATTGCGCTCAGCGCTCGCGGCCGTCTTTCGGCCTCTCTTCGGCGCAAGCTGTGTAGCCACAGGTAGAGAAGTGCGTTCGACAAGTCCATTTACAGCGGGATCGCGGATTTGCTTCTGAGGTGCAATGAGTGAACCGTGCGGCGAAGGCGTCGAAGGGAACGCTTCTTCAGGCAGTTCTACTGGAGGCTTCTCGCTCTCGGGCCCGAAGAAGAACATCGACGGGTTGAGTTGCTTTGATGGCCGGCCATTCTACAACGGGATTAGCGGGAGTGTGTTCGCGCCTGCACGAAGACAGATATTATACCTCATCGATTGTTAGTGAAAGATGGTGATAACGAAGACCCTTTTGAACAAGGGAGACGAGCGCATGGCCCTTGACGCATTTTGCGAAAGGGAGGCTTTCTGCATCGACTCTCCAATCTCGCTGGAGCTTGACAGCGGCATCCGCGTAGCCTACACAGATTGGTTTAGCGTTGCAGGCGTGGTGGGTCCCGTGCCAGGCTTACCTGACTCTTGAAGGTATCTGCAGCCAGAGGTCAGTAACTTGAACGGCATCCAAAACCGACGTTTCAAAGTGCGCGCACCTCCATATGAGATAATTCAGCTGGTCCGAACTGAGTGGGGGTGGCTTTGCGCTGAAGGTTGATGCATTGTCGGCCTCCATCCCGACATTCCGCTCTTGGGGCGATATCGAGCAGGGGCTGCTGTGTCCCAAGCAGAGGAGCACTCAAGGACAACAATCGGCCACAAACAACGATGGTGACAGGGCTGGAACACCAGAGACGAGAAATCCAGCCGATGAGACCGCGTTTCCAAGTAGTAGGGACGATGCGCAAGCTGATCTTGACTGTTCGGCCTTGGTAGTTGTGAAGAAATGAGGATGAAAAGACCTGGACCAAGAAAATGGGAGTCGAGGGGGTCGCGATTTACCAGCCTGTTGGGATCCGGGGTAAAGCGGTTACTAGTTGATCAGCCCACGGGTTGGCGAAAGTATTGTACAGATCGAAAGCAACGAGCAAGCCGGGTGGTTGTCGATAAAAATCGGGACGTGTTTGGGTCGAAATTGGTGATGGAGATGAGAGAAGGCACCACAACGGGATGGGGATGATGTGCAGACAGTGACAGTGGTGCCAGTGGTGCCAGTAGGTTGGCAACTCAGGGCCCTGCGGCAGCCAATCCCAGGCGCGGGCGTCGTCGGTGGACCACGTTGGTGCTTTTCTCTGCGAGTTTCATGTCCAGCCTGCCTTGCACCCGAGGCACGAGATCGACTGGCCTTGGAGCTTGACGATTGCCCTAATTACTGGCACCACTGGTACTCGGAGCTCTCTCGTAAATATGTACGTACTGTGTACCTCGCACTGTAGCCACGAACAGGCCGGCGATGCTGTTGCCTATCGCGCCGGATTATCTACACATTGCAAGCTACAATTCTGACTGTGGTGACCTGCTGTCCTCCCTGACTGTAAGACCTATTGCCATTCGTTGATTGGGAGCTTGTGCCTTGTGCCTTGTACCGCTGCACCGCATCTGCCACTGTGCGTAGTTTCGAAGCGGCTAGACTGGGAAAGCCACGCTCCTCGCGCCCGCGGCAGAAAATCTCCGGCTGCCTGTGAACCCTGCGAACTTGTTTCGCCTGCTCTGGTTCTTGCATCACAGGACCACCACCGCTGCGCTCAGTGTCTTCGTTACGGACACTCTGTAAATAGTCCACCATTCCGCCTCTGCGGCACAATCATGAGATGAGCAGAGCGAGCAATTCGCGCAATGGCTCTTCGAATCAACCTTCCTCTCATCACGCGGGTCCTACTTGCCACTATCGTCGCCCTGTCGTTTCTTTACAACATCGCTCGATGGAGGCTGTCGTCAAGTAGTCCCAGCATCGAAGACCCCAGCGGCACAACCCTCTCTCCGTCTCCAACCGTGCCGTACCTAGCGCTGGTTCCGTCTCAATGCATATGGTACCCTTGGACCTTCCTCAGCGCAACCTTTGTCGAGCAAAACATCCTGACGCTTCTCGTTAATGGCACCAACATTTTCTTTGGTGGGAAATACCTTGAAAGAGCATGGGGAAGTCGGGGCTTCGTCTATGTCATTCTCATATCTTCAGTGATACCCAACCTAATAATGGTTGTGACCTACATTACCTGGGCTGGCTTGAGTGGAAACCCTGAGCGAGCCTTGACCCCGATCACGGGAGGCGTCTCCACGCAAGCAGCTTTCCTGGTTGCCTTCAAGCAGCTCGTTCCCGAGCATACCGTCAGCATATACAAAGGCATGATCAAGATGCGAGTCAAGCATTTCCCGGCAGTCTTCCTCGCTCTCAACACCCTCTCCGGCCTCATACTAGGTACTGACGTTGCATTGTTCCTCGCTTGGTACGGCCTGATCACCACCTGGACATATCTGCGGTTTTACAAACGCCAGCCCGACATTTCGGGATCGGCCACGGATGGTCGGGGTCTGAAGGGTGACGCAAGCGAGACATTTGCCTTTGCGACGTTCTTTCCGAACGTGGTCCAGCCACCGATTGCCGCTTTTTGCAACCAGATATACATCCTGCTTTGCAACCTGAAATTATGCACGCCCTTTTCCGACGAAGAAATTGCAAGCGGAAATGAACAAGCTGCCGCAAGAGGGGAGGCTGGTCTCCCCAGTTTCAACAAAGCACGCGGCGCAAGGGGCATCAGCAAGCGCGAAGAGGCAGAGCGCCGACGAGCCCTGGCCCTCAAGGCGCTGGATGAGCGTCTGAATGCGGCTGCTGCGCGAAACCAAGTACAACCTACCACCGCTAGCGCGCCTGATCTCCCCAAGGGCCATGAAATGCTTGGACAGACGGATTATCGCCCTGATGAATGAGGCTCTTCACATGATTGGCCCGGTGTCAGAGATTTGTGATCTTACAGGGCCGTCGTGAACCTTTTGCTCTCAGTTAATTGATTCAGCGTTGAGCGATTGATCTGTATTCTATGTATAGGAAAGCGGCCTATATTGTGTCCGTATGATCCCGTTCGAAGCGGTCATTGCGCGACTGGACGCACCGCCAATCTCGGGTATGTGGCACTTGATACTTCGTTCTGTGCAGTCGGCGAGGTCCGAGCCAGTGCTTTATGGAGAATCCACTGATGGCCCCAAAAGCCCGCATCACCCGCTTCCAGATGAGTCGCTTCCTATCATCTTTCATCTGGTTCGCCTCCAATCGCTACGTGCCGTATCTCTGCCAATCACTTCTGCACGCGATCGACGTACAAGCGCAGGTACCCTCGCCATAGTGCAACCCTGCCAACTGCATGCATTCCTTCATTTACCCGTCACACATCCTGCATTGTTACCTGCCTTCCTTTCTTGCTCTCGAGGCCGATCTACTTGTGCGCAGGTGCTCCGGCCTGGCCATCTGACTCGTCCAGAGACTAAGCTTCGCATTTACTCTCCGCCACTGTGGGGAGGAGTATGACGGCCTTCTGCAGACGAGATGTCTTTTTCGAGGCTCTGATCCGATGGTAAGTTCTCCGTACCTCGTAGGCGAGCAACGTGGGAGCTGCAGCTCGCCCTAGCTTAGCTATGTGAGTGGTATAAAGCTCTTGCTCGCCTCGCAATTGCTGCTCCGGTGATGCGTCCTGTGTTTGTCGTTGCGCCCTCAGTTCTTTTCTGCCACCTTGAGGTGTAAATCACCAGCAATGGCGTCCATGAGGTATCTTGCCTTGGCTGCCGCTCTAGCGAGCGGAGCGCAAGCTTCGTTATATGGCGAGACCACCGAAAACCACACTTGCATCCTTGGTGAGTGCTTGTCTTGTCCATCGATGTTTGCAAGGACCTCCATACCTAACATAACGACTTCAGACCCGCTCGTCCTCTCCTGCTCAGCTCAAGCCCAGCCCAACTTGGTGGACTCGTGCTGTACAGAGACCTTTGGCGGCCTCCTCCTGTCCACTCAGTTCTGGAGCACGTACACTGGCCTTGAGGCACAAGGTCAAAAGCTGCCTGCCAACACATGGACACTGCACGGGTAGGTTTGAGCTCCACCGGCATATCCGTCCACGGGCCACGGACCGACGCACCCTTCACCTCCTCGCGCAAAACCCGCCCCCCCGGGCCCCCCCCCCCCCACCCCAAAACACCACCACCACCACACAACAACATATATCCAACTCATACCATGACAACAACTCTAATCCCTCGATAGATTATGGCCCGACTACTGCTCAGGGGCATATACGCAATACTGCGATCTCTCCCGTCAATACGATCCCGTCCCCTCGCCAAACACGACGAACGGCCTCCCCAACGGAACCGTTGTCCCGCCCTACAAGGGGCCCGACGTGGGCACCTTCGTCGAGGACTTCGGCCGCTACGACCTCCTCCAGTGGATGAACACGTACTGGATCAACCAGGGCGCGCCCAACACGGACTTCTGGGCCCACGAGTTCTCCAAACACGCCACCTGCTTCTCGACGTTCGACCTGCCCTGCTACGGACCCCAATACGTCGAACACGAGGACGTCGTCCAGTTCTTCGAGACCGCAATCAAGTACTACAAGCGGTTGCCGACGTGGAGCTGGCTCAAGGAGGCCAACATCGTGCCTAGTAACACCACGACGTACTCGCTCGCGGATATCCAGGGCCAACTGACGAAAAAGTACCGCGCCGTGCCGTACGTGGGGTGTAGTGGGCCGCGGTATAATACGACGGAACAGGGGAGGAGGGAGAATAGTACGGACAGCGGACGTACGGTGGTCAGTGAGGTGTGGTATTATATGCATGTGAGTTCATTCCTGTGCTTCTGCGAACGGTGTGTAGGGGGGGATGAATTGTTCACACAGTACTAACGGAGCGGCGGATAGGCTTACGGACGTCCTCAGGATGGGAATACCGTGCCGGTCAATGCCACGAGTCCGAATACTTCCTGTGCGAAGGCTAAGGGGGCGTTGCATTATTATGAGATGACGCCTGGGTCGGTGCAAGGTAATTAGAGCTAGAAAGACTGGCTTTTATGACTGAGAAGTATATGACAGGTGTGAGTACAGGCGGTGGTAATGATAATGTACATATTTAGAGACGTGATAATGCCTCTACCATCGATAATGCTATTCATGACTCTTCATGTAGTCGACGGCTGTGCCGGGCACGAGAAGCCTAGACCCGTATGAGGTGAAGCACACTAGCCTCGCGCCTTGCTGGCTCGGTCTCGTGTACTTGGAGATACGCGTCGACTCTTGGCACCATTCTTCATGGTCCAGCTGAACAATCACCAAGATTTGAGCACTGTGCACACCGAGGCGGAATCTTTCTTGCTTCTTCGTTTGGGCTATTTTGTGAGCCTATTTACACCCACGGAGAAACAATACGCTCACCTCGATATATCTGGTTCCATCACTCGAGGCGATCGTATGTGCTCAACCTGGGCAGACAAGCCAGATATCGATAGTGGATCCCCAGTGTTGCTTGATGGGAGTCTCATTTCAATTGTCGAAGCCTTGAAGCTGGGACGCGCAAAGACACCGTTGCGGACGTAGTCGTGTCGTGGAGAATCACTTGACAACCTCGGGGAGATCATGCGATCGGAAGAGAACCAGGTTGAAGAAGTTGATATTTTGTGTGGGCACAGAGGACCGCCATTTCCTTCAAGCGTAGCAGCTTTTGTACCAGACTGTTTGTTTGTGGTGGCAAGATGGTTGTTTAGAGCGGCTGTATTCATTCTGGATTGAAACTCTTGGTGCCCTTCCGTCCCCAGCTTGATGGCCATCGAGCGAAATCGCTAGACGCGGGCCCAGACAAGGTTGCTGCGCTCCAGTCATAGGAGTCGTCCAACTTGCAAGTCATCGGAAAGACATGGGATAGAGTCCTGGGGTCGGAAATCGATGAGCTGAGGCGTCGACAGGAATGCCTTAGTGCGTACCGCTTCGAGCTGATTGAATTCCGTGGGTTTTGAAACGAGGAAGGCATGAGCTCAAAGCAGAATCCAGTGTTCATTATTGTCTCTCCATTAGCTGATATCTGCACCTGCGACAATTGCATCGTTGCTCAACTTGGTCTGAGGTGAAGCTTTGCTTGGAGCAAGGCTAACCAAGGTAGTTCTCTCCACGTTGAATTGTTCAACATGGTCGGTTGGCGTATGTGGATTGAAGCAGACATGCTTGCCACCACAGAGCTGTCTTACAACAGCGGTCTAGCCGGGGAAGTCCCCTCCCAACGTGATGTCGCTAACGAGCTGGGTGTCAGCAGAGGAACTCCTTTCCCTTACCTCCCTGGTCAGACAATCCAGCCGGGGAAAGCCCATTATCCTGAGCTCCAATTCGACTTGCGGCTGTTTCCAACATGGCCGCGCTGCTCTCCTGGTGGAAGTTCCCTTCTTCCCTACACCGAAGGAGCAATGTTCCCTGTGCGCAAGGCGTGTGATTACGCTCTTCCCACTGTTTAGAGACACGGGCTTGTTGAATGGAAGCCTGGGTGAGGTATAATTCACACGGATTAAGGTGACTGGTAAGCTGTATTGAGCTGAAGCGAGGCAAGGCAACGCACTCCTCGACAGATTACGGCCAATATTGCGCTCGATCACCTCGACATGCATATTTGTTTGAGAGGGCGGGGGGGGGATTGTTCAGGGTAGCAGTAAGATTCGTTGTCGCGCCGCGTTCCGCAGTCGACGTATGCTCTGTGTGTCCCTACGCCTAGCTTACCTATTGCTGTTATTGGTACGGAGTATGGTGGTAGGAGAGGTTGAAGTCGTGCTTATGGAATTGGAACAGTACGGTTCCCTGCGATCATTAGCTCCCTATTCCGGTAAAGTTCATTTCAAAGCTAGGTGATACTGAAATGAGGTACGTGGTATGGGTTGTGGAGGTGTCAGGCAGAAGCTGTCTGACGAGTCTTCACCATATAAACCATAAATGGCAGCACTCCGTACTTACATTGTGACGGAGCTTCTCATTGTGCCTGACTAGGACCACTAACGTCTCAATAGAGCTATCCGAGACCTATTCCTCCATGCCAGTCTCCGAGTTAGCGCGCCTCACCCTTCGGTCGGGCACTGAGGCTTCGTCTCCAGCTCTACTGATGAACTTGGCCAAAGCAAAAGAGGCAATGGTGGAGGCCAGTGGATTCGAATTCTGGTATTACCATTGCGTGGAGGACCCCAGAGTCATCTTCATCCTCGGATCGTGGCCTTCAGTCGAATTCCATATGCAAGATTTCATTGCCAGTGAGCCGAACCAAGAGCTGCTAACCCTGCTCAAAGATCAAATAACCGTGGACTGGATGTTTCATCTGGATATCGCCCAAACAACACACCCTCTGCCATTGAGCCGAGACATGATCGCGATTGCCCGGCATTTCATAAAAGACGGCGCCAAAGAAGCGTTTAAAAGCACATTTGAGGCCAGGAGATATGAATTGGAATCTTTCCTTGGGAAAGAAAACATGGTTGGGGGATGGAGAATTGATGCTGGTTATGACCCTTCAGAGGAGGACGAGAGCAGAAAAGAGGAATTCGTGCTGTTCACTGCATGGGACAGTGTCGAGCACCATGGCGAGTTTGCGGAAACGGAGGGATTCCAGAAGTACAGTCAGACCAGGAACCACATCGATAGAGCGGAGATTAAGCACGCGAAACTGCTCCAGGTTGGAGAGCTCGTCTGGAAGTGAAGGCGCGCCATCGCCGAGTCCAAGCTCATCTTCAACGAGGCGCGCGATGAACGCTTTAATGGTGGGCGAGGCATTTTCTGTATTGTTGATGGCACCCTTTCCCAGGGTCTTGTTCGTGGCGTCGGTTTCGTGGCATTCGCCGTGCGCTCCGGAATGGTCGGTTCATCGCTGACAAGCTGCGAGCTGCCCCGTGTGTGCCAATGGAAGCTTGACGCGGCTGCGAGCTCAAGGCGAATGGTCGGTCGCATGAGGAGGAAAGCGACCGAGTTTGGGTCACATGGACTGCTCCTCCTCAAGCATTCTTCTTGCCGTTTCTTTATCAGCGCTTCGTTTCTTGAGCAGCTCTGCTCCTTCTCGAGTGCTTATAAAATTCTGTCTGAAACGTCTCGCCTTGTCGCTGCTCGTTAGGGATCAGGAAATCGATTGCATATCAGTGGATCGTCTCCAGCACCAGCCACTAGTGATTCCACTGCGCCACGCTGTCACCGCAAGCTTTTGAGGATCCAAGCGACGGTCATCATCGTCAGCAGCCTTCAGCTTCCGCGAGCCGCCCGAAGCATAGCCAGCAGAGGCCTCCCGGGCACCTGCTTTCCGCCCACATTACGTTAACCTTCTCACCACTCTAGCTAACCTTAAGGCGACTTGCGGGTTTTATCCTACCCGCCCGTCAATCTGGCATTCTTCGCTTCGCCTCTTCTTTACCAAAACCTCCCCACTGTGCGTAGAGTGACCGATCGCAACGGCCGCAGCTATTCGGTCACTGAAACGCCTAGCCGCTCGTTTGACGTCCCACCTTCTCGTCGCCGAACCGTCGTCGGCGTTTCTGACGAACTTCGATCTGCTCAAGCCAGCGTCAACCGCAGTCAGCATTCGCCTGAGAACATATACAGAGGTTCATTGTTTGAGACCGCGCCTATCTATAGAAAAGGAGGCGGCATGTCGAAGGTTGTAAGAAATGTCAAGAACATCACGAAGGGGTATAGTAGTGTGCAGGTGAAGGTGCGAAATGGTAGGTGTTGGTTCCGATTCACCATCGTTTGAAGACTAATACGATGATATCAGCTACCTCCAACGACCCATGGGGCCCGACAGGCACAGACATGGCTGAAATTGCGGCCCTCACCTTCAACAAGTAAGATTCGGCTGCCTGCACGGCGTCATCTTCACTAACAAGAGTCACCTAGCCCGAGCGACTTCTACGAGATTATGGACATGCTCGACAAGCGGCTGAACGACAAGGGCAAAAACTGGCGACACGTGTTGAAGTCTCTGAAGGTTCTCGACTATGCTTTGCATGAAGGCTCAGAGTTGGTCGTTACCTGGGCGAGAAAGAACATCTACATCATCAAGACACTTAGGGAGTTTCAATATGTTGATGAGGATGGGAGAGACGTCGGACAGAACGGTGAGTTTCAGGTGCACTCTTAGAATCATGGCGGATGCTAACAAAAAGGAAGTCCGGACATCTGCCAAAGAGTTGACTTCCCTCATACTCGATGAAGAACGCCTCCGCAGTGAGCGCTCCGATCGGAAGTTGTGGAAGACTCGTGTCACGGGCATTGACGAGTATGCGCCTCAAGCCATTTCCGGTCCATCTCATCCACCACGCAGAAATACACATCACAACAGGGATGGACTTGCCGATGAAGAGCAGCGCCAAATCAATGAAGCACTCGAAGAAAGCAAACGGGAGGCTGAGCGAGAGGCGCGCAAGCATCGACAGGTGCATGATAATGATGATCAGGACCCGGAGCTCAGGAAAGCCATCCAACTCAGCCAAGAAGAAGCCGATTTGCGTAGACGGCAGCTTGAGGAGCAGAACGCAGCTTCGCTTTTTGATGATACTCCAGAGCCAGCTCCAGCACAGAGCCAGCCGACGGGATATAACCAGGGCTACCAACAACAGCCCGCCGTTGACTGGTTCGGTAACCCACTTCAACAACAGCCTCAAAGCACCGGATTCTTAAACAACCAGTATGCACAGCCGCAACAGACTGGGTACCAGAATGGCTTCAGCAACGGGTTCCAGCCAGCTCAACCCACTGGGTTTGACCAATTCGGCCAGCAACCGTTCCTTCAGCAGCAGAACACGATTCAGCCTCAGCAGACAGCTTTCCAGGTTACCAATTCCTATGGAGGGCAGCCATCCCAGGACCTCTTCGGGGTTCAGTCGCCTCAGCAGACTGCACTCCAACCCGGAACAAACAATCCATGGGCCACGCAGACACAGGCAGCTGATGCGCTGAAGCCATTACCCACTGGCTCGAACAATCCTTTTGCGCAAAAGACGCAGCAACCATCCCCCTCGCCTTTCGCTCGGTCAAGCACCCAGCCTTCACTAGGAATCTTGTACGAGTCGCAACCAACCGGTCAGTTCACCCAACCTTCAATACAGAATCCGATCACAAATTACTCTGCGCCGCAATCCCCATTCCAGCAGCAACAGAAGCCAGCAAACCCACAACATGCAAAACTTAATGCTTTGCTGGCTTCGGGTGAGGGTCAAGACACGTTTGGAAACACCGGTGACCTGCGTATTCCAGCTCAACATACTGCACCTGGGACGTTCGTTAATTCGGCTGGGCAAGGCCTCGATCGTCTACGCGTAGCACAGACTGGCACGAATCCGTTTTTTTCGTCACAGGCCACCGGATTTGCACAGGCGCCCGCTCAGACCGGCCCCGCGGGTAATTTCGGCGGCGCTTACGGACAACAGCAGAACAACAATCCGTTTGGTGGCCGGCCAGTCGGCCAGCAAAGTGGAAGCTTGATTGACCTGTAGACATGGGCTGTGTGGAAAGAGCCCTACATTGATGCCAGTGAATGGATCGAGGTCTGCTATTCTTGTGGGAGCCGGCATCTTACGACCCGAAATTGCTCTCTGATAAACTACGGTTTATGTACACGTCTCTTTGCTTGACTGGAGTTCTGCTGAAGCTCGGACTGAGCGCGGCCACGAGTACTAAAGTAATGAGCTTTTGTGTCTCCTTAGACGAGCCTCTTGTCTATCATGGTTATCTATCTCAAGGGCCAACCTTTTTCGGTGGCGAGGTTTACAAGGCTGATTTTCGCAATACACAGCAGTACTCGGTACAGAGTACGATGGTGCGGGATCTCGTAGACCTGCAGTGGGAAGTCGTCCCAGAACCGCTGGAACTGGCAACTGCTGGTCCAGTTTCGTGGCCTTTGAAACGCAGGCGCGCACGAGGGGCGCGGCAATGATGTAATCGCCGAGCGCGAAGAGCCGCAACGGGCAACGCCAGTACTGTACGGAGTAGTCAGCCCCAACTGTCAGGGATCGGTTACAAAAGTTTGACAGGGCTTGATTAATCCTCGGCCTCATCTGTCTTTCAGCTTCAGCTCGCTTTTCGTGTCTGGGTTGGTACATAATTACTAACTTCTGCCTTCCCAGCCTTTGTCGTCGTCAAAAGTGCGCGACATCCAAGTATGCTGCGCTCGAGGTGAAATGAGCGCGTCCGCTCTTTATTCCCCTGTCTTGTCCATGCGCTCGCTGCGTTCTACACTAAATGTGCACTTGAGAGCTTAATTACCGCCCACACCAAGGTCGCGGAACTTGCAGTCAACGGAGGAACTTCACACGCGCCATCATGCCCTTCTTTCTGTAGGATTCTGGCATGCTCGACCGCATTTTTCGCTGCTGCCTCCGCACTCAAGTTTAACTCACCATCCTCAGGCTCGGTAATTGATCCAACACAACCTATTACCATTTCGTGGTCAGTCTCTTATACTGATCCCGCTGTCGTCAACCTCCAGCTCAGCAACCCCGACCCAAACATCCATCTCACACTTGCTATCGGGGTTGTCACATACGAAGACACCTACACTGTGCCAGGCGGCACACTACACGCAACAGCGCCTGGGTATATCTTGGTGGCCGTTGGTAACGGGATTACGCTTGGTCAGGTCACTGGATGGTCCTTGGGTGCTGAAGATGGCCAGACTTCTACCGTGGCCGAAGTGACTTTAGTATCCACGCAGACCGTTGTTCCAATGGCGACGGTCTCAACACAGGTGGGGGCAAGACAGTGCTATAGCTACTGCTATTCCCACAGCATCTATTGTCTCGGTAGGCGTCACAACGCTGGTGGGGACAGAAAGTGGCAGCCAGATCCTGCCTTCTATTCCCCGCACCGGCAGCAGTTTTGTGACCAGCACGATGAGCGTGACAAGCACCAACTCGAGCCCTGCTACCGTGCCAGCCGGAAGCACAAACACGTTCTCGGTGCCGCAGGCGTCCTAGCGGGCGTTGTTGCCCTTCTCGCATAAGCGATATGTGTATCTACTCCACAGATGGCCAACGATTACATCAAGACCGCAGAGAGCAGAAATATGTGAGACGTTCAAACTCAGCTGGCTATGCAAAGCGCCCTACCCATCTGAAATCTCTTCTGGGATGGATCGCCCTTCTCTAGGGCATCCTCCGGTGTCTGATCTGGACTGTCATAGCCATCTGGGGGCTGTCGTACGAACAGTTTGGGCTGGACTTGCATTGCTTGTTCACTTTCGCATTTATGCGGGATTGGTCTTCCCTTCATTTGCCAGAGTTCGCAGCCTATGTCTTCAGTTATGCTTCTTCCTATCACGTTCTAAATATATTGGCATATTGGCTGTTAGTTACTGAGAGCAGCGATTATGTTGGATGTTGGTGGCCACAACGTTGGCGACATCCGAAGTGTGACGAACCATGTCAGCTTGTTGTTGTACTGTACATGCAATGCGGAGCCAACGCCAATCATTGACCTGCTCGCTTAGCGCTGGTGGCTCCAGAGTGGCTGACTCCTGTCACAAGGCTGGTGTCCGATCTGGGTGTTAAAGCTCCGTTGCATGAGCAGCGCGGATCTTCGCAGCTGATGGAAGACAGGGAAGACAGTGAAGCTGCTACTGTCTCCAAGCAGGGTTCCGTCTGGCATATGCCCAGTCCGCAAACCAGAGTAGCTTGGGGTTTGTGGCCAGTCCCCAAACATGTTATGCCAGACACAGGGTGTTCCTGCGCAGCCTCACAGGCATCGTCCAGGGGCCCCAGGGCGTAGGCGCCCGGTGAGCAGAGCCCTGCGATGGTATGCCACTTGTGGCTATGTTTCTGTACATCCTTCGTCCTTCCGTCGTTCGACAATAGCAGATGAGCGCCTCGCTCGCAGCCAGAGTTGAACTCTAAGGCTCTCTACCTCTCCCATACACCCCAAGAGCAGACGGAACGTGGTCAGCCTTACCTACCAGAGCAACGAACGCCCAGTATCTCGATCGCCATGCCACCACTCGAACCCTCCCGAACAAATACGATTAGCCAAGCCACGCGCAGGAGGGGACCATCGCCCGAAGAATGGGACCGTGTGAAGCCTTTGATCAAACGATACTACATCGTGGAGAAAAGAAGGTTGAAGGATGTTCGTCTGCTACTGCTCGACGAACATGGATTCGATGCGGCGTCAGTGTCAGATCCGGCGCCTCTACAGGCTTCTCTAACATTCTCCCAGCATACATAAGCTCAAGACTAAGATCACAGAATGGGGCTTTAAGAAGAACTTCAAAAGACAAGAGCTTGAGGTGGCGGCAAATGAAGCAAATCGTCGCTCTGAACACGGCATGACTCTCCCTTTCGATATCCAGATCGATGGGAGGCCTTGTGACTGGGACCGTGTCAACCGACACTACGGCAGAGTACACAAAGACTCCCGACTGCGAGATACCTCCTCCTGGCATGCTTTCCTCCCAAGAGTGGCCCTGAAGACCACACCTACGGACTACAACCTCGAACTCTCGCTGAAGGAAGTAAAAAGCTATTGGGCCGTCGTGATTGCTAAGGATGAAAGCCGTGCTTCAGTGAGAGCGAGGCGCAACGCTTCGCTTACAAGACATGATCCTCATAATATCGAAATCGGGTTCTTCGGCGGACTCAATCTTATTGACCAAGGACACGCCAAACAAGGATGGCAAGAAATCAATGAAATGTGCGAGGCGGTGACTGATGTCATTAAAATGCAGGAGCCTAGCCTTCTCTTGTCCATTATCAGCCTCTTTTCCGCCAGCCTTTGGGTCGACCATCACGATCTATTCATTCTCGTTGCGAAATATGTCCTTGCCGCGTGTGATATGCTGCTCATGCGATCACATCCTATAACGACGGTCTTGACGACGCTAATCAGCTTGCCTCCTACGGCAGCTGTTGTTGATGACTTTGCGGAAATAGCGTATCAGGTCATGGTGGATACTGTCACCGAGCACGGAGACCAAGTCAAGCTCGACCGCTACTACACTTATTGCGCGGAAGAATACCTCATCAGCAAGATCAAGTCAAGACTGGAGCGGCACGAGGCCTACGAACTCGTCTCCACGAAGCTTGCTCACTATAAGCGAACGCTTGGGCCTCGGAGCAGACATACAATATCCATGCGAGCTCAGCTAGCGAAGATGCACCTGAACGATGCTCGCAAGGCACAGCCAGAAACCAGAGAGCGGAAAGAAGCCGAGAACAAAGGGATGGAAATACTACATGAGATTGTGAAGCAGGGAGAGAACTACCCCAACGACCGTTATCGGATTGGGACTTACTCCATAGCTGCAGGAGACCTCGCACGATTCTACTTTGGCAAGCAGGACTTCAGGAATGCGCAGGTGTATTACTGCAAGGCAGTCCTTTGGGGTGCTGAGAAATTCGGTCGGATGCATTCACACGTCTCGCTTGTCCTTCGCGAGTTCAGAGCCCTTCAGAGGATGGCAGAGCTTGACATTGATATTGAAGTGGAGACGGCATACAAGCCAGTGCCAAACGCAGCGGAAGACCGATCTCAAGAGAGCCATTCGAGAACGGTCGATAATGGCATAGGCGACGTGCAGGGCGGTAATCTTGGCAATCCTAGCTTCGAAGAGTCTTGCCTCGAAGCTGAAACTCTTCTTGAAGGTGGTCTGTTCACTACTCCCACTATTCAGTGTGAGCAGACATTAAATAACGGCATGATTGTGTCCGACTTATTCGACAGGCCTTTGGATGTCCTCGATCAGGGTTCTCTAAGCCGCATGGTGCCAGGTCAATTATTGGATGACCATCCAGGAGTCATCAGCGACTCGCAGTCACCAGTCCTCGAAATCACGCAAGACGATGCAGTATTCCATGGGACTGCAACTACTTCAGACCTGGTCTTCTTCAGTTCGGGTCCAGAGGATTCTGAGTCATTAATCGTCAGCAACACGCAGTCATCAATGCCCGATGTTCCACAGGACATCGCAATGTTCGATGAGGTTGGGAATCCTTTCACCGATGTCTTGTTCGGATCTTATCTAGATGATCCTGATGGGGGATATATGCATCAGGATCGAGTTGACCAGCTTTTCGAAGAGTGTTAGACTCTGTTAGGCTCTGGTCAGAGAGGCTCAAATGTCAATTGTCGCATTTGGCTTTTCGCGGAAGCAAGGCTATATCTCTTATCCGCGGCTGGTGCAAACTCGGTCTGGTTCAGACACTACCTAGGTAAGTAAGCACCACAACCGATGCTAGACTTCGCGCCCGCCGCACTAGCCATGCCAACCGGTTCATGTGGCTTTGAGATCAATTCCACGCTGTACTACTCACAAAGGCTAAGTCATCCTCAATGGAAGCAGAATCGAACAGGGCAATCCGAGCTCGTGGATGATGATTGGCCAGAACAAAGGTCGTTATGCGCCAACCTCGTGCGGCTGGGCCTGTTGGTTGCCTTCCACCGATGCGGCTGTCATAGCCTGATGAGGTATGGCGGGCGGTCATAACGACTTTTGCTCTCGATCTCGAGGTCGGGAGGAGCTTCTATTTGATGGACTTCGAACCTGCCGTAGCTGTTGTCTCTTTCCATCATCCCGCCGCTATCTTTTAAACCTAGGGTCTTCCTAGCCTTGACCGCATCCTAGTTATCCTCGTCCAGCGCTGTTTCGCTCAAAGCTTGCCGTCCCTGCAATCTTGTAAGACGAAGATGCCTCCGACAGACCAACCGCGCCGCAGGAAGAAGGCGCCAAGCGAGGCTGAATGGAATCGTATCAGACCAGAGTTCGAGCGCCTCTACCTTCGTAAACGCCTGACGTTAGCCCGCATCTCGGCCATCTTGGCCAAAGCTCAAGATTTCCACGCGGCGTACGTATACCCTGTAGGCCCCAAGACGTGCGCTGATGGTCGCAGCCCTTACATGTACAAACTCCGGATCTCCAAATGGGGTCTTAAGAAGAGCTTCAGACGCGAGGAGCTCGAGGCGGCCGCCTCAATTCTGGGGCATTTTGTCCGGGCCGGATTGAATCCTCCCACTGCGATGATTGACAACCGAAAAGTCCCAATCGAACGAGCCAAACGCCATTTCAGAGCTTCCTTCTGTTGCGAAGATGAGCCGTCATCAGGTGGAACGACGGTTGCTCCCGGGGAATCGTCTCGCCGGGATAGTGATGCTGCTTGTGCGAAGCGAACAACACAGGCAAAGCTCGGTCTTCGGCGACGATCACAGACCGTACCAAGGGTCCTTTTACAGCAATCCGCAGAGTCCCATCACCTCGAATCAACCTTGGCCGCAGTCAACAACTATTTCACCTGGAGGCTTAGTCAGACTGATGATTACTTCGTTGCTCAGAAGCATGGCGCTGGTGAACATAGTGAGGCCTCCGAGCTGCTTGATCCATATGTACCCTTCTCGAACATGGCAGAAGGAATGAATGCAGCCTTCGTTGGTACCTACCACCACGCTCAATCGTTGTTGCGACGATTCTGTGGGGAGACGCGTGTCCTGCTACTCCAACAACACCCTTTGCTTCTGGAGACTTTGGTATACAGCTTTTTTTATGCCTACAATGGGGTTGCAGGTCGTTTTATGTACAGTATCATCTCCTACCTAGCTGCATTAGCTAGCAGACTATTCGGACATGACCATCCAATCTCGATGACGTTGAAATTGCTCAGATGCTATGAGGCACGGAGGAAAGGCACTGAATTGGTATCGAAGTTGTTGTACGAAATCACCAAGAGACAAAAAGACCCTGGGGCCCAGAAGATTTTCGAGCTCGAATATAATATGGCACAGGCCAGTGTCTTCAATGACGATTTCCACACTGCCGCAGAAATCTGTCAAGCGCTGCTACAACGATACATGGACAGATTCGACGAAAGGCACCGGTTCTGCAGGGGACTCATGATTTTGCAGGGAGAGCTACATTGGAAGCACCGCGTAAACGATGAGGCTAGGCAGATTATGCTCAAGGTCGTTGAACTGGATGATTCCTATGTATCGGATGCTGGAAACGCAGATGGTTTCAGCGCAATTGCTATGGGATATCTGGGCGAGTTATGCGAGGATAGTGAAGACTTGGCCGGTGCAGAAAGGTGGTATAGTCAAGCTTATGAGGTCTCTTGTGATTTCTACGGCAGGGAACATGTTGTCACGGAGAACAGTCTATTCAAGTTGCAGAGAATACAGCGAAGATTGAACGAGACGGCTGAAGAGTTTGGCAAGGATCAGATTGACGAGACTGAGATCTTTAAAGAACTTGAAAGGCAGATCGAACGATTGGACCTGGAGGAGTCTCCAGCTGAAGGAGAGTGTGAGGGTCGCGCTGCACCGTGGAATGACTGGCAGGCAGACGTTCCGGACGCCAATAAGAGCAGTCATGCCAGCACAGACGGAAGTACCTACGAAGAATACACCTCAGACACCGCTCTTGAGAGAGGCAACCAGCAGCTGGGTCTGCGAGCTGAATCCGGAGATGCCAGCAGCGACATATGCACCGAAGGAGCACGGGCCTGTGATGCGATCAATAACACCAGCCAGGAGCAAGAGAAAGACCACGACCTGATATCACCACCCCAATGTTTGCGAGACTCCATGGGAGGAACATTCTTGGACATTTCTAACGAAGCAGATGCCGCTTTCGAACCGTATTCTTGCTCCGCCGCGGACCCGTACATCGATGCTGCAGCGGCGCTACTTACTACTCCAGAACTTCCAGTCAACGCTTCGGCGCACGCGTTCATCGCAACTCAGTCCCAGACATTTCCACAAGACGCGCAAGATACCACGATCGCCGACCTATATTTCAATACCCTTCCACCCCTGGAGACTGGTCCCGAATTCGACGAGTTTGACCACATCAAGGCTAGCGACATGGTCGAGTCGGACACGATGATCCTGGATACAGATGGAAACCTTGACATCCTGAACCCCGGATTCTTTGACTGCTCCATCCTACAGGATTGGTATGCCCTGGACGGTCTCGACGCGGTGAACAGTCAAGAGCGCGACATCAATTGGGGAGATCTAATGCTTCTGGAAGAAGAGCAGGGCGGAATGTAATTGCTCATCGACAGTGACGGAACCAGGACTTTGCCGCAATTGCCAGGCATGGCGACCGCTTGCGACATGCCCTTAGAGCTCGCGACCTGGTACGGGTCGTACTCATATCCCGGGGAGAGCGGGGCGAAGGATATCGGTTCGATTCCAGGATATCTTGACGTGGGCTTAGCATTGCGGCTAAGGGGAGGTAAGGACAGGAAAGGAATGTGTTTAGGTTTCTTTACATTGGGAACTTGGCTTTGGAGAGGCGTCTTAGCGGCAATGAGGTTTCATTATCACATCATCCTTGAAGTAGCTTGATAATTCATTTCTGGAACCTCTTCGCAGGAGGCGAGATAGGCACGTCCGGAACTTGGAATGAACACGCCGTGACTTCTTCTCCTATTACCCTTACGGTACCTCGTGGCTCGTACATATATTCTAGCCATACTCCATATTCCGCTTCCAATGCCTTTGCTGTGATGCTGTCATATCCGGGTCTGAAGCCTTGATATCGCCAGCCGTACGGAGCACAGCGGGATGAGAGTTGATGAGCCTCCCAATGCAACGCGGTGGTGTTCAATCAAGGCCGATCTCTTGCACGGCAGTGCAGTGCTGTAGTGCCTTATGACAACCAGCCCAACCACAATCAACATGAGCACCCTGATCGCCCTGACCACGCAGACAGCGTGTATCGCAATTAGGCAAAAGCTCAGCAACGGATCAAAGGACTTGTTCAAAACCGCATATCGGTTCTCCTTCTCCTTCGCTTCGTCATAGTCGGGACGAGACCTCGTAGCTTCATCTGGAGATCAATCATCTTCCTTGAACCAGCGGCGCGTCCATCCAAGCTGTGTTGGCTGTATAGTGGTTCGTCTGTATCTTTGTCCAGGTGTCCTTATATCTCTCTCGCCTCTCAAACTCCGCCGCAGCCTCCACTTGCCTGTAATTCTATTCAGATTGCCTCACATCTCCTCGCCCTTGCCTCACTCCCTCGCTCTCTGCCTAAGCCTACACCCGCGCGCGTCCCAGCTCGAGCTCCCAGTGGTATTTCTCGCACGAGACAGGATACAGGACTTTAGGATCCCATCTCGACACCATTCACGCCAGTCCGATTCAACCCAGCCCAACCCAACCCAACCATGCTCTGGGCTTGTGTGAATGTCTGTAGTTCGATGTAAATATAATCAATCCCGCCTCTTCATCCATTGCTGCTTCACCGCTACCTCACTTCTTATCCCGCGCTCCCCCACCACCAAACTCAACCGGCAAATCCATACCCACCCGCCGGGCCGTCAACCGCACGCGCTCCTCCTCATCCATGCCCATCCCGGGATTATACCGCTGCAGGAGCGTGCCGTACATCCTCTGCGCGCGGAGGTACGTGACGAACTGCTCTAGTTCTTGAAGCCTTGCAAGGTTATGGGATTCGGATTCCGATCGCGTGGCGGAAGAGAGCGACGAGGAGGCGTGCTTGACGTGCTTGCGAATGGACGCGTGGATGGGGCTCCGGGGGAGGGTGTGGCGTGGCGCAGGGGTGGGTGGGAGTTCGCGGAGGAGGTGGCGGTAGAGGGTGCGCAAAGTGGGTGGTGCTTTCGTCGTGGTGGCCATGATAACGGCTATGGGTACGGTTGTGGCGAGGGATAAAAGGAAAAGTACCTAGGTATTATTTGGCTTCTGGGTATGATTGTGACGCGAGTGTGATTTGACTATGACTTTGGCTTTGACTGTGATGGTCAAGTCGGTCGGTTGGATTGTAAGTGTTTCAATGGGGAAGATATTACTCCGTACTCGTATTGTTAATGACCGATCTCTCTTGGCACGTATACGCAGCATGACGGAGGGGCAGCCTTGTTGGTGCGAGGCTGGTGTTCAGCCTTGCCTTTCCTGTCACCACTGTAGTTCAAAATGCAACTGGAGGGCTTCACTCCGCAAAGGTAGGCACTATATCCTTGATCTTTGGTGAGCACCCATCACTGCTTTTTTTCATTTCATTGTCGTTCAAGACGGCATCCACCTTGTTGCTTGCATGTGCACTCTATTACGTTGATTTTTATGCACTCCTCACGCTCTATGTAGGCTGCCGTCTCTGCGTCCGCCAACCCGATTCTCTATGCCCCCGATCCTTCACGGACGTATTCAACCGTAACCTCTCATCCCATCCTGCCTCCTTTGACGCCCCTTCGCCGTCTATATTGCCATATTTCAAAGCCCAGGAAAGATCCAGTTGTTTTCTCAACAAGACTGGGTCGGTGCTCTCTTTGCCTTCTCGAGGTCGCTCGTAGCATGATAGATTCAGGATAGGTTGTTCAGAGTCCTGAGATTTGGCGTCATGACTGTTCATACCAATATCGGTCTTGTGGCTGCGGAGGTCGTCGGTTGAGACAAAGTCCAGTTGTAGGACATGATTCTCGATCCCTGCATAGACGGTTGGCGAGCTGGGTGATGGACTGGAGAGGGAGTAGACCGAGCCACGGTAGCCTTGTGATCGCTTACGCGGGTTTCGAGGTAGAGGCTCCCAGAGCCGTTCACCAAAGTTGACCGTCGGGGTGAGGAAGATGTTGACACCTCTTTGCGACTCTGGCTTCTTCGTGCTCCGGGTTGGTTGTTGTCGTGCATTGAGGTATGAGTATGCCTTGGCGCCCGGCATGCGGAGGTCAAAGGTTCTGAGGCAGCCATTCTCGGAACTGCCGGCCAGAAAGTGCTCGTGGCCCACGGTGAGGAGGGAAAGAATCTGCCCAGAATCAACAGTATCCACATACTCGGCCACTGATTTTCCAGCTATCCTTGTGTCGTGTAAACGGGCGATACCGTCTGTCCATCCCGACAGGAACAGGGTTCCGGGGGTACTGCCACTGGTTCCAACGTCATCGAGCGGCACAATCACGTTGGCGGAGTGACGGCCCATATATGGGTTGTTTGTCCCAGAGTAGCTCATCGATTCTGTGAGTGGTGTCGAAGACAGGCCCGTTTGGCTGATGTCATAAATGTGTATGGGAGCCTGATCTCGCCCTTGGAGAAACTGATTTGCAATAGCGACTGTGGTGTCAGACAAGAACTTGATGCAGCGCATCCGTTGTTGGATATTGTAACGGTCCTCCAGCTTGACTGAATCACTAGGCCGGACGAGCTTCTGTTGGCCGTGTACAGGGTATAGACTGATGGAATGGCCTCCGCAAGCCGCAAGTATAGGATTTGCGCTCTGGCTAACATCCATGCATGTGTGGTCGCCCCGTGGGGTTACATAGCTAGACTGCGCTGTAAAGACATCGGGTTCCGAGGTTTGGACTTTGACGATTTCGTGGTTGGCTCTTCGAAAGATGATTGTCTCGCCATCTGGGCTGTCAACCTGGTGTGGCCGCAAGATTCTCATATCCAGAATGTCCAAGTCCTGCCTGTGATCATCTGGTATCCTGTATGAGCTCCAGGTCGTTACACCATCTTTGATCGTTCGAGTCCGTAGCCGGCCTGCGGCACCCCACGCCAACACTTCCTTCCGATTTGACCAGGAATGTCCTTCCCATGTTTCGTAGCTGTCGATGGCCGGATGGTAGCCTAACTTGTGACCGCCTAGCGCATACTGAGGGTAGTCGATATTGTCAGGTGGCGGGTAGCACTCTCGCGCTATAAATGCTCGACGATCCCAGGCGCGAGACCGGGCTGTTAAAGTACGAGCGGCATCTCTCCATAACGGCGGTGTCTTAATAGTTGGAAAGGCTCTTTGAACGAATGATCGAAACACATGGTAGTCGTCCGCCGACACAATTGAATGGAGATTGTGATCTGTCCGCGCGAGGTTGACAATAGATGATGCGCTTGGCAGGTATCCAACGATCTGTTCGATTACTTCGACTGGCAAATCTTGCAACATGGGAGATAAAATGCTCGTGGACACGATTATGCACGCTGAGGAATGTAGTATGTTGTCTTGGTGGGTGACGATATGGACGTGCCTGAATTGCCTCTTTACGCTGATATTCTCGCCGCATCGCTATCTATCTGATCGACGTCATTCTTGGCACGCCAGGGACCGAGCACGGACCACATCAAGTTCCGCCAATCAGCTGCCGCCTGGACCTTTCGCCGCTCTTCGTGTTTCGGTCGCGATCAAATCAGTTTTCCTCGTTGATGACAACGACTTTGATATTCTGATCCCCTGTGTCCCACTCATCAAATATGGGCTGGCATGGCCACTATCAAGGCCATCGAGGCCAAGTCTGTACATCAGATCCAATCAGGTCAAGTCATTGTCGACCTGTGCTCCGTTGTCAAAGAGCTAGTTGAGAACAGCCTCGATGCTGGTGCCACTGCTCTCGAAGTACGGTTCAAGAACAACGGCTTGGATGCGATCGAGGTACAGGACAATGGCTCCGGCATTCATCCTGCCAACTACGAGAATGTTGCCTTGAAGCACTTCACTTCCAAGTTGTCCAGCTACGATGATCTGTCTAGTCTCCACACCTTTGGCTTTCGAGGCGAAGCCCTCTCGTCTCTTTGTGCGCTTTCCAAGTTTTCTCTCGTTACCGCGCAAGTAGACGAGGCTCCCAAAGGGAAACGGCTCGAGTTTGACACGTTGGGCAGATTGAGGTCGACCACAATTGTTGCGGCCCAGAAAGGCACAACTGCCGCCGTTGAGAATCTATTTGAAAGCCTTCCCGTCAGACGCAAAGAGTTGAGCAAGAACATAAAGCGGGAGTATGGCAAAGTTCTAGGCCTTTTGCATGCTTATGCATGCATCGGTGTCAATGTCAAGTTCACGGTCAAGAATACCATGCCAAAAAGCAAGAGCGTGTCGGTCTTTTCGACCAAAGGCAATGCCACCACACGCGAGAATATAGCGAACGTCTACGGTACGAAGACCTTGAGTGCCCTGGTGCCTTTGGACCTTGAGCTTGAATATCAGTCCACCTTGACGCAAATGGCACGCAAGGAAAAACATACCAGCATACGGGTTAAGGGCCATATTTCTAAACCTATATTCGGAGAAGGTCGACAGACACCCGATCGACAAATGTTCTTCGTCAACGGGAGGCCGTGTGGTTTACCGCAGATAGCGAAAGCTATTAACGAGGTATACAAGGCATTCAATGTTTCGCAATCGCCCTTCATTTTCGCAGACCTCCAAATGGACACCGACGCATATGATGTGAACGTCTCGCCAGATAAGAGAACCATATTGATTCATGACTCGGTGTCGCTTACCGAGAACCTGAAGACCGCCTTGAATGATATGTTCGATCAGCAGGAACAGACGGTACCGCAGTCTCAGCTGTCAACAACCAAATTGCCTGCCTTTCGGAAACCGAACTTCCAGCGCCAGACAACTTCAGATTCACCAGATGCAACCAGCCGCCGGACTTCACTCTCGGATATCACCGAGCTGCGCGATGATGGGCAAGACGAAGACGAAGAAGAATTAGTTCAGCCGCGTTTTAAGGACTCGCTCTTTCGAGACCACTTCCAAAACTTGGCTAGTACAAGAGAGGAGCTTGTACCAATCGAGAAGCGACAGACGAATACACGAAATGCTCAGGAAAAACGAGCCGAAAAGATTGCCCAGCAGATCGCCGAGCACGAAGCTCAACGGATGGAAGAGTACGACGATGTCCGGGAGATCGATATACCAAGTCAGCAGACCGCGACCGACGAAGAGGGGGAGGAGGAGCCGTCCCAGGATAATCCCACCAAGATACACGCCCAAGACTTCAACGCAAGAATGGCTGAAGCTCAGTCAACGTCGCGAAGCCAGCCAAATCCACGAGTGGGACTGCCACAGCAATCTCCGGAAATGGCAACTGTGCCACAGCCCAAGAATTCCGAAGCAAAAGGGGTTGTGGTCAATGCTTTTGATCGCATGAGGCCGAAAAGAGTCCCCACAGAAGTAGCCACGGTCACGGTTGGAGATCAGACGTTTACCACGATACTAGGTAGTCAGCCGCCCAGATCGCAGGGCGTTGGAAGAAGCCCTGATACTGTGGCTGACGGAGGTCGGGGAAGGAAATGTGCAAAAAGCCCGGGCACGCGACAATTTTCTCAACAGTTACGCAGATTCGGTGTTGGAGGGCCTGAAACTGCGGATGAGCAGGAAGCTGAAGATGAGGAAGCAGACGTGGAGTCAGAAGCTCAAGAAAGTGCCGCAGGTGAGAATGAAGAATCTGAGGCTGACGACGAAATTGACGCAGATATGGCGAGTCCCCATGGAGATGACGGTATCGACGAACGAGCCACTCCCCTACAAGATGGCGACAATCGAGGCGATGACGACTATATCGATGAAGAAGAAAAAAAGAAGGCTGAAGACGCCAAGGTCGAAGAGCTCATTCGAGCGGCCGAAGCCAGCTCTGCTCTACCAAGCAAAGAGAATCTGAAGAGAGCGACAAAAGCCCTTGCTGGTGGGCTGACGAGGGATGCAACGACAAACTTGCTGGCAACGGTCAACCTCTCTATCTCATCACTAGCATCTCAGGTACGCGACTATGGTGACATTGTAAATGGGAAAACGACCTTGAAGCCACGTGCGGATGGATGTGAGGCAGGACTCGCGCAGGACATTGAAGCCCGACTCTCGTTGACGGTCTCGAAACCCGACTTTGCAAGAATGAGAATTGTCGGGCAGTTCAACCTTGGTTTCATCCTTGCGGTTCGACCTGCCCGTTCGAATGTTGGAGAGAATGATCAGTCAATGCAGGATGAACTGTTTATCATCGATCAGCATGCTTCTGACGAAAAGTACAACTTCGAGAGACTACAAGCCGAGACAGTTGTCGGCAACCAACGACTTGTGCGACCAGTAAGACTTGATCTAACCGCCGTCGAAGAAGAGATTGTCTTCGAGAACAACAGTGCTCTAGAGAAGAATGGGTTCCTGGTGGAGATCGACACTAGCGGAGAAAGCATGGTTGGACAACGATGCAGCCTCGTCAGCCTCCCCTTAAGCAAGGAAGTTGTTTTTGGGATTCGAGACCTGGAGGAATTGATCCAATTGCTCGCTGAATCCACCAGCTTTGGAGAGGCTGGGGTCCCCAGACCAAGCAAAGTCAGAAAGATGTTTGCGATGCGCGCGTGTCGATCGAGTATCATGATCGGCAAGACATTATCCACGAAGCAGATGCAGAAGGTGGTGGCGCAGATGGGGACTATCGACAAGCCTTGGAACTGCCCTCACGGACGGCCGACCATGCGACATGTCTGCACTCTGAGCACCCTGCAGTCATGGCGTGAGGGGGTTGAGCAACACGAGGAAGATCATGTTGGCCTGAGAGAGGCACTTCATAAGTACGTCGAGATCGACTGAGGCACCAGCGGCATCGACGATACCGCCGAGGAGGGTGGTTTTCCTGTATGGAGCGGGCCAAGGGGACAAGTGAGCACATGCTTGGCCAGTGTCATGCTTCCGTACGCACGGACAGTCAGCAATCCAGCTCCGAATCCTTCCTTGTGGCCGGTGGCCGATGTATGGCCGGGGCCTGTGACGTGGAGCGCGTGGATCTTGTTGACCTCAGATGCCTCGGCAGTGGCTTGTTGTTTCTGGGCTGAGTCGAGCATCAGCGGTTCTCGGTCTGCTGCGTTTGTTCATCGCCGCGGCTTCTTCCTGCTGTTGTACCTCGCATGTAGCTTCACCTGCGCCTTCTCGTCCAATCCTCTCCGAATGCCCGTCCGGTCTAAAAGGTCGCGTTACCTTGGGTCACTCGCTTTATCAAGCTCCTAGGCAATAGGCATTTTTTTCTCTTTCTCATTTTCTGTGTCATCTCTGGTCTCCCCTCAGTCCAGTTGTCGGTGTTTTGGGTATGTTTCCTACACTGCCGCGACTAGGAGCACAATCGATCCTCCGCGCTGTTCCTCGAGCTTCTCCAACCGCGACTGCGCTCAAGGTAATTAACCACCTGCTTCCCCAGTTGACGTCAGGTGGGGAACTGACCCTCGATACTCCCAGGCCGTCGCAATGGCTCCCACGAACAAGAGGAAAGCCTCCAACAAGCCTCAGTTCTGGGTGACTGAGGGTGAGCATTTCCGAAACTCCTTTCCAAGCAAGCAATTGAGTAACATGCCTGCAGAATATCGGGAAGACAACTCCAAGGGCGCCATGCTCCGGTTCGAGGACTCCTTACCGAGACTACCGGTTCCATCGCTCGAGGAGACCTCCGCCCGCTACCTCAAGAGCCTTCACCCACTTCTGTCCAAGGAGGAGTTTGCTGCCTCGGAGAAAGCCGTGGCTGCGTTCAACCAGCCAGGAAGCATTGGCCAGAAACTGCAAGAGAGGTTAATACGAAAAGCCCAGGATCCCAATGTCAAGAACTGGATCGCCGACTGGTGGAACGAGGCTGCATATCTGGGATGCAAGGACCCCGTGGTGCCGTATATTTCCTACTTTTATTCCTTCCGAGACGACCGCCGCCGACGAAACCCGGCCAAACGCGCGGCAGCCATCACGACCGCCGCCCTGGAATTCAAGCGCCAGGTCGATAGCAAGAGTCTGGAACCCGAGTATATGCGTAAGAAGCCCATGGCCATGAGCAGCTACCAGTACATGTTCAACACCTCGCGGGTTGCGGCGGAGCCAGCGGACTACCCCGTACAATATCCCCCGGAGGGCCACGAGCACATCATCGTCATACGAAACAACGAGTTCTGGAAGGTCCAGACTCACGTCTCTGGCAAACAGCTGAACGCGTCGGAACTCGAACTGCAATTCAAAAAGGTCTACCAAAACGCCCAGTTGGCCGACCCCATTGGTGCCATTACCTCTCTGCCCCGCGATCAGGGTGCCAAAGCCCGCGACAACCTCCTTGCAGCGTCTCCTCTAAACGCCCAAGTCCTCGAAGAAATTGAGTCTTCATCCTTCATTGTCTGCTTGGATTCCACCATGCCTGTCACTTTGGAAGAACGCGCCCGCGTCTACTGGCACGGCGACGGCTCCAACCGCTGGTATGACAAGCCCATCCAATTCATTGTCAACGACAACGGCACCGCCGGCTTTATGGGCGAACACTCCATGATGGACGGCACACCGACCCACCGCCTGTGCGACACCGTCAACGCCTACATTGTGCATAACAAACTCGACTTTGACAACCCGTCCGTCCGCTCCGACCTTCCCGACCCTGTTGCCCTAAAATTCGAAACCAACGCCGCTGTGCTCGACGACTTGGCTAACGCCCAAGCACAATTCCGCCAAGTCATCGCCTCGCACGACCTACGTGTGCAAGCCTACCAGGGCTATGGGAAGAGCATGATCAAGAAATTCAAGTGCTCACCAGACGCGTACGTGCAGATGGTCATCCAACTCGCCTACCACAAGATGTACGGCAAGAACCGACCGACATACGAATCTGCCGCAACAAGAAAATACCAGCAAGGACGGACGGAAACCACCCGCACCGTATCTGACGAGTCCGTGGCGTTCTGCAATGCCATGGCCGACCCCTCGATCTCGCGTGAAGAATGCGAGCGTCTCTTCCGCGAAGCCGTCCAGGCACATGTTAAATACACCGCGGATGCGAGTGACGGCTACGGCGTCGACAGACATCTCTTTGGACTGAAGAAACTTCTGCAGGAGGGAGAGGAGACGCCCGAGATTTTTAAGGATCCAGCCTACACTTATTCGGGCACGTGGTATATCAGCAGCAGTCAGTTGAGTTCCGAATACTTTAATGGCTACGGCTGGAGCCAGGTGATTGATCAGGGATGGGGCATTGCATACATGATCAATGAGAACAGGTTTGTGCACTCTTCGCGTTGCAAGACAGCCGGCTAACATTCTTTGCAGCATACAATTCAACATTGTGTCGAAGAAACTCGGCTGCGAGAGGATGAGCTTCTACCTCAACGAAGCGGCGAGCGACGTTCGCGATCTGCTCCTTCCCAGCTTGGAGGCGCCAAAGGCTAAGCTGTGAACGTCCACTTGGCTTATTTGAATATAAACTCTCCTATGTTTGAAAAAGGCTTGCGGAAGAAGGGAGCATGTCGAGCCTGAGCACAACAACGGGAGACCAGAGTGAGGCTGCGGTGTAGCCCGGTGATGCTGGATGCCGTGCGTGCATGTCCCGGACGTGGATTGGGTACGAGAAAGGTCAGGGCTTGTTGCTCGCCCAACATCCATCGAGAAGGGGCTGCTAGATAGATTCCACCTTCACGCGCCTTTACGTTTGAACTCGCGAATCAGTGCAGTGCATGTGGAAGGGGGCGCCATATGCCGATGCCGATGCTGGAGCCTGGAGCGATGTATGATACCACAGAGAATGCTGGCAGCTGTTTCAATGGATATATATCTACATTTCAGTTGGACGCGTGCTGTCTACGAGTCGTGCGACTAATTGGCGTAGGGATCTGGAGCCCTTTTTATCATTCCTCACGTTGTGTGGCAATAAGAACACGAGACTCTGGCTGACTCTGGAACCAGTCTTTGGACCTGGGAACCTCGAGCTCAACTCGGACACCAGACCCGCCCTCCACGCATCAGAACCACCTCTTCATCACCCTCGCCATCGTACCGCTTCACCACGTCTACGCCCTCGAGACCCAGATCGCGCGCCGCTTGGTTCCAGAGGATTTGTTTGACCCTGCCACGGCTAGAGAAGTCCGGTGGCGAGGGTGGTGAGGGAGCCTCTGATTCTGGTTCTGATGAAGAAGAGTCGTCCTCTTGCTGCTCTGCGGATTGCGTCTTGCTTCGACATAAGGTGGGGTCACCGCCTTCGAGCCCAATTTCTGGAGTGGCTCGAACCTGTTCCATCATAATCCAGACTAATCCGCGAGATGACCTCCGCATGCTATCCACCACGCCTTTCGTCGCGGGTTTGGTGCTGACTAGGACGCCGATGGTCGGCCCAGCGGTTCCGGTCCCTCCGGCAGCGGCGGCTGCGAGATGTGAAGCTCCGTGAGAGGGAGAGTGGTGCTGATGCTCGGGTGTTTTATAAGGGACAATGTGAGTGTCGATATCACCGTCCGCGTCCGCATCCGCATCCGCCTCAGGGCTTTCGTTCTGCTTCTCTCGCGCTGAAGCGGTATATGTATCTGTATTGGGACCGTTGTGTGGAAAGACCGCGTCAAAGAGAGGTGTAATCCGCGCTGCTCGCACCGTGCCGTCAAGCTCTCTGATCAAGTGGGGGCCGATCTTCGCGTGCTTGCCCACTAGCCGCTTACATTGCACGAGGACCTTGAAGGCGAAAGCGGGCGTCTCATATCGAGGAGGCCCGCGCGATGAAGATTCAGAACCAAGCTGCTGTGGTGATATATCGTTCTCCTGCTCCTTCTCCTTTCCCATCGCCTGGCGCTTCCCCGCCGACGACCCGGGAACGCGCCATATGCCAATAAGATCGACGCCGCGATCACCCCGCCCACCTACGCGGTATAGTTCGAAGCCATAATCCCGCAACGTAGCCTGAGTGACGTACTCATACGACGTGCCCGCGTAGACGGTGCTCATGGGGGAGAGGCCCGTCCGGCGTGCGTAGGCTTGGAATGAGCGCAGTGACGAATGGGAGGACGGGCGGGCGAGAGTGTCGAGTTGGGTTCTCGATCGCGGTGTTCTATCTGAGGTTGGTGTTCGAGCACGAGCACGAGCACGCGACTCTTCTTCCGCTTCTGCTTCCGCCTGGACGTCCGCCGACACTGCGGTGCTGGTTGATGCCGTAGGTGTAGGTGTAGGGGCAGCGGACTGATGCTGAACACGCAGGGACGTCTCGCTTTCTGTGTCGTTCGCGTCGACGGAGCGCGCGACACGCGAGGAGTAGAACCATCGTGTCGTGACGCGGTGAGTGGCTGTCGCTTTCCCTGGCACAGGCACTGGCACCAAAGCTGAGGCTGGCGCTGAGGCCGCGGTCCTCACCTTCTGGATTGCATTTCCGTGTCTGCTGCGCCAGAAGCGGCGGGCGAGGAGCATTCAGCGTGGCGGTCGCGCGGGTGTGGGCATGGAGGATGTGTGTGCGGGAGGCTTTTGGCTATCGTTTACACAGTCTGGAGAAGAGCAGCAATGATACTCGTACCGTGTACGCTTGTGAGCGCGGAGTAGCTGTGGAGGCGGCAGAAGAATGGCCAGACATGATTTGTTACGTGTACACGGTGACACGATGATTGGCCTCGGTACAAAATGTATGGTGCATGTTTTGGTGTGTTCCACTCTGACTATGGCCAGAACCATGCGAAATCATCTGATGAAGAGTAGTTCCTCGATACCAGGATATAACGCAAAGGGTAAGACGGATAAATATCTAGGTACAACTTACCTATTGGTCATGCCGTCTCGGCAAGGTCAGCAGCATTTAATTACCAAATACTCGCAAAATGAGCCAACGTGGTCAAGGTTTAGATCTGTGAGTCTACGGAGTAATTATCTGACTTCAGTTATGTTGCGTCCTAACTCGCTTTGCGGAGTATCACTACGAAGATCTCACGTTCAATGCAGACATGAGCAGTCAAGGAGCATGGGCGCCGACCACTATCTCAGCTCGTTCTTGGGACACATGGTCTCTCAGTCCAAGGGCTTTTCCACGAAATGAACTGTCGGCAAAGTCCAGTAAGTCGGTTAACAGGACGCGTACAGGATACCGTACATGTAGACATCGGAGGGTACGTTGGTCCCTCCTCGGTTCTCATGCGTTACGATTACCAAACCAGCCGCTGCATTTGCAGGTCAAATGCGACGAGAAAAAGCCCGACTGTGCCCAACGTCTTAAAGGCAAGAGGCCCTGTGTATGGCCTGGGCCGGTGGATTGGGCAGCTGGAAAGGGAGAAACAGGTGACGGCGCGGGTGTCGGAAAACAACGATGATCTTTCTCACAATATCCACGAAGATTCTTGATGCCGAGTAAGAAAACAGTGTTGAGCTTAATTCCGCTAATTATACATCTGAGAGTCTAATGTGTACAATCGAAGCGGGTTTTGTCCAACGGCGCCAGGCCTCCCTCTCGTTCAAACATTTTCATACACACCTCTAAGGATGGCGACTGCTCCAGATTCGAGGCCCCGAATGTCGCCATTGTTGGAGGCATGCGAACATTCGCCACATTCTGATCAAGTGCACTGTCCACCATAGGATGCCGTCAGGCTAATTCAAAGGTGAAAGGTGGATGACCTGGCTCTCACAATCTATCCCTTCATTCTCCTTTCGGTTCGACAAGCTCTTGCGACATACGGTATTCCGATCCCGGTACCCGCACTGAACACTCCTAGAGGGTTGTCCTCGTCAGACTGAAGGTAATGGAAGATACTACGCCCCGACTCGACTTGAGATGAAGGATGCCATCTTCTTGCATGACTCCGCGTAGGAGCCAATTGTTGGCTAGGCACATACATATCTGTGGGTCAACGGGCGCCGTGAGAGTCATCCCAGTCATCAGTCTTCCAACCACCCGCAAACAAATGTTCCTCTGACGGCACGTGCAGCAAGATCAATTCTCTACAACGCCTTCCGCTCCCCAACTCCTCGACCCCGCGGGGAAAAGTGGCCGACCTGCTCCTTCGGCCTACTGATCAGAGGACCGTCTCAATCCGGAGGACCTAACCTGTGCCCGTCCTCGGCTGAGTAAACACGCAACTGAGTCCTGCAAGTAGGACAGAACACGGTCTTCAGTGAGCCTACCTTTGCGACTTGTCTACACAGTACGTGGGCTTCCACTATCTCTTCATGCGGATGGGCCGTACCTAGTTGCGGTGGTGTCATGCGTGTGGATACGAGTAGTAAGAAGTATGGGTGGTGGATTTCGCCGTGCTGGTAGTCAGGGAAGGTGCGCTTGTGTTCAGTGGGTGAGGTGAGTGTCGAGAGGGGCAGAGTATAAGGTTAATGAGGTTGTCGGATAAATACTCGTGTAGTGTCCGAGTGCCGTGTAGAAGGAGTGATGCTTAAGGACGATATGATGCCTGATAAGAGGAAGAAGCGGAAGGAGAAGAAGAGGAAGAGTCGTGCTGGATAGGACAGAGCTGGATGAATTGGGCTGGATAGAGGCTGACTCCGTGCCTAGGCACTTGTTTGTGCGGTAGCTAGATGCCTATTCAGCTTTTGCTCAGGTCATGGGATGAATATCACTATCACCACAAGTATGCATCTGCTTGCCGGCAGCTAGCTATATGACCACCAAGATCCGACCATCAACACGCTCGCGCATCGTCATAAGTACATTTCTTCGTATTATGGCATATCGTATCAGTACATGAGGCCGGAATTAGTTGCTGGATCGACATTCTCATGCTGTTATTAGTATCATAAACACTTTTTTTACCCGCCGAGTGAAGGGATCGCAATCACTATGCGTCCATCTGTGTCTGCATTTCGCACCCTGAAAGGATATGTTTCTTCAAGACCCATCCGGAGACTGGGGCGGCACGGGACTGGTCCTGGCATAATGTTTGTCGATCAGGGAGATCCGCTTGCCGGGATGCATTCCGACCAGTTCCATCCGCATGTATGGGCCTTTGACATTCTCCGCTGGCACAGCGTGGAGTGATGACGCGTTGCTGCTGGTTCGTTCGTACAGTCTGCGCTCTTCGGTGCACTGAGAAGTGCGTGCACCAGATGACGAGGTGGCTGTCGACATTGAGGCAAGCCATGACTTGTTCTTGAGATCCATCGACAAAGCTCTGACTTTCTTGTATGTGGTGCACCATTTGGTCTTGAGAGCTCCGGCACAGGCGGTGCAGATGCCGACATGGTTTTCTACGCCGGCCCACAGAAAGATGAGAGCATAGTTTTCTGGTTGTCAAAACTTGGTCAGCACTACGACAAGGAGGAGACACTGGAAAAGACGTACCGGAGAGGTTGGTTGAATGATCGACCTCGTAGACGGCGACAAGTCTGAGTACACTCGCCACGATGACCCTAGATGGGGGAGGAGTCGGTCAGCATGGAGTCCACCTCGCCCTGGGAAAAGGACACCACCCACAGGAAACAGATCCCGAACAACGCATACAAACTCCGGCGATGGTCGCGGATCGTCTCGACCTTCCACAGCAGTACCATAGGTATGAGGTACATGACGATATCATTGACGATCATAAAGATCGAGTTGAAGTAGAAGAATGCCATCAAATTGATGCACTCTGCATCTCCGTGCTCTTCTCGAGGCTCGAGGTTCCGATTCCAAACGCCGCTCAGAGGCACACACTGGAACAGGACGACAAGAACGGAGCTGATGCCGAAACCCGCGGCAAGGACCTGCATCATGTGGATGAACCATCTCTGCGCGCGAGTCTGTGACAGGCCGTAATAGAATGTCAACCAGGCATGTTTGACGAACATGTTACACAGAAAGTATGGAGGGGAGGCTGCGATGATGAGCTATTTTCGTGTCAGTCAATGTGACAGGAGCCACCACGATGTCCATGGGATAGGGGGATCGACCTTCTGGAGAGTCTCCCTGCGGGAGAACTCAGCAGCAGATATGGATGCTCCAAGGCCTTTGGCCGCAGCTGCGAGATGCATCAGTAATGGGCGTGGGCAATGCTCGGGTCTCTCTCACCTATACAAACAATCGACGTCATGACCAGAGCAAAAAACTGCAAAGAGATGAGCAACGTGGAATGAGCAAGGCGGGATGCGACATACTGCACCAGCGACCAAGAGCCCTATGAAAGTCCAGTCAGCATCGGGCACGATATTCCACATTCCCGGCAGAGTACTCACACTTGCTCGCGGTCAGGCGGCCGACAGTGGATGCTTGCCTCTCCAGCTCGACCGAAACTGACACGATGGTCGATACGGCAAGCACGATGCTCGTAGCCACGAGAACTGCATCCTTGGACTCCAACATGTTTGCAAACCTGCAAGCGGCCGTTGGAAGGTGACCTAAGAAGAGTGTAAAACCATCCTCAAACCTCGAAGGGTGTCAAACATCCGATATATAAAACCTGGGCACGACTCTGTCGCCATCCGGTTTGGTAATGCATTCATGGGTTCGACTGACGTTGCTTGCCACTTCGGATCCATGGCGAGGCTTCCGTTGCCCGAGGCCATCAGCTCAACGTGTCAGTCGAGGTTAACAAGGCACTGCAGATGACACTCTCCAATAGTGCAGCTCTCTGATAGCCAGCTTGCAAGGGATCGGCCAAGAGCCAAAAAGCCATACACTTCCCCGCTGCCATCAAGGTGTGGTGGGTGGAGAGCAAGACCTGTCACTTCGGAATTACGACCCTTTTCGTGCCGTCCAGCCATCCGAAAAGTCAATAGTGCACCCGAGGCAGGTCCTAGCCCTGGAGCTGGCGAAGGTACTGGGCTGTGGGAACTGATCTCTCATGTGTATGATCGTTCCAGCTGAGTTTGCCCAATGGCCTTGCGGACTCATACTCGTCACATTTGATGGGGAAAACTTTGAGGAGCTCCAGGCGGGTTGCCAAGGCGCGGGACGCCCTTCCAAGAGTGCCGCGGCAGCCCCCAGCCGACGCCGCTGCATGGCTGCGGACCTCGCATGTCGACATAGAAAGTAGTCGACTGTCAAAATGCACACAGTTGGAGTCCGGTCCCTCGTCGACCGCTGTCACCCGTCGGACTTTCTGTTGTTCGTCTGGGAAACCCTTCGACTAGAAAGAGCAAAAATAGGAAAGCACGAGCCAGTAGACACGTGGCTACTGATGTTCGCATTCTGTTGAGAGCGTTAAGAGTAGAGCTCGAGGGAAACCCTCAAGTCTTCCGGATCATTGCCCGAGGTTGGCAAAAAGCAGGAACGGTCGATTGTCGAATTCGGCCTGCATCGCCTATCCGATCAAATGCGTAGATCAGATCAGAATTTTCCCACCCTTGCTTTCCCACCCTGCAAGTGACAAGGGCCAAAGAGGCAAGCAGTGACGAAGGAGTCCAGCCTCCTGCCTGCGTCCAAGGAGGTGGACTTTCAAGTGCAGGAGCGAAGGCGGGAAGCACGGCAGACGATGCACCGACGGCCACCTGTACCCTGACCGGCAGCTACTACTGCAGCTGATTTCACCCGCGAGAAACAGCGTCGTCTAGCGTACCACCGTGACGGGATTCCAGCCAGGAACCAGACTGCACGGAGTACGATGTATGGGGAAAGGAGAGTTACAGCGAGTTATGTAACGGCCGACGTCCCCCTTTGGAACCCGGTACGACCCTGGTCAGAAGGGAGTTCGGCCCCTACCGGGACGGACAGGGTCTTCCAGCAAAACCTAGTTTGGACTGGTCACACAGAAACCTCTACGTTACGATGAGCCACATCCGTTGCAGAGTACTCGTAACCAGACCAATTCATAAAGGCGTATCCACGTACGCCGTGAATATGCTTCGGAGGGGCCCGATCTCAACTCCCCTGCTCGATGTGTTGCTCGGCGGCATCTGGCTCTTCTTGCTTGGACACACCACTTACTGACCTTCACATCCCCTTCATTCGTAGCTTTAGGTGGCACCGTTTAAGAAGCCGTAGGAGACCTCGATCTATTGCCACTCATCATCATGCAAGGAACAGATAGGCATCAATGCCTGTAATGCACGCAGGGCTCCTATAGCCCTAAACATCAGAGTAAGTTAAGACGCAAAAGCCCAAGGCTGCCGCTTAAGTGTCTAGGATGGCACCCAATGGTACACAGCAGTCTCTCCGTAGGTGTGACGACACAGAGAGTCGTACTGAATCCTCGTCTACCCCTATCTCAGACGAGGTTCCCAACGGTGATCGAATATGGAGAAGAGCCGCGGGCCTGTGCTATGAAGTGGGCACGGGTACCTCGTAGGTTTGAAGGCGATAGCACGCCGGGATCTCCAGATGGTGCGCTCGTAGAAACCAGGCGCAGACCACCTGTGTGCGAGGAACGCAACCTCGCTGACAGAACTTGTTGACCATCCATGTTCTCCACCTAACATAGTCCGTATTGTCCAAGATTGACTGTCAACACGAGCACCCTCCATGCGGCCAGTCGCTCTTCTCACCTGCCGCATGGTCAATTCCCCTGTGGAGTCGGGGCGTCGTATTATTGCCGACTAGCGAGCTCTGTCATGAACGTCACAAAGTCCTCCAAAAAGTTAAGAGTCGATAGGCCTGGATTATGTAGGGGCAGCAAAACGCCACGTGATCGTTACCAAGCTCCGTCATGTATCGGGCAAATTCGCGCCCCAGGGGGGGTAAGTCCACTAGGCATTGCGAGCAAGCATGAGCAGCTTTGACAGACTTCAAGACGGCCTCTCGTACCACCTGGGTCAAGCCAGGTTGAGAGGTCGCGTCTTCATGGAGCGCAGATCGTGTCTTCTCCGGAGATATCGCACCCTGAAAATGCTGATGCAGAATCTCGTGCATAGGAAATGAAAGTCGACAGCGCCAATTCTAGCCGTATCGACGTTCGCAGCCGTCGTTTTGGGCTCCCCGCGCAGGCCCCAACTGACTCCAGACTTCTAGGACGCCCGCCATGTCTTCAAGAACCGCCTGATCACCCTCCGCACTCATCGTGTCTAATGACGTACACCACCACTCCGCCAGATTGGTGACATTGAGCAAACATCTCAAGGGTTCATCGCAGGAACATGTACATCGTTTTGGTTGGAAGGTGACCTGGGGCACATCCCTAAGAAATTGAAGCCTGATTCTCGAGGCAATTTCACCGCGGCTCCTAACTATTTCCATCGTAGTGCCGACGGCTAAGCCGCTAATGCTGTGGTACCCCTGATTGGTCAATCTCGCAGCTTACTCAGCCGATGACGGGCCTCTTCTGGGCAGCCGCTGACCTCAAACATTCAACATCCGGTTTGGACTCTCTCTCGATTCACGCGTCAACCTCACCTCACCTCATCGACGTCGTCGTCCCCGTACCGCGACAACCTATACTTCAGGGCGGTGCATCGGACACGACACTTGACTCTCCCATAGTCACCCGTCAGCCCGCCTTCGCCATGGCGAAACCGATTCAAAACCCCTGCGAGGACGAACCCTCAGCTCTGCCCTTCCGAACGGGCGGCCCGCTACGTCGGCATCAAGAATACCTGATCTTCTACTTTTTCGCCATCACTTCCTGGATCATGGAGATCTGCGCCGCGTGTCTGGGCTCGCTATACGGAGCTGAGAGCCACTATTTCATCGGGACCATAACGCCGTTTCTCGTCACCCATTGGTAAGTAAGCAATGAAGCCTCAGCGTGGACTAGCGGCCCACGACCACGACCCTCACCATTCCTGGTTCCCCTCCTCAGATGACTGACGACGTTCAATAGGGCGGCATTCCTCCAGACATGCTGGCTGATGGCAACGTCGCGACGCGAAACCATCGCCGATCGAATGGCCTACCTCAATCTGGCATGTCGATTCCAGAGACTCTGCGCTGTGAGTTCGCCTTTCCAATCTCATGGTATGGCGTGTGGCACCGATTCCAGCTGCATGCGGTACCGAATTGTATCTAATGCAATGTACTGACTCTGCTCGCCCACAGCCCACAGCCCTGATCGGCATGGTCACCTGGGCGGTCGCATACCGGTTCCGCGACAAAGCCTCGAGCCAGGCATACTGGGTCATCTACCTCGTGGTGTGGATCCTGAACATCGTGGTGTGCATCATGAATGTGTACAACAATATCACGTGGGAGAGCGACCTGCTGTACCAGATCGCACCGGACGTGCACCAGGGTAATTTCTGGCTCGGCGTACTGGGCATCCGGTCCATGATCAAGGCGAAGGATGTGTTGGATGAACACAGTAAGGATCAGGACTTTGAGCTGAAGCAGAGGGACAATAAGCGGGGGGTGTAGACCTACAGAGTTCTAGAGATGAGCTTTGGTTCGGGTCCTAGCGAACGTGCCTCGGATCATTCTGCAGATGCTAGACGGACAACTATTGACGGGGTTTTTGTTGCATTAGCGCGCAAGCTGGCTGGCGTTTTGGATGACCCGTCCATGTCGAGCCCACAGAAATTACAATGAAGCTCTAATGATCTTTGGAGTGTCGAGCCTACAAATCACAACGAAGTTCTAATGATCTGTGGAGTCCCCCTATTCGCCTCACCACCTAGAAGCGAGCGTGCAGCCGTCTTCTTGCCCGAATGCGAGGCCTTTGCCCGCGTCCCTTGGACAGAGCCACATCTACGCCAGACACAGTACTTCCCGGAGCAGCTCGTAGAATGGACAGTCCGCGCCAGGACATGTGTTGGGTTCTCTCCTCAACCTCAATTGCAGGGTTCGGTGTAGCTTACATCTACAGTAGTTGTGCGTGAAGACCACTTTCGACTTTCGACCTCTTGACGTATATGGCCGTTACGGTTGAGATGGAGACGAGTTTCATGAATAGAATGGCGCTTCCTGCCTGGGGAGGCTGGAGTACATGTCGACTAGTTGGATTGTGGACTCTCCTCATCTCACATTGTTCTTTATACGTTTGTGCCTTTATGCACAAACACGAAGTCCGAGAAGCTACCTGAATAGCTCTATCACTCTCAGACCATTGAAAGTGATCATCAATCCTATTCACATTCCTACAGCTTTATCAGCTCAACTCGACTATTGAAGCGATCACAACACCGTTCAGAAACGTCGAGCTTCAATGATGGCAAAACCGTGGTTGGGCATGACGCCGTTGTTTGATTTGGCTGTTATAACCGCTGTTTGGATTGACTGTTGTAACTTTTGATCTCGGCACCATCCCAGTGATATATTTACACCTAATCTTTTCCGAGCCATGGCCAGAAAAAGGGCACCACAAGAAGACAACCCTTGCGTTCTCGTCGTGGTTTCATCACCATCCCCTTGCACACTACTTCCCTCGGATACTCTTACTCCGGACCCTTCTCCCCATGGACGCAGCCTTGATGTTTGCCCTCGCGCTAATAGCCATCTTGTGCACCCTGGCACGCTTTTCCCACGAAGAACTCCTACCCTCAGCCACGCTCAACAACTCCTTGGCCACCCTGTCGGCGAACTTGTCTTCGCGTCGCCCCTCCGCCGAAGCCAGGATCCATTGAATCGCAGTCCTCCTACGCTGGCGCAGACGTAAAGGCACGGGGATAGGCATCGACGCACCACCACCCAGCAGCCCACGCTGTTGGCGGATCTTGATGAGCGGAGCGACCGAATCGATGATGGCAGTCAGGTAAGCGACTGGATTGAGGGGAAGAGATTGGATCGGTAAAGGAGTGATTAAGTCGGAGTTTGAAGGCGGGGCAGGTGAGGTGCGCAGAGCGTCCAGGATGAGTTCCATGTTCTGCGTACACCAAGCACAGCATCAGTCTTGTGGCCCATGGTTTCAATGGAAGGCCATGTAAAAATACCATTTCATACCTTCTGCGCACGGCTCAGTTTGCCGTCCTTCATGAGACTGCGTGTCACTTGCTCAACCACTGGGTCGTATCGCTTCTTGAAATTGACCCCTTTGCCCAGCGGCTTGAGGTCTGGGATGGGAAATTTATGACCGAGACCGGCGTCAGGGTACTCCAGGCCTACGATTCTTGTGCCCTGAAATTGAGCCGTATCCGACGGTGGTGGGCCATCGGACCCCGACCGTGGTTGCAGTTCGAGGCTGTTTCTTCGGGCGGAGGTTGAGAAGGAGCGCGATCCGGAGGATGGTGTATTTGTGCCGTTTGAGGACTTGGTCTTGATATCCTGTTTCAGGACTTCGGGCGCCTTTTCTTGGGCGTCTTTGTCGCGTTGTAGGATCTGTTACGGTGTCAGCAAACGCAACGACGAAATCCAATGTAATATAGCTTCTTTCAGCGGGGCCTCACCTCCTGCACGGGGGTTCCTTGGTCGATGTCCGGCGGTGTGTTTCCAGTAACCTTGTCGATGGCAGCCGCTTCTTGCGTCACATGCGGTAACTGACTTTCGTTGGCTCCTCGGAATTCGTTCGAATCATATTTTGAGGTCACATCATCGCTTGCTGCCCGCTGCTGTTGTAGAAATGCAGGCACCGGAGCGATTCTTTTCTGCGGAATGACAGGTTTCGGTCTGAAGACGACTGTTCGGGCTGTGAGGAAGGACAATCGAGGCGCCATGGTAGTCGGAGGAGTTGTGTTGGTGTGTGCCAGAAATGAAGTCAATGCGATTTCGATCCGGAAGACAAGCTCGAATGAAGCCAAGGTTCGGTAACCCGATCGGGAAATACGATGATGCCGCCCTGGCTTTCCCAGCTCGCGCGAGTCAGCGCGAGCAAAGTCGTAAACGCCGACGGTGCTCACTATGTACTGTGTGTACTGGACCATGTCGGCGCACATCATCGGCCCTCGAGACCTACCACCAGCCCTGTAGTGGAACCTTGTATGTCACCCGAACCTGACACAACATCTAAGATCCGGAAGGAGTCCGATTGTGAAGAGACTTGATACGGGGTCGACCTGTTCTCGCAATCACTTCGCTACGTGAGGAAGCAAGAGCGTCCCAGACCACATTGCTCTAAAGATAGCATGTTGACATATTTGCCTCCCGGTAGAAACAGGTGGCCGCATGTTTACCAGACAAAATCAGCCAAAGCTCGAAGTCATCCAAAGAACAATGACAGAAGCCTTGTTTGATTGTGTGAAAAGGCACCAGGCGCCAATTCTTCTGCCCACGTCAACTTTGATCTATTGATGTGATCGAGACATTGAACAGCTGACCATACTACACTCCACAGACTTTGGAACCTGGGAGCAGAACTCACGCCAAAGCTTACAACAGACCACCTTACGCCTTTCTGCATCGTACAAGGCGCTGGAAACACACCTACCCAGTAGGCTTGCAGGTCCTTTTTCTGGCCTCAGTCAATGGCAGTCTAATTTTACGCCACTCTAATTCAACCGCCATCCCTTTGTGGTTCTTCTGACGAGCAGTATTAACACCTCGCAGCTGCTGGGGTCCCTGCGCGCATATCGATTTTTGTCCAAGCACAAAGCTACGCCTCTCGTCAGGCTTCCCTTTCCCTACCCTCCGAGCACAGTCTCCGCCAGACCATTTCACAAGTCAGCTGGAAATATTTCCTTCCACGAAGCCATTCGTAGTCCTCAGCCGCTAGGAATTGCTTCTTAGGCCGAGTTCGCGGTCGAAAGAACCCGATATTGCAGGGTTTGAGGTTACACGCCTGATGACCTTGAAAAAATTGGTGGGCAGTGCCTTGCGAACCTCAAAGTCACCATGAGGCGCAGCTGAAAGAAATCGAGACTCCGTCGACCCTCTCTTCATCTTGAGATTGGTCCACGTCGCGCACCAAAGCGGTCAGTCAACCGAATCTCGCAAGGAGGTACAGCTGAGGGTAGGTCGAGTTTACTGTTTCAGTCATCTCAGCCACGTGGTGATGAGGATCACCATCGCGCATACATGACTGGGACGGAGAAGCAGGATCGGTCTGTGGCGTAGCTGACGAATATGTCGAGACTTTGATCGACTCAAGCTCTTTCATGCAAACAAGATGCAGGGTTACGCAAAACAAGGATGGAGTGGAGTATGGGACTTATAATGAGGCGTCGGCCTGAAGTGGACCAGATCAACCGACCCAGGCACATCTGTGACGAAGATTACCTGCTCGTGCACAGTATTGCGCACTTTAATGGCGGGGCAGCGAGTCCTATTCGTGTGGCTCAGCTGAAAGCAGAACTGGAACTTGACTTATTGGCACTGTCGTACAGAATTTTATTCACTTTATACATATGCTGACAGTCACTGAGCGAACCGAAACTCCACAGGAGCGCAGCTGAAGGAATGTCGACTCATACATTTCCACAGCTTCATGGAGCTAGCTTACCAAGGCATACGGGTAGACGACAACAGCCTCGATTTGCTGGCCACGCTTGCCAAAGAATTTAAGCTTTTCGACCCCAGCCTTGCGATCTTGATCGAAGCTTGACCATTCAAGGTTGCTTGGCACGTTGCTAGCCCCACGACGGAACGGTGCTTTGTTGCGATCTCACTCGCAAAGCCATTTGCGCCGTGTACGGAGTACCGAAGCAAATTAGATGCTCAGTCAGCGGATATAATCAAACCCTCCACGCATGCGAAGCTGTGCTTTGAAGACACCGGTCCCCGCATTTCGCATCCCGCATCCCGCATTCCGCATCCCGCATTTCGCATGCCATGGCTGGCTGAAGCTTGAGAAAACGCATCTCGAGCACATCGCAGTCTCCGACGGCGAAGCTGGGGAATTTCCCATGAAAGACTCTTCAGCCTCAGCCAGCCACTTGTACACTCTGGGGAGCCGGAATTGTTGGCCACGGTCGCGGTGCCTTTCAATTCGCCGAGGCGGGCAAAGCGTGGCTCTGTTCTAGAGTCCCCCTACGATTTGCGGGCTATGCCCTACCCTGGGCCAGTACGAGAAAAGAGCGTCCCATCGAAATCTGTCCAACACCCAGATTGCCATCATGCAGAGCCAAAAGAGCCTGGAACAATCGGCAAACGCCTCTGCCTCGGCGCGCTGGCTTCTCTGATTTTGCTACCATTCATCTCCTTCAGGTCTGACACAACAGGTTTATTACGGGCAACACAGAGGAGGCACTAGATGCACACTACATGTGATTGCCGCACATGGGTGTGGTGACAAATTCGGATTTGTTCCACACTCCAGTTGCGAGTCTGGACATACATCACAGAGGTGTTTCCGCATTGAGGTTGCAAAGGCAATAAAACTCGTATAACCATCTTTCACAGGGTTCATCTCAGCCAACGTTGTTCGACGCCACATAAATCGTCGATTATTGAATGTTTCAGCATGTCATGAGCCAGCCCATAGCACACTACACGCGTTGACTGGACGGCTTCGCGATCAACAGCGGCAAAGAAGAAAGTACAGCCGACTTATCCTTGAATTGCAATTTTCAGCTCGATGGCCAGACCGACTAGGACGGCTTTGGGCATTTTTCTCCGTCACTCGCTTCAGTCTGAGTGGACGGCCTCATTTCGATGATGCTGAGGTTGAGTTGTGGAAGCTGAAAAGCCATGGAAGTGATCACTTGCTATGCGACTCGTTTGTGTATATATGTCAGGCCAGATCACCAAGCCAATTGATATTTTCTCCATCTCAGCAGCACATTTGCACGACCACTCAAGCCTGCTACAAACCATCGCCGTATCAAACAAGTCAAAAATTACAAAGTAAGCCTGATGCAATCTTGAGATTCTTACGGCTTACCCTTGGAAGCAAAGATGGCTAGCACAACCTCGGCTTCCGTCACAGCTGGTGACTACTTCTACGTGTTCTTCAACGAGAACGGGAACACCAAGATCCATGGCTATAGGTTTACGGAAAGTGACAAGAAGCCTGAGGCGTTCACCGTTGTTGTCGGTACAGCTGCCAACATCTCGAAGGGTGGAGAAATTGCCGCTCTCTACCTGTCAGGCAGCGACGAGATCCATCTCTACTACATCGGAATCGAGACCGAGCCCAAAGACCCCACGGATGTCCACTGGAACCAGCTGACGGAAGCCTGCTTGCAAGGTGCTAAAGCCAAGGGCACAGATCCTGCGTCGTGGACCCTTACTGGCATGGACCTGAACAAGAAAGAGTACAAAGTTGATGTCGGCTCCTACCTCGCCGCTTCTGTGAGTGCCGATGACAATCATTTCCCACGAGTCTTTTACCGCGCCAAGGATACAACCAAAGTTTCAATGGCGGAATTCAATATCGATTCTACTACTCACGCGAAAGACTGGACAACGACCCCGCTCACCGGCACGAGCGCATGATTCCAGCATCGTGCTGTGCCTGCCCGACGGTCCATGGGAGAATTTCGCGCAGATGGCGGGTCCGGCACACCCAGCCCCTGAAGCGCACCGGCAACTGCACGAGAACACGAAGGGAGGACATGAACATGAGAAAAAGGACGCTCGTTAATGTTGTAATTGGTTGTCATACAATGTCAAGCCACAAATAAGCGCAGATAAAATGACCAGGCACTCGCATGACATGCATCGAGTCCTATGTCGAGTGTAGCCACCTCGTTCTGGAATGCTACTCCTGTCACTTCGCTGTGCCTATTCCCATAGCCTATCCCCAACATCAAATCACTGTTATGTTAATCGTAGCGATCTGATAGAGTGCATGACCTCACCGCCGCCGCCGCCCTCGCCGCCAACCTTTGGTAAAGACCTCTCTTGGTGTTGACAGCATTTTCTTTCCCCCATGACCTTCATTCCCTCTCTAGGTCGGCGTGCGCGCCTAGATTACTCTGATGATACTGTATGGTATTCCGTATCCTCTTGAACGTCACTGTACCAACAGCGTCAAACACAGTCGTCATATGTCTTTATCTGTGTCCTGTATCCAGGAAGATGAGTGCCTGGCGGCATCCTTGATACCGACCGTGATCGGACACCGTGTGACCCCCGGCGCCGACAGAACGTGCTGTCAAGGCTTAAATCGTAAGGCTAAATGTTGTTACACCACGACCGTCTATACAAAAAGCTCGGCGGCGAGGTCACACACGCATCATGTCGTTATGGTTAGCGGAATAGCAGGGACTCGGTCGATCAGTAGTGGTGTGGGCTGCGTTTGTTTTACCTGCCAAGAACCTTAAGATGCCAAGTTCGGTGTCCGCTGAATGTACGCAGTAGTACTGAGGTTCGGTAACCCGATTAGGGAACAGGGTGATGCCGCCCTGTCTCGTCTCAGCCTCGCCAGCTCGTACGAACCAGCCGTGACGCTATGTACCTTGTTTCAACAATTGTTCATCATTGGATGCTACCGCAGTGCCACGGATCAAGACGAGGTCGTCGGATGCGCAGCCACCGCAGGGCTTTTCATGAAAAAGAAGAATCTCTTGTCCATATCATTTTTCCTATCAGGACGGATTGTACATACAAGAACAATCCAAGCCCACAAGGCTTTAGGCCCAAATCGAGTGTTGAAACCTAGGGTATCAAATATACACCAAACAGCCCGAAACATGAGGCGATAGGTTCTTCTTTTTCGTCCCATTCCAACGCCCGCTGGCTTTAATCTGTGCTGTCCATGGTGTTCCCCGTGTGATTCCTTCCAAGACTTTGGGGTTGACAGCCCCGTTACTTGAGTCCAAGTATTTAGAAAAAGTTGTACAAATGAAATAGATGCTGAGCTTCCTTGTGGCTCTTCTCCCTTTCGCGCATCAAATCCGCTTCGGTCAAGCTCCGCCGCCGAAAAGACTGCCCAGGCTATTGCCCAAGTTGAGGCCATTCCCTGCATCATCTGGCAAAACGTAGAACGCCAATGCAATGATGGCGTACATGCCCAAGCAGAGCAATCCCTCCAGATAGTTGGACTTTCCGTCTTGGATCAGGAGCACCACGACCAAACTGGCGAGGAAAAAGCTCACCGTCTCGAACATCTCAAAATGCAGAGTCATGGGCCGATTCATGATCCAGCCCAAGACGACCAGGAAGGGAGTGACGAAAATGGCGATTTGCAGAGAAGAGCCGATGGCCACGCCGATGGCCAGATCCATCTTGTTCTTCCATGCGACGATTACCGCGGTGACGTGCTCGGCCGCATTGCCAACAATCGGGATCAAGATGAGACCAATGAATGTCTTGCTGATGTGGGCTTGTTTGACAATTTCGTCGATGCTGCCGACGAGGTATTCGGCGCAGGCCGCAACTAGGAGGGTGATGATGACCAAGACGATACCCGCCGCCCACGGTCCCAGCAGCTGGGGTTCCGAGTCTTGTTCTTCTTGCGCTTCAGTTTCGTCGAACAGATCTGCGTGCGACTTGAGCTGGAAGTACAGGTACGCGACATAGATAAGCAGCAAAATGATCGACGTTCCCCGGGACAAGATCATGATATTATCTTCTTGCGCCTTGTTGTTGTTCATGACCGCGTACAAGGTGGCTGGGATGATGAGCGACGACGTGGCAACAGTCATGAGCGAGGACATGGTGGATGCCACTGTCGAGTTGAAGCTCTGTTCTCGATATTTGAGACCGCCTGCGAAGAAGCAGCATCCCAGGACGAGGAGAATATTGGACAAGATGCTGCCCAGCATACTGGCCTGGACGATGCGGATTTCATTCTTCTGCAGAGCGATGATGCTCACCTACGTATATGTTAGCCTGTTGTTCATCTTCTTTTGCATGTGCCCACGTGGATACATACAATCAATTCCACGGCGTTTCCGAAAGTCGCATTCAGTAGTCCTCCGATTGTCTGGCCCAGCGGCACCGCCAACTCTTCCGTCGCAAATGCCAGCAGCGCAGCCAGAGGTATGATTGCGATAAAGTTGAAAATGAACTGTAGCGCAGGCTTCCAATTCAGGACGCCGGCCAGAATACCAATCGGCACAAACACCAGCAGGAAGTTGACATAGTTCGACCGCAGAATCTCCCACGTCACATGTAGCACCAGGAAGGGGTATTTGATGAAGTTATTCTCATGTTTGTAATAGGGAGTGCCCGAGTCGGTGGTGGTCATCCTCGAGAGGAGGCCCGTTCGCTCGTTTGGATCTGCGCGGCCGTTGGGCCCGCCGTCTTCGGTAGGCATATTGTTGATGTTGTTCTGAGAGGCAGTCTTTGTGAATTGCTGGCGAATACTGGTCGCAGCTAAAGATGTTTTGCGCAACGCCGCCATGTCGGGGGCGTCACATCCCAGGTCAGCTTATATTCTTTGTCTGTGGCAAAGGAGGAGAGACTGGAGTGTACCAGGGACTGGCGCGGAGAGGGTGTGGGTGTAATATACCACCACGAAGTGCACGTACCCATTCGAAGGGAACAGGGAATCGACCTAGGACCAAGAAACCGCCGGGCGGGAAATCAAGCTGCAAGAGTGACACGGGAGACAAAGAGATTTGAGCTCCCACCACTGACTGGGCTTGTCCTCTCTTGACAGGCCGGAAGCAAGCTTGGATGCTCTCCTCTGGTAACCGCCAAGTACCACAGTAGCTTGGCGGAAAGAGGCACTGCCGCCGTGGAAATTTGCGGTCGGGACGGGGAAAGAGAATGGGCTCAAGAGTATGGCCACGAGTTGAGATCGAATACCGGCGAGAGTGCGTGATCAGGATTGTGACTGCGATACGTTGGTGTGTTGAGCGGAACAACGAGGCATGGCTTGCCAGGCTGACTAGCGAAGGGACAAGCCAGCTGCTGCTGCGAGCTTCTACTGTGGGCCCCAGGGTCAGCCTATCACATCACTCACCATAACGGGGCTAAACAACACAGCCACTCTTGGCGCCCTCGTCTCCGCATCGAATATCTCGTCATTGGACCCCCCAGAAGCTCAAGGTACTGTGTATTCGAGAAGACAATCATCACGTCCAACCTTCTGCCCTCCTTTTGCCGCATCGAGAAGTGCTACCTCGTACGGCGCCCAAGAGAGCACGGAGACATCGATCGTCGGATTGCCACTCCGCTGAGCCGCTCGATACGTCGCATTCCCTCAGCATCTTTGACAATGTTTGGTCGTATGCCTAGAGGTGGAAAAGCACACAGGGCACTCACCTTCCTCTTACGAGCATGCCCTTTGTTGCTTTCTCGGAAGATTATGACGTCGCGGCCTTAGAGCAAGCGCTGGACACTCGCGGCTCTTGAAACGGACTTCTAGCGTATCATATTTAGCGGCCAGTGAGCCAGCGGTAGTGTCGCGGCTCGTTGCAATTCAATACCGCTGACGAACGGCGCAGCCTGCGCTATCCATAAGCCTTAGCCTTATCAAACAAAGAGACACTCGTTCAGACTACTATATGTACGAGTACGCAGTACATTGACATTCAACTTCGCGCGGGGATAAGACTGTACCTAGTACTATAAATCGTCGTCGGCTCTGCCAAGCCACTGCCATGACTCTCACTCTCCGTGGGGGTTGTTCGTAGAGAGTAACGTTCAGGCGATGATCTGGGTGCCTTCCTAGTACTCCGTAGCGACGCGCTCGAGTCTGAGTAGCAGTCGATTATCAGGATGTTAAATGGCAGCTGCCATAGGCGAGAGATATCGGAATGCAGCGTCTGCTCCCCGCTTGCTCGTATGACTGCCAGTTTGAGCAGAGGCAACCCAGCGAGGCATCTACTTCGAGTGGCATTTTTAGAAGATATTAAACCGAAGCCTGATATTAAAGGTGTCTATTCACAAGGGAGAATGTCTCAAATAGGTATGTCACAGCCGTTGAGCTCACGGTGAGACGATCCGTACTCCATCGACAGCAGGCCCGAGTTCCAATTCCTCAGCCTCTATTTCGATTGCTTTTACACCTGGTACCGTCCAAAGCGGGCGCATTGGTGCTGTTCGCCTCGAGATTGGTGCTGGGCGAGCCACAATCCTTGCTCTCTTCACCAGATCATCCTTCATCTCGCCCCATCGCTCGAGTTCTTCTGCATGCTGGAGGATCTTGTACAACGTGGTGTCGGTCTGCGCTCGCCACGCAGACACATCCCCCTTCTTGTCTCGAGGTGCCACAGATCCGGCAGCCAGTCTGATAGGTTTGGCAGTCTTGGCCATATGCATGAGATGCGCAAAGACATCTTTGGTCTCGGTACGCAGTTGTTGGGTCTTGTCGTCCCTTGGGGCGACTTTGAGATGGCTGGGATCCAGCCATGCATGTTGAACAGCAGTCTGAGCAGCAGCACCCACCGGTATCCTGAGTTCTCGATTCTCGGACTTGAGAAAGCGAACGGCCGCTTGTAAACTGAGAATCTCGGTTCTGAGTTGATCCGCTTCAGCCTTGAGTCTGAGAGAAGCTGATTCGTCGCCGGGGCCAAGTGGCAGACCTTGACCTTCTGATACCCCTTTCTGTTTGACGGCCTCGAGTTCCAGTCTGTGGCTGTCCCGAGACTCAAGCAGCCCTTGGTACTCGGCTCCGAGGCGCTGCAGATTTTCGCCGGCCATGGCGTTTTCAGCTCGAAGTTTGGTGATCTCATCCTTCATCTCTTTCACGCCGTCCTCCTTGAATTTCGTCTCCTTCGTTCTCGATTCCAGCAATTCCACCTTGACCTGCTGTTCCTCGAGTTCTTTATCCTTCTCGCTGATCCTGATGGTCTGTTCTTGGATTCTGAGCTTCAGCCGTGCCATTTCTTCCTGAAGATCTTGTGACATTTCCTTCCGCGCCTTGACCTCTCTAGCGCGAACGATCCATGGCGCGGCTTGCCTCTCAAACTCGGTCGCGCCGGAGAGGTCAGCGGATTTGGTGTTCAAGTCGTCTGTTTTTGTCTGAAGGACCTGCAGCTGCTTCAACAGGATCTCGAACACATCGCCAGTGTAGGCTGCTTGCATTTCGTCCCGCTGCGATTCGACCGAGACAGCGACTGTCATTAGCCGGATGAGGCTGGAATACGAAGGGGGCTCGTCGGTTGCCAACTTGTTGAGCTCATCGAACACGGTCTCTCCCACCTGCCGAATCGACAGGGTGAGCGCTTCAGCACATGCCTCAGCTTCCGTAAAACTGCCCCAGGTTGACTCTCCTAGACACATGGAGCGCGCTCTGAGGTCACTGAGTGCGTGCAGCACCTTGCTCGCCACGAATTTGATCGTGCGAGCCTTGATACCAAGCTGATCGATTTTCTTCTCGAAGAGGACCGAGTCTTCATCGTCAGCTTTCGATGGTCCCAATCTGGATTGCACGGCTTTGCTGAGAATCTGTGTCTGGCTTGCAATATTGTCGCTGTAGCTCTCGACCATTGCGATGGACGCAAGCAGCCCCATTGCTTTGGTCTCATGGGAGTCGGAGAGCAGTTTCTCGGACATGTCGACAAGAATATCGGCCATGCGATGCAGATACTCCGGACCCTCATGAGCCAGCTCATCCCGGCGCAGCGCTTCCACCCAGCCCGTCAACGCTTGTTCGACTGGTTCCAGCTCGAATGGTGCGCCAGCATACCTCATGAAGTCGTCTGTAGAGCATGTTGACATGAACTGCACAAATCGGTCGCACAGGTTTGCAATAAAGTTCATCTTCTCCATGACTGCGAACACCGCCATTGGGTTCTCGTGGAGATCAGCCCGGTCACGCATGCGTTCCGCTAATACGGTCCTACACAGTTGTGCCTTTGACTTGATCCGCTTGAAACATAGGAGCGCTAGAATGGGTTTCTTGTCGAGTTCGAACGTCTCTGGAATGAAAGGCTGCAAAATTTCTAGGTGCAAGCTGGCCTGTTCAGCCCGCATCTTCCCAAGCTCGAGATCGATGGCTTTTAGCTGCGTCTTCGCAGCTGAGTTCTGTAGCTTGAGATTCAGATCCATCATCGCTCTGGACTTGCTGCTCATTTCGTTTGCTTCCAGTTCGCTGATTTCTCTGGACCGCCGGAGCTCGTCAATGTCGGTCTGGAGGCCCTGCACCACATCCCGGAATTTTGTCAACGTATACTCCAGGTCTTCAATTGTCTTCTCTTGCTGAGCAATTTGCCGGTGCTTGTCATGCAGCAACGCTTCGCTTTCGTCCAGCTGATAATGAAGGCGCTTCTCTTCCTCGACATGGAATGACTCTAGCTCGTCAGCCACTTGAATATGCTCTTCCAAATCTTGAACCTGCCGCCTCAATGTCTCGATCATATTCCGGCTTTGGTCCCGTTCGGCGCTCATAGTTTCGAGAATCTCATCATTCGCCTCTGCGGCCTCCAGCTGTTCTCTGAGATGCTGGTTCGTCTCCTCGGACCTGTTGAGTTTGGCTGCGGTCTCCTCGTATTTTGAGGCTGTCTGTTCAAGTTCGTCGATGGATTCCTGAAGCTCCTTGATCTCGTTCTTCAAATCACCCTCATTTTGCTGGCTAACATCCCTCAGCAGGATCAAAGCTTGCCTCAATCTTTCGGTCTCTCGCTCCATCTGAAGCCAGCCAGCGCTTGCTTTTTCCTCGGGACTCATGACCGAGGCTAACTCGCGGTTTTCTTCTCGCAGGATCTCCGCCTCCAATTCCAACTCTTCATGCTTAAGTTTCAGAGCCTCCAGTTCACTCTCGAACATGTCAGCACGCTCCTCGGCCATTTCTTTGTCCAGGGTCGCAAGTTCGAGCTCCGACTCGTGCTCAGCGCTGCGATCGGGCACGTTTGAAGCACGGTTCTCTGCATCCTCGTACTTGGCTTTGAGATCTTGGATATCTTGCTGATTAGACTTGAGCTTTTTCTGCAGTGTTTGAATGATCCCTTCGTATCGTGCCGCCTTGTCCTCTAGATCTTGGACATTCTGCAATTGCGCCTGATCTTCCTCCCTTTGCTTCTGCAACGTTCGCACCTTTGTCTCCAGCGTTTTAATCACCTGTGCCTGTCGCGATCTGTCCTCTGCGGAGGGATTGAACCCGTTTCGCAGGGGAGCTGTGGGGTGTGAGCGTGCAGGTGGTGGAGGAGCAGCCACTTTAGGACTTGTTACATGCCTTGATGTTGCGGGCACTTCATCTTCCTTTGTATCTGACGAGACAGGCGTCGTAGGCTCTTCTTCCTCTGCCACTGGACGCGCCAGCTGTGCTTCGAGACTGTTGACCACTCCGTCAATCTTTTCAGTTCGCGGCGGAGGTTTGGCTGTCACAGAGAGCCTAGCGCCAGCCATGGACTGTCGTGGCTGCATTGACATCGGCCTGGACGTCACGGGTTTTACTGGACCGCCTCCTATCGAAGTCCTGCTTGTATGGGTACTCGTCCTATTTCCGGCGCTTGGAGGTCCAATACTGGGCCGACCAGCCATGCTAAGTCTCGATTTCGTACTCGAATCGGAGGTTCGTGCAGTGGTTGCTGGCGTGCCAGTACGAGGCGTCGACATGTTTGAACTGGTAGAAGGCGGAGGAGGCTTGGTGGGAGACTTGGTAGGAGACTAAGATTCCCAGATTAGCTACCAGTCAAGCATAACCGCGGATATCTTCCACATACCCTCATAGACAGTCGGGAACCAGTTGCCGTGCCAGGACCACCGCTCATGAGACTCTGCCGCTTCCTCGCGACATCGGCACTAACCATACTTGCCGGTCTCGGTTTCGCTGTAGAGCCTCCATTGGAAGTCGACGGCCCATTGGGCTTTGCAGTCGGGCCTGGTTGACTAAGGATCTTGACGGCCGACTCCCTGCGGACGAACATGCCATGGTTGGGAGCGCAGTTGAAATAGCGCTCGCCCTTGACTGATCCATCGTTCTTGCCGCTGTCATCGGGCAACTCGAGGCCCAGCCACTCGCCAGAGGCAACATGCAACGGCCCAATGTAGCGGATAGTGCCCTGCTTGCCGTCCTGGGTCTCAACTTTCTGGCCAATCTTGACAATGAGATCTGCCATTTCCGGCACCTAGTCGCTGGTTGTAAAGGTGCATGACAGTGTCCAATATAGATGACAGAACAAGGAAGCGCTGGACCTCCGTAAGGTTGTGAGGATATGGAGTGTTGGATGGGACGAGTCAATGTTTGTCCTTGTGCTTTGATTGACGCGTGATGGGCGCTGCAGGCACCGCGCCCTCGACACGTGGGAGCCACAACGCTCTGTTCTGCCCGGCACGTGTTACCACGTGACAAGAACTAGTATGTTACTGGTGCATGTGATGTGATATGTGTACGTCGGGTAGTAACTTGTACTTCCTACCTACTTGAGACCTTGTTGCCGTTCGTCACAATGGTAGGTTCAGTCAATTCGAGGCCCACGTAGATAATGCATTATTCTCTAGCAATAAATTGGGGTATATTTCCTTCGGAACTGAGTCGAGCCAAAACAGTACAGTTGTTTCGCAGCGCTCCAGGCCCAAGTTTTGCCGCCCATCGCACCTTAAGCTCGCAGGGTATATTCCCTCGGGCCGAGTGAGCGTCAGCGAACATGCACGAAGACAAAAACTTCTTGGTGCGGTCCAACTTTAGCCAAACAACATGACAAGCACGTATCTCCCAAAAGCTGTAACGACGCAATAATCCAAGCGTCTCCGCGTCCTCCTCTTCTGTACTTTTCGTGGTAGCGTCAAAGGGTATCTTGCTGGACATAATCGCAGATAATCATGATTCCATATCCGTGTCGGGGTATCATTGTCGTTTACTTTTCCGATCATTTCAGACTTCAGCCAAGCCTAGCGTAAAGGGAGATTCAAATGGTTCCCAGATCCGTTCCCGCTACCGGCGATCTGAGTGTGATGGTGTGGCCCAATTGGAGCCGGGTATGAAGAAAAGGAATGTGATGTTGGTGGCCTGCCCGAGTCGAAACTTGCCCGCGGCTCGTGCTTCGGGGTTCTGTCTCCAGAAATGCTGCCACCACTGCCGAAGGGAAATTTATTGTCTTGATAACGTGATGGCCAGCCACCACTGACTGTAGTGTTAGAAGCATCTTCCTCGGGAAGATTGACGCCGCTATCGTTCCAGAAGTGTCGGTATCCGCTCTCGCGACTTTCCATGGAGATGAGAGACGCCTTGCTGGCGTTGGACGATGCGTGCTTGAAGAAGGTCCCTGGAGAGTTGTTTTGATTCTTGCGGCTCATGAAGGATGAGATTGACGAAAGGCTGCCCGGTTTGCGCAACCGGTCAAAGATGGATGCTCTCTCCGACACCGCCGTGCTATCTGCATCGGCAAAGCTCGAGCGTGACGGAGAGTCTGTGGAGTGAAGAGAGGGGGCATTCTGTAAGAGCTTTGACTCGAAGAACGGCAGCGAGTCCTCAAACGAGTCTGATTTCGGACGAGGAATGGCACCCTGAACGGTACTAGCATCCAACCCGCGTGGAACAAGCTGCGAGATGAGAAAGTCGATAGCATCCTTGAGCCCACCTGCATTGTTCCGCGTATACGTGAGAACCAGGCGCCCTTCTGAAGGTCCACAGATGCGTTCCACGGACGCGGTCGCTGACTTTGGTAAACTGCTAAGCTCCGGGTTGGCATGCACGTCTACCTCATACTGACTTCTGAACTTCTGGCGGAGCTCGTTGAAGAATTCCGGGCTAGTGAAAAAGGCTTCCAACTCGTCCGACTTCTGGAAGGCGATCTCGTGGCTTTCGGGAACCATGCCCAAGAAAGCGTCTACCGCCTGGGGTACTTGATACTCGGGACCGGAAATGGTGACAACGTCGCTGGCTAGCTCCGTATTGGGAAAATCAATCTTGCAGTTCCATTTCTTCTCCAGTTCCTCAATTTCCGGAAGCCTAGCAATCAGCTCGCGGTGGTAAAGTCTGTTGATCACGACGGTCTCGGAGACGAACTCGGCGTCCTAGATTCACTCTGATAAGGACATACTCTCATCACTCATGGGTTCAATATCGCTTACAGCTTTTTCCACCATGTCCATGATCTCTTGCTTCACCAGGTCCAGACTCTGCGCATTTCGGGCTGGTGTCCGACAAATGACATTATCAACCTTGATATCATCGTCGTCTTTACCGACACCGCCACGATCCATAGCATTCGAGAACTTCACGAAGACCGAGTATTTTTTCATGATGCGTTGGATGTGTTGGCCACCAATGCCGATAATGCGTTTGTGGTACTGGTCAGGAACGTGAAAGGAGATCGACGCCGGCATCTCCTGCTCCACAAGGTCTAAACCGTTCTTGGTAGCCTCGTACTGGCTGCCTACAACGTCAATATAGAAGTTGTACTCGTTGAAACCGTCGAAGATGATCTGGACATTGCCTGTAGCGAGAGTTAGCTATATCCAATCTCATCTAGAGGAGACACCCCTACTTTGACCCATGATCTTGTTGATTTTGCCGTTCTTCTTACCACTGACGAACTCCTTGTGCTCGTTGGCCAGCTCAATTTTGACTCGCATCTGATATGGAGTCTTCTTCACGAAGGGAATTTGATTGATCACCATCATTGCGGCTTTTACGGCGTCATCGGAGCCATTGATTGTGAATGTGAACTTCTCGAAGCTGATCTCGGCACCAGAGTTGGTGCAAATATCGCTCAGCATGATCCGAATGTCCTCCGGTGACGGAGCCCGAAGGGTGGGACCCTGGGAGGGATCTGGCATCATGATCCACCAGGATGCGCTGAAGAATTGACCAGCCTAAACAGTCGTCAGAGTTTCGACTCGGAGGGATCAAGAGACGGCGGATCTCGTACGAGTGCCATGATTTCCTTCACTGTCCTCTCCACATGTAAAACTTCAGTACCTTGCACGCGGACAAGACCTCTCTGGCTACCAAGCTGAGGGAACAAGACGTGGGAGCCGTTTGTCTCCATGATCTTGCGTACCTTCTCGAGTCGGTCGAGTAAGATGTTGTCAATCTTGCTTGCAGACACCACAGCATCCTTGGAGTAGAGTTTGATGCTCATCACCAGCTCTTTCAGTTTCTGCTTTGCCTGGTTGATGCGCTCCTGTGTCTCTCCGGTAATAAAGATCTCGTCTGCCGCCCGGCGTGTGGCATGAGGAGGGACGTAGCCAAAGACCCCAGGGAACGGAGGCGGAAAGTATATGGCGGTCTTGGTAGCTGACTCGATCATTTTGATGTTCTTGCCGGTACGACCGGAAACCAACGTGTGCATCGACACCTCAAGTTTGATCACATCGATTTTGTGTTTGAGCTGCAATGGGTCAGTACGGGCCTGATATCAAAGTCAAGTAGGAGAGGTTACAATCTGGTCGATCATCATCAGAGCTCGGGTCTTCGCATGTTCAACGCTCTCCATGTCACCAAAAATGTTGACTCGATACCGTTGGTCCAGACCACTGTCGGTCTCCTCGCTGTAAGCGGGATTGGCCAAGGATGTATCAGCACTTCGGGGCTTGAGAAGGAATATGTCTGTGCCCGTGTATTTGGCACAAAGGTCAATGTGACTGAGGACACTGGAGCGGATGCCAGTCTCGGCTCCGTCAAGAATCAAGCCTGGATCAATGTCCACAATTGCTGAGCGCTTGGAGAAGTCAGCAGCAGCCAGGCTCGGCCAAAGGGCGTATCCGTACCATCATGATCGGCGTCTCATTCAGGATCTTTGCTCGCATCTTAAACACCAAATCTCCATCACCCGATATGCACACATTGGTCACCAGCCCTTGAGATTTTCTGTGCAGAGCTGGTCCAGTCTTAGGTTCTGACGAGGTGACAGTAGCTTGAATGTGTCCTCCACTCTGTTCACTAATGTAGGCACATAACGAACGCAGTGTATCCTCATTTTGCACGTGTACCGGTAACTTGTGAGTAGGCGTGCCCTCTGGTGTTCCCGCTGGGAAGGTCCATCGCTGAAAAGCGCCAGGACTCGAGTGTAGGATCTCATCGGGCTCTGGGCCGGCAAGGTTTGAGGCAAAGGGCACATTGAACGAAAGGTTGACGGGCGAGGCCTCGGACGCCGGCTGAGATACGATTCCTGGCGAGCCCTGCGGACGTCTCAATGGTTGCGGCGTGGGCATGTCCTGGTGAAACCTCGACATGCCAAACGCCGCAGGAGTCATCCGTTCCCAGCCATGACGGGCCTGGCCGGTGAAGTTGCTGATCTTGTGCATCTTCAGCGATGGACGACTCCCCAAGTCATCGACGTTCGGAAGGGAGTGGGAAGGACGAGAGGAGCTACGGTTGTTGCATCGAGAAGGTGGGAGGGGCCCGACAGAGGTTCGGAGACTACGTCGGCGAGGGGATACTTGGTGGTGATAGCGGTTGTGGGTGGTTGTGAGAAAGTAGAAAGTTGAACCTGAGGTTCAAGTGACGGACAAGAAGCAGTTGATGGTCGTAACCTCAGTGGCCTGTGTGTGCAGGCAGTTGGGACCCTGACGGAATAATCTAAGTCCAGCTGCGCTTCTGGTTCGCCGCATCGAGGGGCTCGAGGAATCAAGCGTGATACACAACTCGGCCTGGCTTCCCTAGCTCTGTCTTCTACGGGTAGGAAGATCTGCCCCGGTCAATGATAAACCCCCCGTAAGCTCGCAGCTAAACCCCGAGCGAACATCTTGACCCGCCGAGCCGTGATGTCCAAATGGCTGTTGCGTGGTTAGTGTGCATAAGGAGGATGACGAATGAGGAGGTTGTTTAGGTGCAACGCATGATGCGTGCTCCGCCCCCTACGCAGTGCTGGGCCACAAATCAAGGCAGTGCAGCAGGTCGTTCCGGGGTGGACACCTAGGGGACCACACCATCAACTCCTAACTGTAGTATATCTTGCTTGAGCACGAGGCCAAGGGGCGGGCTTCCTGCCACATGACCCATGCTATTGTAGCTTAACATTTCACGAGATGCTCGAGGACGGAAACACATTGGGGAACAATGTGTCTAAATACATCTAGATGTCATTGAGCTATTGTAGAGTGGCCACTTCCTATCTCAGATTACCTGTGCCGTTTGGGTATCGTTAAAAACATCACTGACTCCAGAATGCTCCGTGCTGGGTAGGTGATATGGTCGTGCACACTAGTCAAAGGGTTTTTCCATAACACCGTTCAGTTCCTTGAGCTTGCGCGAGAGCAGGCCGTGTCCCGCTTCGACCGGTGCGGGAGAAAAGCCTCGTGCGAGGGAAGGCGAATTCGACGATGGCCAAGGCACGGGAGAGCTACGAGAAGAGGTCGACGGCAGGAAGCCAGGAGTAGGAGAGACGGTTCCCTCAACTAGGGCTTCCTCTAACTCCTTGGCATGTGCATTTTCGGTAACTTTCGTCGTGTCACTCTGGTATATGGGAGAGGTGTAGAGGTGAACCGGGGTAGGTGACGACTCTCGTGTTGCTTTCAAGTCGTCTTTCATCGCGCCAGACCCTGTCATGTCATCCAGATACTCAAAGTCCGGAGTGACCGAGACCATAGAGAAAGAGGAGACCTTTTCATCTGGGATGCTAGGACTTCGAGAATGACTCCCAGTGGTAGGCTTGTATGGACTGAACCTGGGGTCTGGTAGTTGAACCTCGTTGCGAAGCTTCTCTGTGCCGTCGGGCGCCCGATTTGCGAAGACCACACGAATAGTGTCGTAGAGGTAGAAATAGCCTTTTGCTGTACAGCAAAACTTGATATGGATAAGATAGCGAAGTATGTCTTTGGCACTAAGAGGGTCGAGAGCAGCTAAGGCGGCCTGTTTCTCCAGTGTTGCAGCTTCCAAGATGGGGCCGGTTGAATAACTCCTCTGCCGAACAAACGTTTTCGTTCCGGGAAGCATATCTTCCAGGTCGTAAGGTACCAAGAACAGTTTCACTGCTGTCTTGTTGGGATTTTTGATGATGACCTGAAGTTGTCCTTTCTGAGGCACCCGGTACGCCCCACCAGGAGGGATTTTGCGCTGCGAGACAAGATTCTTCTCTTGCCGATCCCGTGTTTCCTTGGCCAGCGCTCTCCCAATGGCTGTATTCTCAGGTTTGGTGATCTCTGCAGCTAACTCTTCAGGATTGAGGCTTGCTTGAGAGCGCTGGGAACGTCGACGAGGCTCCGAAGCTTTCAAGTTGCGCTCTAGGTCAATACTGCCCACGTACGGACTGGGATTGTCGTCCGATATTGATCTAGACGAATTGGCGGAGGGATAGTTATAGAACACAGCCGGAAATGTAACAGTTACATGAGCAGGACACTTCAATCTGGCTGGGCAGTCACCCTTGCCCATAACTCCGATCTGGGCGACGAAGTCAAGGGGTTTCGAGGCAGGTGTGGACATCCTACCTCGCAGAATAGACTCTTCGAAAGAACCAACCATTGAAGCACGCTGCCGAGGTGACATGTCTGCCGCCAGTGAAGTTCGACGCTGCCTCGTCCAGGGAGGTATCTGAGGCGGGGTAGCCGGCTGGTAGGTGAAAGAGCTCAAAGATCGCCGCATTCGGTGCCCTGGAGAGAATGAACCGCCACTATCTCTCAGGCCCTGACCGTGCGGTGACGGCCGACTGAAACTAGGTGCAGCAGGCTCGGCCGGAGACATACGTAACGATTCGAACACGTTGGGAGGCATAGTCCTCCTCCTTGCAGTTTTGCCTGTCGAGAGACGTGGCGAATCTTTCGGGGAGAAGTCCAGTGTAGGATTGTTGATCGCGTGGACAAGTGGACTCGTAGGGATTCTCATAACGAAACTCGAGGACAAGCCGCTCCCTAACGAAGGTGCTCGAGCTCTTCTGAGCATATCTGTTGGGGAACCCTGTTGTTGTTGGAGGCTTGATGTAGCCGGAGAGTCTGCCTGCCAGAATGGGTGAGACCTGTCGAAGTGCGGTTGATAATTCTGATTCCATGGCATCGACGTCTCTGCATGTGTATCAGGGACCGTCGGATCCACATCACAGTCCTCAGTAAGATCACTGGTGCGGAGAACAGATAGGGAACGTCGCAGGGCGTAAGTCGCGATTGACAGAGTTGGCTGTGTCCTGTCCACGTCGGTTTCTTGCCCAGCGTCTTGGACGTGACCAGTATTGGGATTATTCGATTGTGGCAGAGTCGAAGCGACCTCGGCACAGAGAGCTTCCAGCCCTGGTTTGGGTACCCATGTTGTCCTTTGGCCTCGCTTGATGCACTGGATCAACTCTTCTCTGTCACTTGTGCGTACTGTAACCTGTTCCCTCTCCTTACAGTCGTCTCGCCTTGGAGCACTATGTCCCTCTGAAGCTTCGGCAGGCTCAAACAGAAACTGTTCCTCAATGTCGTCAGGTTGTGGGGTACTGTATCGAGCCATGCTGTAAGACAGTCTCCGCCTCTTCGCGGGCGGCTCTACCAGATTTCCACAATCCAAGACAAAGGGCATGCTCCAGGGGATGCCCAGGTCGTTCAAGGTACACAGCGGTAATGTTGACGGCAGGCTTCTTGCGAGACCTGAAACATATACCCTTGAGGCCTGAGAGACATAACAGTACGAATGGTTTAGGTGGAGGGAGGTCGGCGGGCACTATCGTTGCATGGTCGATCACGACCAGTACTCGATTTGACGAGATCTCATCTACAACGAGAGGTAGGCTCGATGGGGGCCGTCTCTGAGGGATAGGAGCCCTAGGAAGTGACAGAGGTGTACGGAGTACCTGGCTGAGTATCAGGGCAAGAGAGGAGTGTTAAGCGGAGAGGAGTCGTGCTCCGGTGAACAGTAGCATGATGATTGAGTCATACCGGTACCATGCCACATGCAGTAATTAGCGTCACGAGCATGTATCAGTGCCAAGACGCCCCTCATCCTTGTTCCCCACCCACCTAACACTCACCGTCCACTTACTCAACATTCTTCGAGCATTTATCTAGCACTCACTCACTCATTCACTCACTAGTGGTCACTCTCGACCTTCTCGGTGAAGTTAGTCAGAGCATTCTGGAGATTCCCTGCACGACGATTGTCCCAAGAATACATCATAGGTTTACTCCGTACCCGCTGCCTCACATCACTTTACGCCGTCAGGTTAGCTCGAGTCGTAGCTGATCTATGTGGGTGATGAGTGCTAACTAGATTTCGGACGTCCCATTAACCGTGTCGGAATACTTCTGATGCGGAATTTGTGGCGTGGTCTGCCTAAACATGACCGATGCTTCGCGCCGCATGCAATCCTGCCATCAGGCAGTTAGTGGTACCGGTCATACTTGATCACAACTCCTATGAGACTCGGTCCCTGCCGTGGGCACCACTCGCTTCCCTTCGGCTTTCCGGCATCTTGCCTCTACGCGCAAACATAGGCCATGGCACGGTGCTGCTTGTCAAGTGACAAGACAGCCGCCTCAATCCATGCTGAAAACATTGTGCGACTCCCAATACTGGTTGCTTAACCTCGATAGGTTCGCGAAACCTTGGCTAAACGACGCTCCCGGTTGACTCCATTACACGTCAGCGTCAAAGAGAAACCCGTCGTTCTCAGCGTCTGTCTGCCACTCATCGTTTCCAGTTTGAGGACTATCTTCTTGGACTGGTAATGACTGTCCCGTGGAGTCCGAATTGACTGGGGGAGCCTTGAACTGAGTTTCTTGACCGAGTTGACTGAACTATGCGGATTGAGCACTGGTGGGAGAAGAACTTGAAAGTCTCTTGCGCACGTTCCCTTCAGCTGGCCTTTCATTTCCACCGAAGCTATGCTGCCCACCATGCCCATCCAATGCGCCTTCTAGGGCCTCTAGGTCAATCAGCTGAAAGTGGCCAAAAAGGCCAGCGACTAAGTGTCGCCGGGACCTGTATTTTTTCCCATCTTGTTTTGCCACGAGAGCGCTACAAGCAGCTTCTAGATTTGTCAGGAGCGACAGCCCGTACCTGGCAACAATGTCTTGCTCGGAGAAGGCCTTCGTACAGCGGAAATTGCCTTCGAAGTCTAGCGAAAAATGCCAGTCCAATAGTAAGCCCTGCCAGAAAAGCCGCGTTCACGATAAAGGGCAGTCGTTTCTGAAGGGCTCCATGTGTCAACAAGGGACGAATTGTCTCGGTGATACGGATGGCAGAGGCGATGCAAGCATAGACCAGAGCTCGCTCCAGCGGTACGGCAGATGACTCGATAGGTGGTGAATATTCCACGGTGTCAGGCTCTTTGGCGGCTTTGATTGACAGGTTCAGCAAGAATGGTCTGGTCGACAGCAGAATGCTGACATAATATTCACAACATAAGTGACAGAGCCCAAGATTGGGCCTCCCGGGGTCTTCCACGTGGAGCATTGGCAAGATACCGTCCGTCCAAGTTCCTCGCGGTAGGAGGGAAACCCATTTCCGATGATGTTTGCGAATTTCCTCCACAGTCTCCATCGAGGCGACCCGCTGGAAATAGACCTCGGTGGCGATACGTTCTGTGATCCAGCAAAGGCTGACCACTGCGCAAGAGCCGCCCTCCATCACGGAGCGCGTCTCGGCTTCTGCCAAAGGTCGACCTAGGGAACCGCTCAAGAAAACGTCTTGGGCTCGCATGGTCTTCCAAGCCTTTTCTCTTACTTGATGCTCATCAGTTTTGAACAACTTCGAAACTTCCCGCTGATGGATACCGAGAGCGTAAGACGCGTGCGCAGCGATGCCCAGGTTCATCGCAGCCGCGTTCCGTCGTGACGTGGCTACGAGAAACATGGTAACCTGCAGGAAACATTGTACTCCGAGCAGAGAGGGCTTGTCCATGAAATGCAACAGGGTCAGATAGTGGCCGCACTTGAAACATGACTCTGCCATCTGATCCGATGCTTCAGCGCTTGATTGTGCGCCTATAGCAAACACAAGGTAATACTTTGCACTGATCGGGTCATTGGTATCGGGTTCTTTCTCGACCCACTCCAAGATCTGCGAGGTTGTTTCACCTTTGTCGACCAGATCGATGAGCCCGTTTGTTGTCCAAAGCTACTGATCGAGGAGCTTCGTCGCAACGTCTTTACCCGGTTTGGGCAGCAGCGGATCTTTCCCCTGTCGAAGCCAGTCTAGTGGTGCGACACCGATGCCATCGACCAGGCGATTACGAGTGGTATCTTCTATGAGCGGGCAACCCCCAACAGTCCGCCGCACCACTCGTCGGACACTGTGGAGGAAAGAGGAATTCGCATGGTGCCCATGAAGATCAGCTTCTGGGTCGGGTGTCGAATCAATCTCGATAGCCGAGGAACTGGTGCCACAGCCATAAAGTCGACATTCTGTGGAACGTCTTTCACAGACTCGACTGTGATATCTTCACTGTCTGTGTTTGCCATATATTCACTTATGCGTGTTGGTCGATCCGAGTGGGAAGACTTCGACTGGATGGAACAACTGTGGAAGTGGCACTGCCACTCTACCCTTCGCTTGAGGCATCGACTGCAGGGCTGTGACCCGTTACACCTGGTGATGCCGGTCAGCGGAGGCCGATGCTTGCCGCGTCTGAAGCCAAATTCTGATTCAGTCATTCAACAGAGTCAAGACCGTTTACCTCTCTTTGCGCCGTCTGCAGTTCTCGCAGGCATCTGCACAGCGGGCTTGCGAACGAATGTCATTGGTTGTGAAGGGCATGTTTGACAGGAGCAACTGGCTCCTCTGGAATCGTTCGGCCGTGAATAGAAGCGAATTCTAGCGCTCTGGGTGTCGCAAAGCACCCACAGGTGTCAACTCGCTCGATCAGTAGAAGGAACTGGGCAGAAAATGGAGGACCCTTCCCCATCGGGCTTGGTTACCTAGCCGCTGTCGCGAAAGAGGGGCCGATGAAGGGCTTTATCGGCAGCTAATGTAGCAGGAAACGATCATGGGGATCGCAGACCCCAAAAATGGCCTCACAAGCTACGACTCCTTCGGCAAACAACCACGGCCTCGGAAGGTGAACTCGCCTCAGCGGCTTCGGATGGGAGTTGTCGGTGTTGAACTGGTGGACCGTAGTGATACTTGAGCGGATTGATAACGTCAACAGTGTCCATGTACATCAAAGTTATCTACCGTCCTCAAAGCTCACTCCCTCTGGACGACGCCTTTTCGTAACCCTCAGCTTCTTCACGCCTTGATTGTCCGAGTGCCAAAACCCCGAGTGCTTCAGCTCGGCACAAACTAAACGGGCCACAATGAAGCACTTGTGTCAAAATTCGACCCAACATTCGAGGTGCTTCATGTGGAGAAGCAAGACCTGGAAAGAGCAACGTTTATTAAGAACCTTCGGTGTCAGAAATGGGGCGATTTTGATGCCATCATCAGACCAGTCGTGTATTCTGGCGCCGAAATGGAGCCATGGGACGATGACATCGTGTCTTTGCTTCCCAACTCACTCAAGGTATATGCGAGCATGGGCGCAGGGCATGACTGGATGGACATCCCGTTGCTCACCGAAAGAGGTTAGTCCGTCCCCTGCCATTGCCAGTCTATCCTGTCACAGTCAGTACCTTGACGCGTGATATTCCACCCAAGGCATACTCTACTGCAACGGCGGAGCCGCCTGTACCCTTGCCATCGCGGATGCGGCGCTTTACCTCGTCATCTCGGTCTTCCGACACTTCAGCCTGGCCCAGTTCGGCGCGAAAACGAGCGACCCTCAAACAAAGTCGAAAACACAAAACAGACTTCGAGAAATCAGCCATAATCCCGAAAATCATACAGTAAGAGTCGTAAGCCTGGGCCGGATAGGATATCTCGTGGCGAAAAAAGTCTACTTTGGTTTGGGAGCCCACGTCGTCTATCATGACGTGCAACGAAGATCGCGAGAGGACGAACAACTGATCCAGGCTGAGTATTTTGACTCTTTGAACGATATGCTGGCCGTTTCCGATTGCGTTGTGGTGGCCGCACCTTACTTTGGCAAGCACATCATGGCGGCGGACCACTTCGCCAAGTGCAAGAGAGGAGCTCGGTTCGTTATCGTGTCTCGTGGTCAACTGATGGACGAGGCGGCCTTGGTCGAAGCTCTGAAATCTGGTCAGCTGTTTGCGTCGAGCCTAGATGTCTACGAGAACGAGCCCAATGTGCATCCGGAGCTGGTGAAGATGGACAATGTAATCATAATGCCTCACTGTGCTGGAGGGTCTGTCGAGTCGACGACAGGATTCGAACGGTTGTGCATGGAGAACGTCGAGTCTTTCTTCTCCACCGGAAAGGCTGTGACACCAGTCAATCCGGAAGTTTCGAATTAGCATTTTGCTTGTACGCAGAAATGAGGTGTCCCAGTACGTCGTAGACGTCGATCAGCTGCTGTATATCTCACTGTCTGGCTGGCGGAGGCACAACGAGTTGAATCGGACGCATGGTTCAATATTGGTATTGTCGTAGTTGAGCCCACCTTGAGAGAGAGTCGAGTATTGAGGCAGGAAAACCCCTAAGGGCGGCGGCACCGACCGCCAAATTCGCTAGGCGTGCGAGTCTGAGACTATCCCCAAAACAGCTAGCATATGTCAACGCTATTGGCGTCACAATTTGAGGTGCCGACTTCTGCGGCGGTTGTGGGCGGTCCTCATCCCGCCTGATCACTTCACAACGCTCGCTGCACGACTTTCCGCTCTCCTTCATACTTGCTATCTTAGACTCCAGACAACATGAGCGTCAAGCGAGCTCGCAATGACGCACATGGGGCGGTTGGGGAACCAGACAAAAAGAAGCGCAAGGGATTTTCGGTTGGGCCAGCCAATCTTCCTGATGGCACTTACCGGCGCAAAAGTGAGTGCTCGAGGTCTGCTTGGAAGTTTTCCCCCGCTAACTTGTACCAGCACAGAAGATAAAGAATGGTCTCATTCAGAAGGCAAAGGTGAAGAAGGCGTATGCAAAGGTGAAAGCCCGTGAAGAAACTGCGCAAGCAACTACACACACCGTTGCCTCCAGCGAATCCGCGAACCACCACCCGGAAACGGCTCCGTCAAGCCTTGAGCTCCACCCTGACCGCCAAGCAATGTTAGAGAAGGGCCATACACGTGGCGGACAGACATTTCCAGACGAGGACGAATCCAAGCTACACAGAAACGTAGAGCGTCGGTCAGGGCAGCACAGATCGAAACAGTCGCGCTACAAGAAGGAGCTGGAAGCTGCGACTCAACGCAAGGCGGAAATGGAGGCAAAACGCAGAGCTAGGGAAGCTCGTGAGAAGGACAGGAAAGCTATGTCCAAGGCCAAACGACCCGGCATCGATGGGAAGGCCAAGCTAGGTCGGCAAGGGACCGTCTTACTCGATCGTATCCGCAGATTAACCAACGGAGGAGCATATGAGGCATCGGTACCGATAGAAATCTCTTCTGCTGGCCGAGGCGCTGCCAAGCGGCACAAGGACCTTGTGAGCTGAAATCTGATGCGCATCGCTGAGACTGAGAGTCGCTGATGGTTGATGCACGGGCCGCAACATTTGGGGTTGCATATCAACAAGGACTCCTTCACCATCGAAGTTGATTGATGCTCACAACGACCTTTGTCAAGAGAAACCAAGTCTCGGTTGTAATTCGCTGTCATGTCGCTTGATGGACAATGCAGATTGTTGGACAAGCACAACACAGAACAAAGCTGGTGCTGCATCCATCGCCACAAAGAGTTTACCACCTTCCCCGGTCTTATAAGCACTCGCCTACCCTCGGCCTGATCAGAGACGTCTAATTCATACGAATCAATTATATAATATCCTTCTGACAGAGCCGTTCACGAATCATTGTGTCAACCACCACCTTTTCGTTGTTCTGCTTCGGAATCATTGGCAACCACAAACATGTCATCATTTACCACCACCAATGAAGATTTATATGCTCACGGGCGAAGGCTTCATCACATCCTTCAATCGTACAGGGGCGATAGCCCTGAAAGACAATTTGCTTGGGACAAGTGGATTGAATTCAACAGAAAGCATCCATTTGTCGCCAAGGAAGTGTCAACTCAGAGCGACATTGCAAGCGACGACCCTCTCCGTCCCTGGAACGAGGCAGAGGAACATCAGATGTACGTTGATAAAACCCACTGGAACTCGTTTCTTCGGGGTTGCGCCATAGGTGCAGGGTTTCGAATCGAGATAGAAACCATCGTCACCTTTATGCGTTCTCAATATGTGCATATGTGGAGGAACAAAAGCCAATATGGTAAGTCCCTATGGCCATTGGTTGTGCCCATGCGGACATGACTCCACCTTCGTTGATATGGGTACATGCTAATATTTTCGCAGGTGAAACTTATCTAGTAGGATGGGCCATCCACCACATGCCACGCCCGATATCTGAATTTCTCAAATGGTCCATCAGCCAAGAGGAGACAGAGGAGCAGAAATGCGAGTGGACAATCAATGGCTTTGAGCAACATCTTCTCACCTGGGCTGCACTCTTCGAGAGCAACTTGGCACAGAAGTACTATACGCAGTGTCGGGGCTACGAAGACCGCCGGTACTACTACAATTCACAAACCGACCGCATAGAGCAAGAGTTGTACATCAGTCAGCCTCGCACCGGTGGGGGACCTATTGCACACTTCCTCTACTCGAGAGCAGACCATCGTCGCTGGGCTTACCAGATGTTCAAAACAATCTGGCGGTGCGGCTTCGAAGACTGGGCCGTTCGAGATGGCGGCGTAAATGTCCCCCTGGACACGGTGATGAGTGGATAGAGAGGGATGTGGATACGAGAAAGGTAAGTGATCGTGTCTTGTGTGCGTGGTGTTTCCATTGAAAGCAGTGCTCGCGACCTCCGGTAGGGTTTCATGTCGGTGAGTTCTGCTGTGGCAGGTGAGTGTGAAACTTTTTCGATGTCTGCGTTGTCCCTTCTCCACTGATTAACCTATTTATCCCAATCGATACTTGACTGCGTGCAAGTTCATTCTTCAAGATGCGTGTTATTGGGCTCGGTACTGCTCACCTCTCGCACTGATCTGAGTTATCACCCAGTTCCTTTGTAGACTCGCGACCAAGTACCTTCCACCACGGCGCCCGGCGTACCGCCCGTCGACAGAGTACGGGCCAACTCCAACGCAATTGGAGCAAGAGTCTTCTCTTCAGCTCCGCTGCGTCATCGCCACCTGTATCCTTCTCTGCGCGCGGGATCATCAGGGGCTGCTTCCCGTTTATATCAAGGTAAGTGGACGACGATTTTGAAGAACGTCGGCTTGGGGTGTAATCTCACTCAAGTACCCTATGCAAGAAGCCGGTTCGGCACGAGACATCGATGACCTACCCAGCGTTGTCTGCAACCAAAGAAATCCAACCCGCGGAGAGGTTCTTGTTTTTCCTGGTCTTGTATTCGCCGCAAGACTCGTTCAGTCCGTCATAGCGGATCCACTACTTACCGAGAGATATAACACGTGGCTCGTAAGCTGCCATTGTAAGATTGGGCATAGGGTAACTTTTGAAGTGCCTGACTGGGTTTTTTGGTGAGATGAGGGAACTATCGGTTGCTGGACAACGTCTGGATTCGCCCCCATGCTTCCAGAATAGATGAATAGCTCGACCTTAGAGATGTATGATGCTCGACATATGTCGTGTCGTCCGGCTTGTGCGGCTATCCTGGCTCTAAGAACGAGATCAATGCTCTCAAGAACCACTTTCATGCTAATTGAGATCAAAAATACGAAGAATACAGACCTCGAGTCTCAAGAGTGTACTCTGTATCGACACGTTTTAATGGCATTATGAGCGCCTTCCGGACTGCGGGTCCAAATTTTTCCGGTGCCGTGTTTGTCATGTTTGTCAACTTCCGACGACGTATTTTTCGCGCCGCGTCGCAAACACATGGGATGTTTAGGTCGGTTGACCCCACCGTTGTTGACCCGGTCAACGCTGCGGATTGATGACAGAACTCTCATTTGTTCCATTTCCTGTTACTGTTAAGTTGAGTCTGGTGTGATGGCGGCTGCATTGACCTCGCGCGATGAGCCCAAGGCGGCAGAATATGCTGGAGGTACGCAAACTAGAACTCTGGCTAGCCGGCTGGTTCGATTTATCGTTGCATGTCTAAACACTCGCTGACAATGGTTTCTCACAGACGAAGTCGCTGCGTTGGTGCTAGATCCAGGCTCGTCCAGTGTACGGGCAGGTTTTGCGGGAGAAGACGCTCCCAAGTCGATTGTTCCCACCTTCTACGCTTCTACTGGCTCTGATCGGTTCTTTGGAGACCATGTGATTGATGTGACGCGGGAAGATGTGGAAATCATGAATCCTGTGGGAAGAGACGGCATAGTGGAGGACTGGGACGCAGCTGAAGCGCTGTGGAAGTACTCATTCGCACACAAACTGACGGGAGTGAGACCCAACCGAGCGCTGCAGGAATGGCTCAACGATCCCAAATCCGTGCCCGATCTGCAGAAGGCGATGGCAGACGCAGTAGACACCGAGCGATGCCTGGAAGACCATCCTCTATTCATGACCGAGCCGTCGTGGAACCCACCAAAGGCGCGGGAGAAGTGCGTGGAAATAGCGCTGGAGTCCTGGGCGGCGCCTGCATTCTATCTGGGAAGAGCTGGTGTCATGGGCGCCTTTGCCGCAGGCAAACCCAGTGCGCTCGTCGTGGATTTTGGGGCGGCGCAGGTGTCGGTGACTCCAGTGCACGATGGGATGATTCTCAAGAAGGGCGTTACGCGATCGAACATTGGCGGCAATTTCTTATCAGCGCAGGTGCGCAACATGTTTGCTGCCAATGAGCCCGAGCCGATCACCATCACGCCCCATTATCTCGTTCAGTCGAAACAACCGGTGGACGCGGGACAACCGGCCAACGCGGTGCTAAGACAACTGCCGGAAGGCTTCAAGCCACCCAGAGCTTCCTTCCGGCGGTATCAGGAAGAGAAGGTCGTGCTTGAATTCAAGGAGATCGCGTTACAAGCGTGGAGGATCGACAACAACAATGGCCCGTTCCGTGGCCAGGGCGAACTCTTGACCCGGGAGCAACAATACGCACATCCGTTTGAGTTTCCAGATGGATACAACCAGACGTTTTCGGCCGAAAGATACCGGGTGGTCGAGTCGATCTTTGACCCACAATGCTACTATCCGCCTCCGTCAGGATCAGAGGATGGTCACCTGTACCCGGCCCCAGACGCACAGGGCACAGTTATGGGACTGGTGAAGGGCGCTCTTGGCCAAGTGGATGTGGATATCCGACCGTTTCTGCTCGCTAACGTCGTTTTGACCGGAGCAGGTTCTCAGATCCGTGGTCTGCCCGAACGGATCGAGGCTGAGCTGAGGAAGAACTACCCCAGTGCCCGAATTCGGGTTCAAGCGGCCGTTCAGCCCATCGAGCGGAAGTTTGGCAGCTGGATCGGTGGCAGCATCGTCGCCAGTCTTGGGACTTTCCATCAGATGTGGATCTCGAAGAAGGAGTACGAGGAACACGGAGCAAGCATAGTCGAAAAGCGCTGCAAGTGAGACGTCAGATTGCGAGCGCGTCGCTGCCCAAGACAAGGTTTGACCTTCCTCGTCATGGTCGCGACCGCGAGACAAATATGGCATGGCGCACGAAACTACTTGAATCAGGTGTGAAGAATAGAAACCGAAAGCAGGTGTATTCCTGACTAGAATTGGATGTTGGCGCGAGGACGAATCACGCGGGATGGCAGAATTGGGGAAATGAGGCCGCAAGCGAACAGGGCGACAGGGGTCTTGGCGACCGAATGCTGGAGCGTGGGATGCCAAGTCGGTCTTAAGCAGCTTTGACGCAGGTGCAGAGGTGTTGCGACTGGTTGCCCCAGTTGGGAGGAAGCAGATAGACGAGCCCGCCAGACGCCAGCAGCTGGAATCGCCGATTTCTTCAGGCGCAGGGCAAAAGGACGCCAGGCTGGAATTATTGGTGACACCCGAGATAGCCAGCACCGAAGACCCCCATGCAGGGTTGGCTAACGAACCCTGAGGCGGTGAAGAGCGTCCCCAATATCGCCCATGCAACGTGCGCACGCCCCCGGCAGAGCGAGCAGCGGCACCAATGGGGCAGACGCATCCTGTGTAACCTGTCTGCAGCTGCACGTCTGCCACACTATCCAGGCACTCGGGTCGCAGACAGAAACAGACCCGAAGCCTTGGAACGGACGTCGACTGGATGAAGTGAGTTGGAGGCGAGCCTGGGGTCCCGTGAGAAAGAGCGCTACTCTCCCCGAGGAGTCTCCGTCTGGGCTGAAATTCGGTAGTGCGGAGGTCAAGTTCACAAGGCTCACCTGATTAATTATTAGGTACTATGTTAGTAGCTAGCTGCGAGCCCAGACCATCCTTCTGTTCGTCCTCACCTGCACGTTGGATGCGGGCGACGTGCGAGCTCGGGTTCCGGTCAATCGGGTGCGGCCCTTCTCATCCAGCTTCTGGATAACTCAGTCGCTGTCCAGGCACACTGCGCACAACCTGCGGTCCCTGGAGTTGGGTGCCGCCTATGTACGAGTACTCACTGTCTCGTGTGCAAGCCAGTGCTTTGTACTTTGTCCTCGTATGCTGCCTATCATAGGACGGCTCGGGCAGCCGCAACTGGAACCCACGGCGCCCCTCTTCCTCATGCCGTTCTTTAACTTTGATCTAGCCGTCTTCCATCCTTCACTCTCCCCACCAAATGGACATGATTTCGAACCTTGGATCAAGGGGCTGCGGCGTTCCTGCAAATCAGCGTCTGTCCATGTTTTTCTCACGCCAGTTTCTCATGCAGCTTTCGGTCGAGAGTGGGTTCTGTGGTCTGCGGCCTCTCATCTGATATCCCAGCAAACTCTATTCACTGCTGGTACGGCTCAGACCCGCCTCATACTCGTATTTGACGGTCGGCGATAGTTGAGACTCCACCCATTTCATTATTGGTGCCGGGCCAAGGCCTACGTTGCGCTGGTACTGTGTACGAGTTACGAGGAGGCCGCGCCCTCGTGTCGCCCTCAAACCTCGCCCCAGTGCGTGTGTCCCAGCATCCACACCTGGACTCAAAATCCAACTGCTGATTGCGATTATTCAGTGGCGACCCATCGTCGCCGTCGTCCTGACTCAGGCGCGCCGTCTTTTGGCCGCACAATTCTGATTTCTGCCTCCCCACCGCCCTCTCGTCGATCCCGCCTTAGGTTCCGCGCCCACGTTGCGACGTTCGAGCGTGAGCCGTTGTTCAGCCTGTCCTGTCCCGTCCCTCTCCTCACAACCACCTCACCCCCTTGTCTCGAAGATCGTGCCGCCCAATCTACTGCATGGTATCCCTCGCTAGCCACTCACTGCTCATTGGTCACCATTTCCCGGCTCTTCGGATCCAAACACCTGCAACCCACTTTAAGGACCGCCTACGAAGCCTTCTTACCGTCGCAAATTCTTCCACCACCACGGCGGCCTGCCCAACCCACCTAGTTTTATGCGGCTCGCGCCGCCCTCCACCGAAACACTTCCCCTCCCATTGTTGGTCCGTTTGTCAGATGCTGAGCGACTCGAGTAGGTCCGGTTACTGCGTGTCTACTCGTCAATGCCATATGGGCAACTTCTGCAGAACCTCAGGCGGGACCCAATCTAGGCATGTCAACTCCACGACCATCTGCGCCAAGATCAAGATCTACTCGCACGATGGACTCCCCTCTGGTGCCAGACTCAGACTCTACCCATTCCTCGTACGAAGGCGCTCAGAGCGATACTCGCTCTTTGACGGCGAGCATCACCGACTATCCTATGCACTGGGGACGACGATATCACCGGTACAAGGAGGGCTCGTATTTATACCCCAACGACGAGCACGAACAGACCCGGCTGGATGAACAGCACGAAATCCTCAATCAACTACATGGTCGCTTGTTCTTCGCTCCGCTCGACCCCGACAATGTCCGTTCGGTGTTAGATATCGGCACAGGAACTGTAAGTGATCCCGAGATTCCCCTGGCTCCGCGTGCTCAGGACCATGGCGCCCTCCGACAGGACTTGGCAAGTTGGCTTTGAGAGTCGTTGGGACTCCAAGGCAAGGTGCGGCTGTCGTGGACGGTCTGTTGCTGGATACCCCTCGCCCGACTATCAATGCATTTACTGATATGATTCTTCGAGACTGGTAGGGTATATGGCCGATTGCTCTCGCTGATTCGAATCTTCTGCCTGGTGCCACCATAACCGGCACGGATCTTTCGGCTGTCCAGCCTGACGACGTTCCCTCAAATGTGTACTTTGAGATTCAGGACTGTGCGGAGGAGGATTGGGTACGACAGCCGGGTAGTGTCGATTACTGCCACGTCCGTTGCATGGCCGGCTCCCTCGCCTCATATAAAGATTTGATCGAAACGTCCAGAAGATATCTGCGACCAGGTACAGGATGGTTAGAATGCCACGAACTGCATCCACAGCCGGTGTCGGATGATCACACCATCCCTGAGGATTGGCCCATGAAAGTGTGGGAGGAGAATCTGCACCATGCCGCCTCAGAATGTCTGGACCCGCCCCGGCCAGTTCGCATCGCTCCTGATATCAAGACGTGGATGGAAGAAGCAGGCTACGTCGATATCCACGAGCACATTACCAAGATTCCCTTGGGACCGTGGCCGAGAGACACGCGGCTGAAGAACATTGGCGGCTGGTGGCTCTCCAATTACCTCGCTGGGTTGCAAGGCTTCACGTACAAGCTATTCAGTACCGACGGGTTGAGGTGGTCTCGAGACGAAATCGAGGTTCACCTGGCTGACGTCAGGAGAGCCGCGCTCATGAAGTCGGTTCATTCCTATCACAGGTACCACGTCGTGTATGGACGCAGGCCCACTAGAGAAGAGGAGCACATCTTAAGCTTGTATGGCCACGGTTGACAAGTGACAAAGGGAACTGGGAATTGAACACTACAAGCAGCACAAGACACGATGTCTGGGTCAAACGGCATGCCCAAAACGAAGTGCACATCAACGTGGCGGGTTCTACCCCGTGCCATACCCTATATCTGTCTATCCTGCCACCACGGGAAGAGGCTACCACGGCGCCGGCGATGCCTGAATCGCCTGTTCTTTTTGGTATGACTCGGAAATGGTCACAATGCCAATGGAACCTCGACCCCTGTCAATCATCCATACGCGGAGAATATATCCTGAAACGATATACTAGCGTGATCTGGTGCCTGCTAAACCACAGCAGACGGCATCGCTTGAGGTTGGGCCGCATGTACGTCCCCTGATCAGGTCAGGCTGGTCGGAAAGGGGACGAGGACAGCACGAAAAGAGAGGACTTGTCGGCTCCCATGTACAAAACTTAGAGTAATGACTCTCTCCTCTGTGCAGTTCTCTCATGCTTGAGGGGAGAGGAGGATTGGCTCCCGGCCACTTCGGCTGCTAGCCCTCATGCCATAGCGCGGTGTTTAGCTTTGGCATCGCCTACCGACCGCTACGACCAAGTGAAACCTGTTTCCAAGTTTGTTTGCGGTTGGTGCTTCTTCGCTTGTGGCGTTGCCCATCCGCCTTGCTCAGCCCGGCCCTGCCTTGCCTTGCCTTGCCGTGCCGTGCACGCGATCCAAAACACGACACGGGGTGACAGTCCGCAAATCCACACTCCCGACTCGTGAGGCGAGCTCGAGTCAAGACGATCAGTCTAGCCTCGGGTCCTGAATCACGACGCGATCCATGGTCGCCGTGAAGTGCCGTGCTAGTAGTGCTAGGGTTGCCTGTGCTGGCTCGGCGGATGTTACTGTAATCAGTTCCGAGAGGAGAATACTCCGTCGCGACCTTCTGACGGCCCGGGGATTAGAGGAAGGACCTGTCCCTCCGGCCGAGGTTACGGACCAAAGTACTCGTTCTGGCGCCAGGTACGCGTACCGGCAACGATGCCGTACGTCAGACACTGAGGCAGCTGGAGTTACTGTCGGAGTACTCGTCCTCGTCCCAGCATCATCTTCATGTCTTGCTGAGTACTCCGTACAGTAGTGGTCCTGAAGTCCCGTTCATTCATCGACCTCTCGGGCTGACTCTATCCCGCCTCCGTCCCTCTGTTCCACCTGGCATATGCTGTCTCATGCAGTCATCCTCACTCACCCTTCTGCTTTTCTGCCTCTCCCTCCTGCGGTAGGTCAGCCCATTACGCTCGTACTCGAACCCCTGAATTGTCCCGCTTCCGCGGCACGACGCGCTCACACCCGGTCGGCGATATTTTACGCGAGAATGACACGCCCGAATACTCCGTACGGAGTACAGTAGACGCACTGCGGTCGTGGTGCGTGGTTGCGTGCGTGCTCCTTGCTGCGAAGTCCTTCCAAGGCAATCAGTACAGTATTGTGTGGACTGTAATTAGATTCTGGTAGCCTTCAGAAGCAATATTCCTTCCTTGACTCACTCCCACTCATTCTCGACACGATTCTCCCCAGCCTTCATTTCGTGCCCGACGCGCGGCGATATTGATTACTGGATACTAGGTACGGGGTACTATGCTGAACCTGCGAGCTCGTGAGCTCACGGCCGAGGTCTGCGTCCGTTCTGCAGCACCTGTGCCACGGACAAGAACACGGACACGGACACTTTCCGTGCAACGTCAAAGATTGATTACAGTAACTAGGGGTGCCTTGTTCGGGTATGCAACTCTCTCTGTCGCCATGCAAGACCTGAGCCAGATCCCGCGGATGGACCACGCAAGAGTGGAAGCCAGATCTGCCGGGAATGGTCCCCACGTAGGTATTTTCTCGTGCTCTGCTGATGTACGCACAGAAGTCCGCTACAGAATGGAGAGCAAAAGCGACCGACCGAGGGAGCGAGCGAGCAACCTGCTTGCATGTACGTGCCGACTACTGCCAACGGTATGTTCAACATTCCCGGCTGCAGGTACATACTGGCTATGTAAGTCCTACATTCCCGGCTGCCGCTCACGGCGAGGAGCCTGTGCCTACCCGTACGGGTAGAGCGTGACTTGCTTCCGGTGCGTGCAAAAGTACCACACGGGCTCGCAATCGCCCACTCACCCGCACTCGCTTTGTTTGTGACCGGGGTTGACGTCGGTTGTATGGCTTCCACATCCTTCGACACGCCACGCGGACGACAGACAGACCACTCGCTAACGAGTTATGGAAGTATCGCATCACCGTGCTCTCGCTCTACACAGTAGAAGCTTTTGATGCCTCTCATTCATGCGACGCAGCCTTGAGTCAATCGAAAGCAACAATCGCCGTTCATTCACCATACATCATATCGTCACCCGGCACTTTTGCTGACTCCAGATTGCGTTGACACTGTAGGCTGGGGTCAGACGCTGCTATTGTAGCGTGAGCGGAGTATTGCTTAGTGGGCCATACACTCACCCTCTCCGGTGACAGGTGGCTGGCTCAGGACTTTTCTACCGTGTACTGACGGGTCGGTCAACGCACAAGGCTCACCCACTCATCCTCTCTGGTGACAGATGACAGATGACAGGTAGGTGACCGGCGACGCAACTGTCAAACACAGACCGCACTTTTGACAAAGCGTGCAGGTCATGTTCAGCAGCCTATGTGAACTGCAGTATGTACGTACTGTGTAATCATAGTCTCCCGGCCGATGCACGTTTGTTCGTCGGATCAGTTCAGTCGGTCTGTCTGTCAGTCATGTTGGTCGCTCACATACCGTGCCTGGCACGAGGCGAGTGTCTTTCATTCTGCTTCACTCCCTGGTATTGTCACTCTTTGTGTCGATGTGTCAGGAGTCGTCTGTGTCTGGCACTTGCGTGGCTATGTCTTAATTACTTGCTTACCTGCCTACTTCACCGATGAGTGCGTGCGAGAACACATACATGTACGGAGTATACATGTCAGAAACGCGGGTGCTTGCGCCAAAGCGATATGTCCCGTTCTTCCCTTACGTCGCGTGGCGCTACAGGACTCCTTGGTTCACCAAATCAGTACTCCGTACGTGCGTGCTCAAGGGACATGTACATACCCACCAAAGTCCGGAGGTCTTTCGGCGCATCAGCAAAAAGTGACACCTCTGTTCTCCTCTTACATACTGTATGTACAATATCTCGCTTCCCCCGGGGGACAGTATCCAAGCATTCCTACGGGCTCAGAGGGTGTACTGTAGCGCTTCAGAGATAAAGACGCACCGATCTTGGCTTGTACAGAAAGTGTGTCTCCCCAAGCCCTCACCTGCAGCTGTCCCAACTGGCGCCCGGTAATTGATTACTGTACATACATACGTTCGCGTTCCCCGCGAGTACGGAGTACTGGTGCCTGATCAACCAACTTGTGTTCGACTCCTCGGCAGGTGAGCAGGCAGCGAAGCATCGCACCCGGTCCCGTGCCGTGCCGTTCCGTTTGATTACCGTGAAACCCCGTTCATGTCATCACAAACTTCACAGACTGTGCTACTTGCTGGGCCGCTACACAGCATGTCGGTACTTCCCTTTCATGTCATGTCATGTCAACCAGCGATCTGCTGAGCGACCCGGCGGTGCTCTTTAGGTTCTCCCCACCTCCAGAGTTAGGACAACAGACAATCGACCTTGCCAGGTCCCTACCGGTCACTAGGTAATCTGACAGGCCGCCAGCGTGGCATGGCATGGTATGGTATGACGTGACGTGGCGATGGCGGTGGCTCGCCATGTGGCCATTCTATCTGTGCCTTTCCCACTGCTGAGTGGCATATGGGCCGAGTGTGCGTGAGCTGAGCTGAACCGTGGCATGAGCTGGCAGCTTGCTCATTCGAGTGGCTCACTGGCTGTTCGGTGGTTCAGTGTTCACGACTGCGCCGGAGCTCCTGGGCTGCAGCGGACACGACCCCACCAGGCGGTATGTAATGCAAGTTCCACCTCCTCTGCAGAGGCCTACAGCGGGTGCTCCAGCTCGACGCCCACCAGCGACCAGTCTCGGGCTGTGACACGATTAATCCGGCGAAGAGCTTCCGCACGCAGCTGCTCTCCAAGGTTTCCGAGAACCGGCATGCTATCAATGATTCCTGTGCCGATACAATCTGGGACTTTCTGGACATGCCAAAAAAACAAAGCGTCGAGCGAATCAGTTCATGCCTGACATTCCGAGATGACCGAATATTCTTCCCCACCCACAAGAAACGTCCATGTGTGTTGCTCAGGCACAGGGACTTACTCTTTGGGTTGTTCTGGTGTCGGTTGAAAGACGATAGATCCCAGCAATGGCTGCGCTAGGGTCGGTAAGACTGTGTCCCGAGTCCTTGTCGAACACGACCCGGCCCGAAGCGATGCGGAACTCGAATTTCCATGGGGCGTAGCTGAAAAGATCTTTGAAGTAGAGACTCAGTTGTTGTATTCAGACATTACTCGTGATAACTATTTACCGTGCCCCACGAGTAAGGTATTCGAATGGAGTGGTAATTACAACCTATTGGGAGTAGATGAGAAGAGGTCGAGGTTCGCGGATCGAGAACTCAATCGACGCGGCTCTTTCGGCAAGAAATACGGCCCGTCGCGCATACGGTACAGTAATGTGTGGTAGCGAGACTTATGATGTGGCGTGGCTGACCACACTTCATAGTATCGATCGTCTCGATTACTCTCGTGCCTAAATAAGTGGTCCTTGTTTGCAAATCGTCGTGGTGTGAGTCAACAACATACTATGATGGAGTCCGAAGCGAAACAAGTCGACCTGCAGCGACTTTGCCCAGCGACTTTTTCCAGCTCCGCAATTTCTATCCATGCCACCGGAGGTTCAAAACCTACCACAGTATGGAGATGGGCGCACTTGGCAGACAGTAACGTGACCTCCACCGCTCCGCCGTCGCCTTTCGCGCAAGCTGAACCACACAGGCCCTTGGGCAACTGTGATGAAGATTGCCCAGCACGCATAAGTACATATGAAAAGAGCCCGCGTGGGAAAGCGAACCTTTCGCGTATGGCGTGGCAGAGAACAGATCGGGAATTCCGAATGCGGCGGCTCGGCACCTGCAGGATCGGTATACCACAGTATTTGCGTCGATTAGCTAGCTGAGCGAGACTCCGAAGTGCAGATCCATCAGTGGCGGAGCTGGTAGTTGGAAGTAGTAATAGAAGATGCGCATGGCTTGACTGCTCTGATGGAAACCCCTGCTGCCGCAGTGACCAGAAAGTTCGTGTCGCCAGTCACGGAGCTCACCTTGGACGGACTGATAAAATGCCAATCTCGACCACTGTATCTTGGCGCGGAGATTGAGCGTCAAGGGGAAGAGGATTTTGAGTTTTGTATCTACGGAGTAGTGCCTCTGAGAATGACTTTGTTATTGTGGGCGGCTGCGACAATCAGATTGTCCTACAGCGAGGACTGAAGATCGTGTGGCTCGCTTGGCCCATCAAGTGCCATTTCAGTGTACATTAAATGCGTCCAACACAGACAAAAAAGCATCACTCTCCCATGATTCATCCGAATGAGTTGCTTTGCTGTCCACCACCTTTTGCGACATATATGGACAATCATGGCAAGCTCATGAAGAGTTGTCGCATCCGCTCATAATCTGGACTTCCGAGACCCGTCACCGCATCCCACCCGCGGGTCGCTCGGAACGCCTGATCAACGCCACACCCCTGGTTTGCCCCTGTCAGGATATCGTTGAGCACATCCGGGTTGCTATACAAGACGGGGTTGATGAAGCCAACCGGCCCTTTCCCCATGTGCATGCGCTCGCTGTTGATCAACGTGATGATCGAAGCGAAGACCGGATTCGATGCCGAAGTGCCAGAGGCGAGCTTCCAATTCCCTTGGGACACGATCGCGTAATTGTCGGCTCGGACAGCAACGTCAGGGTAGCCCCTGCCTGTGCTGTTGAAACGATCCTGGATCTCGGCCAAGTGCTCTTGCTCGATGTCTTTGTAGGTGGCGACATTTGAAATCTGGTAGGGTGGAGCAAGAAAAACGTTGCTGAAACCGCCTCCGGAAGAAAATGTGTTCCCCGAGGTGCCTTTTTGGCGGAAAGCTGTCTCGTTTGTGGTGGGGGCCGGTGCTATCCGACGATCAGTTGGCTGCAGCATCTGCGTCCCCCCGACACTGGTGACCCAAGGGCACGAAGACGGGTACATGGGACTAAACCTCCCCTCGGTGCCACTGCCCGTTGGGTCATCCAGACAGAATGGTCCGCATCCATTGTTGGTCGCCGTGCCATAGTCGGATGCGCTAACGATGACGGTTGTGCCCATGAGGGCCAACTTGAGAAATTCAAGGCACTGACGCTGCAGGTAATTTGGAGTAAAGGCGGCTTCCGTCCAGCCCCACGATATTGACAAGACCTTGGGAGGTGATGATGAGCCGCAGTCGCAGGCAGTGGCGTTGCATCCCGGTGGATAGGTGATAGGGTACTTCTTATCCCCTGGGGTCATACAGTAGTACTTGTCGAACGCCGCGAGCATATCATGAAGATTTCCCGTCCGGCCATAAGAACCGACTTGAACGTTGGTGACTTCTTGGGGTGATGTGAGCGCCATCGCATACTCGAAGTCCAGGTTTGGTTCTTGATACCAAATCGATTCGGTCATGTTTCTCTGCAGGTAGCCACCGTTGACGGCATCGACCCTCGGACGGTGGCCTACCAGGTCTCTCTGAAATTGCCCAAAGAACTTGTCCAAGTCTTCCGGAACCCATGAGAACCAAGATGGTTCAAAAATGCCAAACGAGTTGTTGGGGTGTGGTGGGACGTCCTCAGGGATCCTGTACAGGGCTCGGAGACACGCCAAAGTTGTCGACTTCAGACACCCGAGTGGCAGGGGCGCCGTTGCAGTGACCCTGTCATTCAGAACGACCTGTTGTCGGGGGATACGCTTGTGAGTTTGTACAGGTGAAGCTGCGAGGATATAGTCGATAGATCCAGCCAGTGACTCCGGAATGTGGTAATCTTGGCAGGCAATCTGCTTTCGTCCAGTCTCCCGGTGCGTTTGGTGATAGAATGTGGTCTCCAGAAGCCTTGCGGCTTCTTGCACCCGTAGATTCAGAGTCAAGCGATCGCCACCGTATGAAAGCTGGACACGGCTTTGGTCGATACCCGATTTCCCAAGCCATTCCACCACATGAAAAACCGTCTTCGGCTCATGCTCAAACATGCGCACGACGTCTTCGGCCGACAAATGTTGTCCATAATCTGGTGAAGTTGGATCAGAGATGCGTAGCAAGGTTTCGACTCCGATATCAGCGTTTTGTATTGTCAAGGCGATTGACACCTGGAGCAACTGATTGGCATCGGCTTCGTGGCTGCGATCCCATTGACTTGGATCCAGCGAGCTTTCTTGTCGCAAGAGAGCAGCACCAGAGTACCTGCTGATTGCACACAGCAGCAGGAGTGAAGGCCTCATCATCAACATCAGGAACTGTAATGGTAGCAACCGTTGACAGTTGTTTTGCTAGATGGTACGAAGACTTGTACCCGCTGGACCTCCGAGGAGCTTTCTCTGCGAGCTAGCCCCTCTGTCAAGTTAGTATCGTCATGACGGGTCATATCAAACCCCTTTGAATTTATCATGCTCACCATTCAGTCACACACTTCAGCCGCACCATGCAGTCCCGCCACCTGCTGTCACGCCTTTCCGTCCATCTGGAGCTCATCGCAAGAACAGGTTACTCCGGACGTTTCATCCCTTCCACGGGATCCCATGACAGCGACCCTTTATTCAGCACCTCCACATAGCATGCCAGTTTGATTGATTGATTGATTGATTGATTGATTAGGCAGGCCGTACCCCGTTAGCGATATTTCAGCTATATGGGTCAAAAGCCTGGTCTTGGCGCTTGCCGCAGGGTCCTCGTTGTCCCGTCAATCAGCCTGGGGTGCTCAAGACCCCTCTTTGCAGTCTTCTGTATGCTCCATGTGCTGGTGAACACATAGTTCTTGGCATGGTACGCCAGTTCTGGCGTCGACGAGTTTCTACCCCGACTTTATCTTCTTAGCTTTAGCTTAGACGGCACCAGGCTCAGCCAGCCTACCCAGTACAAAGTGAAGGTGCTGAAGAAAAAGGTCGCATATCCTAGAACTCCGTAGTACTGGTGCTGTTCAAGCGGAAGCGAAAGCGGAGAAAGGGGAAAGTAAATCGTCTTACTCTTCCCCATTTGGCCGACAGGGTCCCACAAATTTCCTGAAACGGTCTCCGTTCCGCTCGGCCCGTGCGGGCTGTGCCATCACACAGTACTGTAGGCAACCTTCAGATCTTCCTCGACTATCTCTCTCCAGCCAGCCACTCCGCACACTAACGGTATCCTGCCGACCACATGGCAGTTCACCTGCCATTAACGTACACACACACCCCCAGCATGCGGAGACTCTCGAGGACTTGGCACTTGCAGTGGCAACGAAGCGGCTTCGAAGGGCAAGTTGACATGACCTGCGGTTTCTCTTTTTGAGGGCTTGAGACTCTAACTGTTCGGCGAAGCCGCTGAGGGGGTTTCTGAGGGTGAGTATGTACTTGCAGATCGCTCTACACCCTCCCTCGTCGTGCATAAGTCAGTGACGATGGCACAATGCCACATGCTCTATGCGATTGCTCGCGGCGCTCGTTGAGGGGCCTCGAAGGTTAGACAAGTGGCTTGAGGGCCAAGGCCACGAAGCAAGTTGCAGCCGAGCTTGACATCAAAGACTTCCATGGTCCGTCGAAGCGGCTGATAGCGTTCAGGCCTCTCTCAAGGATCTGGACCTTTGAAAAAGATCGTTCCACCCGAGTATCAGCTTCATTTGGTGGCGTGAGCTACTGTATGTGACCGGATCAAGTCAGGACCTTCTCACGATGCATGGAGCGGGCCTTGACGATGCCATTTGTTCTCACACATGCAGGCTGGGTTCTCGCCCGAGAGGTGGCTTGCTGAACATTGTTGAGAAGGCCCCAGAAAGGCAGTTCTGGAGACTGGCATCAGAAAGCACTTTAAGCTCCAGTCGGCGGTTGAGCATGCGTCTCCTGCTACCATCCGGTCATTAGACATCCCGCTCTTCACTGCTTCGGCACATGCAACCATCTAGACCGTGTCTCCTGTCTCAGATCACAGCCAGCCACCAGCTGCACTTCGAGAGCAGCGAAGGCGGCTTTGAGAGCAGCTGGAGCGTTGAGGGCAGCTGATCAAATGTGTCTTTTGGCAAAAGGAGAAGAAATGGAGCACAGTCGAGACAACTGAAGTGTATATATACCATAGTCTCCAACAGCATTAGAGCAAGCAAACACAGACTCTTTCAAGTTGCTTCAGTGTTCACTACCTTGCTCATCTGCAACAATCAGCCAGCTGCTCGAACTTGAACTCTCAAGATCTCCCCCTCAACCTCATCAACACAGCAATGAAGTTCTTGGGTGTCCTCGTTTTCTCTGCCGGTATTTACCGTGTCTCTGCTGTGGTAAGTCGCGAACACCACACTTGCCTTGCACTCTTCACTATCCATCACAGCCTACAGCAATGACCTGCGCTAACATACTGTATCATAGATCGGCGCGGTAAGCCCCTGTCTTTCCGAGTGATCTTCGATCCGCGTTCTTGGTACTGACGACCTGCAAAAACAGCCTTTCTGCATGGCGGCATGCACTCCCCTCGCTGTCATCAACCAAATCGCGTACGCAGCCTGTATGGCTGGGTGCGCCGGCTTGAATGTGGAAGGAGCCGATATTGGATCAAGCCCTCGTTTCTTGCCTGATGGAAGCATTGTTTTCGAAAAAGAGTCGCCCGAGTGCGCCGAGGCGTGCAAGCCGCTTGCCGGCGAGCAGCTCAGTTATGCGGCTTGCCTGGGCGGATGTGCAGCTAGGATTGATGGGCAGAAGAAATAGTGGTGGCTTTGACGAAGGAAGAGCTGAGAGTGACGGGCAGAAGAAATAGTGGTACTTCAATAAAGGAAGAGCTCAGAATGATGGCCAGAACAGATGGTGGTGCGAGGTTGGACAAAGGAAAAGCTCCTCTGAGTAGGCAGTGGGCAGCAATTCGGGTGGTAGTGGAAAAGAAGAGCAGTACGGTAGTCAATCGTTTGCATTATGTAAGCCTCATGGCTACTGATACACTGGTGCATCCGCAGGGTGAGAGGGCCGTAGTGACGACGATGGCAGAATCGTTATTCAAAGGAGATCGCATTCTGAAGCAGGAAAGCTAGTAGCCCAATAGGGTAGAAAGGCGGGTTTTGTACCTTCATTCACAGAAGGGAGGGTCTCCCCACACAAGCGAGGGGATCAGAAAGTGGTCGAAAGTCGAAAGGGTGTTCAAAGAGGGAACGGTCGGCGCGCCGCCTATTTGAGGTCCTGGCGGGCGCTGTAATGCTGTAGAGTAGGTCAGGGTACAGGGTGAGTGTGATGGTGAGTAAGGTGAGTAAGGTGAGTAAGGTGAGTAAGGTGAGT